TATTCGTGGAAATGTTGGCGACTCAGATTCTCGCGAATTCAGTTTTGGTAAGTTTTTGCTTTGTTTCTGTTTCGAGTCTCAAAATGTGAGGTGCAGAGACTGATTGTTAGGGAGAGGGTGGAAATTACGTGATAATCAAGTGGAGTGGAGTGTCAGTAGAAGAAATGTTGTTGCTGGAAAAAGAAAGAAAGTTGCAAGAATGTTGAGCGGGGTGTATGTTGTGTATGTGACAAGAGAGGGGGAACGCGGTATGAGAGGGGAAATGTGGTGGTAAAAGGGAGAATATGGTGAGAATGGGATAATGTATGTATAACAGAGTTGCAGAAATGTATCCTAAGACTTCTGTTAATGAGTTTTCCACGTCCTATATTTCAATTTTTTTTATTGTGTCATCTCATGTCTCTTTTCTTTTTCAATTTATAGATAGAACACCTCCGAATGTTGTTATTACTTCCAAAGAGACTCAATACAGCACTAAAAATCCATTATTCACGTGGAAATCTTCAGAAAATGCTACATTCAAGTGTGCTATTGATGACACTCGTTTGTATCAGGATTGTGGCAGTGGCTTGACTGGCCAACACATTGCCAAAAATGTCCGCGATGGCAGACATGCTTTCTTTATGCAAGGAACTGACGAGTTTGGCAATATTGGTCCACATGTTCAGCACATATTTACTGTCGGTATGAAGCGCACCTATTATTTTCACGTTTTAAGGAACTTGCTTCTAGTTTTCATCTGGAGTGATCTCATGTTGAAACTCGAGATCTGGAGTGATCTTATGTTGAAACTTGAGATCTGGAGTGATCTCATGTTGAGACTCGAGATCTGGAGTGATCTCGTGTTGAAACTCGAGTTCTCATACACTTCAGTCTAGTGTCTTCATCTGGAGTGATCTCATGTTGAAACTCGAGTTCTAATATACTCCAGTCCAGTGTCTTCATCAGGAGTGATCTCATGTTGAAACTCGAGTTCTTATATACTCCAGTCTAGTGTCTTCATCTGGAGTGATCTAATGTTGAAACTCGAGTTCTTATACACTTCAGTCTAGTGTCTTCATCGGGAGTGATCTCATGTTGAAACTCGTGTTCTTATACACTTCAGTCTAGTGTTTTCATCAGGAGTGATCTTGTGTTGTAACTTGAATCTTTATATACTCCGGTTTATTGTTGTTTTTTTTGGGAATGATCTTATTTCGTAACTTAAGTCCTTATATACTACGGTTTAACGTCTTCATCAGAAATTACCTGATTTCGAAACTTGAGTTCAATGAACAAAAGAGATCTTGTATAGAAACTTCATTCATTAGCTATAATCTCCGGTTTAGTTTCTCTTGTTTTTTATAGCGATTTGATTTAATTATAACGAACCATTTCGTCTATTTATTGATAGACACCGTTGGGCCCCAGGTCTCCTTCACGAGTAACGTACATCGGACAACAACTAGCCCACGTGTAAGAATAACCTGGATTTCATCAGAAGTAGCTAATTTCACTTGCACTGTCGATGGAGAATCAGTAAATTGTGGTTCTGGCACCCGAGGAGAGTTCACAACAAAGATGCTTCCTGATGGTACACATACATTCTCGTTGGATGTTTTGGATAAAGTAGGAAACAGGGGACAATCTATTTCAACAAGCTGGAAAACAGGTTAATTCTTGATGTGTATTTTTATGCATAATTGTGGGCGTTTGTTAAGATATTATTGGTAACATGATTGAGGTGGATTTACCTGAGGGGAGCAGTGATGTGTGCGCACTACTTCTCTATCTTTGGTTGGAAGGATTGAAAGAGCAGTGCCATTTTCTCACCTGCAACTCTTATACCCACCAATCAAACAAAAGCAATCGTCATTTGTGTTTAATGGTGCACACTTCATAAAAATATCCGCCAACCAAGGCACCAGAGTAACATGGCACTGCTACATCCAAGAAGTGGCTACCGAAATATAATTGAAACTAGAGCACGCCACCCCTCCCGCACGCACACATACACACAGAGTCACCCTGGATTCATATCCGTAACGTAACATTATCGCGTTCAACAGCCGGTTAAAGTTTGTACGCAATGTAAACAATTGCTCATAAGCAATCTTCGGCTGTTTGTATTTCTCGAACAATGCTGACCTTTTGTCTATTTCCATGACAGATTCCCAAAGTCCGGAAATATATTTCGATCCTACGTTACCCAGAAAAACGTCAAGCAATCCAACGATAGCTTGGACAAGTTCCGAGTTCTCAACATTTGAATGTGACCTGGATGGAAAGCAGAAAATCAGGTGTGGTCAGGGTACTTCTATGGATATGACTTTTGGTGTAACAAGTGGTCCCCATACCTTCTCTGTGCGCGGTACAGATAACCATGGGAATGTCGGGGAATGGAAGCGATTTAATTTCGAAGTTGGTAAGTTTGGAAGTTTGCATATGTTTTGATGAATTAAAAAATGATAGAAATTTGGCGAAACTTATTTATTGGTTGAAAGTGTCAACATACAATCAAGCCGTTTTCTTCATTGTACAAAATGATTGTGCTGGCTCCTTATTGTTCCCTGGCAGGTAATGAAGTGGGGAGGTAGGAGGCTTGATGACATTTGCGTTTAAGGTTTATACTCAATAATGAATCCTATTTCAAACATTTAAGAAATAAAAGATGTTTACTGTGTTTGCACAGGCTTATGCAAACCGAGGAGACCTTTAGGAAAAGTCCGAGACCGAAGTTCGAGGGTTGCACCTGCTCGAGAGTTCTCTCCAACGTCTCCGAGGTTTGCACAAGCCAGTGCAAACACGAAAAACATCTTTTACTTCTTTTATAAAAAGACAATAATGCGAAACAGACAAATTTCAACAAATGTTTTAATTTTTTTATTAAAATTTATTCATTTGCAAATTGTCTTTGATCGATTTTTCTGATTGGTTGCATGAGCTAAGATCGTTAGGCACAGGCTTATGCAAACACAGCTCTAGACCAATCACCGTACTCGTTTTATTGTGTTTATTTTATAATTGTACATAAAGGTTCATTCCTGCGTTCCCAGGTTGGCTAACATGAGCCACCGTGTAACTGTGGGCAAAATAATCGAATGCGTGTTTCTACGCTTTATTAATTTAGATGCAGATGGTCCTCTTATCAACTTCCCGGATGACCAATCAAAATTGACGAACGCTACGCCAACATTCAAATGGACATCTTCCGAGAAAGCCGTCTTCAAATGTGGAATAGATAATAGTTTCAATTTGCAGGATTGTGGCGAAGGATTAACTGGTAGTTGGACAGGAAAGAATATCCCCGATGGATCTCATGTTTTTATCGTGGTTGGTACGGACGAGCTTGGAAATCAAGGACAATATGCTCAAATGAAGTTCACTGTAGGTCAGTCGCTTATGCTATGACTAAAATGGCGTCCATGTTATTTCCAGGACTTCATCGGTTGTAGCGAATTTAGCTACTTGGTATCAAATCTACAACTTAATTTGAATTTTAACTGCCGCTCTTGTAGTTGTGTGTTATTTGTTGCCAGTTAGTGGATAACGATACCAATTTTTTTGACCTGGAAGGTGGAGATGTTAAAATCGGCACCATAGATTGTGGCGCCTCGTGAGATTGAGCCCTTGAAGTTTTAGAAACGTTCCTATGCTCCTGGTTTTGACCTCCGTGTTATTCACGATAAGAGAAAGCAGTTTTTGTTATTTTTTTAAAAAGCGCCTTTTTTGCAGATAACACGGTTCCCGAAATAACATTCCCGGAGACCTTCGTAAAGACAAATTCCAATCCAGAAATCTCCTGGCGCTCTTCTGAAAATGCCCAGTTTGAATGTTCGCTTGACGGTGGTGACTTTGAGGGTTGTGGCAGTGGTTTGAGCAATCGCTGGAGTCGAGACAATCTTCCTGACGGAAAACATACGTTCTCTGTTCGCGGTCGCGATAGGAACGGAAATGTTGGAGAAGTTCAAACAATTGAATGGACAGTAGGTAGGAAAGCTTTAAGTTTTACTTCATGTGTTGTCATTGTGGAGTCGCAGCTCTTGGTTTGCACTACAAGCAATACAGTTCTAGAGTCGTTTAATGTGTTCTCACAAAACTGAGTAATTATTTTTCTCGTTGTAAACTTGTATTTTATTTCAGAAAAATGTAAAGCTATAAATTATGTTGTTTTAGACGGACAAGATCCGACGCTGTCCATCACGAGCAACACGCCAGCCAATAACAATAATCTACGTCAGACTATTTCGTGGAACACAACCGAGCCCGCAAATTTCGAATGTAAACTGAACGGATTTGTGGTGAGTTGCGGAGAACTGGGCACTGAAGGATCGTACACTACTCCTAATCTAGAAGATAAGGTGCATACGTTTGAAGTTACGGCTATCGACGATGTTGAAAATCGTGGCAAGCCCACGTTTGTCACTTGGAGGACAGGTACGCGCTCTCTTTCTCGTTTGCAGTCATTTTCATGTCAAATTTTTGCTAGTTTATATAGTTTTGCCTGTTTATATGCCTCGCCGGTGCTAAAGAAGAAGTTTCTATCGCACCGAACAAAACACTAGACACATATCTGTGTGGGAAAAACTATTGGTCAGGATGAAGCTAGGATAAGTTTTTCACATGAGAATTTTCCTGAAATTCAAGCAAGCGCAAAAGACATGCTTATCACATAACTACTCGAGCGATATTTCGGTAACAGATCCAGTGATCTTGTACAAGTGGGAAGGCTGATCGTATAACGAGTAGGATCTCGATGAGTGTGCTGTCACCATCTGACCATAAACATTCAAACATCGATCGTAATAAAGTGGCATGCCCCCCCCTCCCACCCGTCACAATACTTTTTCCTGGAATCTGCAATCTATGGGTGATCCCAAAAGCGTATCTAAGAGTATTAGCAGTTTTAGAACTCATTCTTAATACTGTTGTTGCCTAACTTCAAACCTCTCGTGAATCGCCGTTATGGAAATGCGTGTTAGTTATAAACTGTTGTTATTAAAATAATAAACAATTTTTAGACACAACATCACCAGTTCTATCTCTGACGAGTCGAAGTCCATCGCGAACAAATCAACCGTCGCAGACAATAAGATGGAGTTCCAATGAACCCAGTGTATTTGAGTGTATGCTCAATGGACGAAAGGTTGAGTGCGGAAATGGAACCTTTGGTATTTACACTACACCAAACTTACCCAACGGTCCTCAAACTTTTACTGTCAATGCCGTGGACAAAGTTGGAAATAAGGGTTCGCGAAATTCATCAGCTGGTTTCTAGGTAAGATTTTCGAAAATTAAATATGCAGCATAATTTCGTTTGACGTGATTCAAATTCAACGTGGCTTGCATAAAAACCGAGAGCCGTCATGCCACTATATTTGGCGTCACAAGCTTGAAAACTGACAGGCTTCATTTTTGCATGTTTTAGCGTACTCATAATTCAATTGTATTTTATGGATTAGGTCATGCATACGTTAATATTGCACTGCTAGCAATCGTTTGTCTAACTTTTCACAGTTGACATGATTAGATAGATATTGAGGCTGTGCAGTTGCGTTTTTCCAAAAAGCATTTAAAATGAAATAAATTTTGGTGTGTATCTTTTCAGACAACGAACCACCGGTCATAACACTCACCGACGACATTTCTTCAAGTACGAATAATCCACGTGTGCTGATTACATGGAACTCGACTGAGCCCGCAAACTTTGAATGCACACTGAATGGCGAACAGGTTGACTGTGGCAGAGGAACAACTGGAATATACACAACACCTGTTTTACCCGACGGAAATCATAAATTCGTTTTAGTCGGTGTGGATGATTTGGGTAATAGAGGTACACCAATGGTTGTTGATTGGTTAACAGGTATGTGTTCATATTGTCTATTTCACAAATCTCACCAAAACAATCTGATGTTTTTCACTTTTCCACATAGACAAAAAAGGCCCTGGATTAAGCATCACCAGTAGCAATCCAGCAAAGACCAACAACAAACAGCAGACATTTAGGTGGACCTCTACGGAACCTGCGACATTCAAATGTACACTAAATGGAAGAGCAGTTGATTGTGGCCAGGGTACCAATGGACAATTTACTACCCCGACATTGCCTGATGGCCAACATACTTTTCAGGTTAATGCCGTGGATAATCTGGATAACAAAGGAACACCACAGACTGTCAGGTGGACTACAGGTGAGATTGGTGTATCAACTTATCTTCATGATATTCATTGATAATACTCGGTTGCTCAAAAAAGATTAAAAAAAGCATTATGTTTTTACAATCTGTAGATAGTAGAGCGCCAGTTCTGACATTTACAAATGACGTGCCATCAAAATCAAACGATCCAGAAGTTTCAATCTCGTGGAATTCTGATGAGCCTGCTGACTTTGAATGTACTCATAATGGTTTGTCTGTTGACTGTGGTAGTGGAACCAGGGGCGTCTTCACCACCAGCAACTCACCTGATGGGAACAATGTATTTACTGTAAATGGTGTGGATGATTTGGGTAACAAGGGGGTACCGAAGGTCATTAGTTGGTTGAAAGGTAGGAATCTTTATTTCATATATTTGATGTAGAAGAATGGTTATGACAAGTATTGATTCATCGAATTTTTTCTAAACTTCGATGAGAGTTTATAATTTTTTACAAACTTTGCTGGCACGCACTCTTTTAACATGCGTTTTGAACATCTTGTTCATTTCGTATAGACACGACAGGTCCTGGACTGACAATAACTAGCAGCAATCCACCCAAGACCAGCAATAAACGACAAACATTGACATGGAGCACAACTGAACGTGCAACATTTGAATGTACACTTGATGGAAAAGTTGTTGAGTGTGGTTCGGGCACAACAGGTCTATACACTACACCTTCGTTACCTGATGGGGACCACGAATTTAAAGTGACTCCTGTGGATGATTTGGATAACAGAGGAATTGAAAAAACCGTTAAATGGTCCACAGGTAAATTCTCGTTCATGTACTTAAATTAGATAATGTTGGAAGGAGTTCTTTTTCCTTAACTAAAACTATGGCGGAGTTATTTCTTTTTTCATCAGCTGATGAAAATGAATTATGAGCTTGATTTTTATATACAGCAAGTTTTTATATACACAATATTAATCCTAACACGATTTTTATATACACATGAAAAACATGTGACTTGGAGACGAGATTTGAACTCGAACCTTCGGGATACTAGCCGAGACAAACAAGCTCATAAGCTACCAAGCCCACAGGGATTGGAGACGAGTCAAATCTCTTTGAAACTGCGTATAGACGAGAGATTCGACTTTATTCCAAAGCCATCATCCGAGAATATACTTAATATTATTCGTAACACGGTTTTTATATGCGCATGAAAAACAATGAAAAACGGTTTTTCACATGCATATAAAAATCGTGTTAGGATTAATATTTTTAGGATTCAATTTTATAATAGGACGTCAACAGGTAGATCGGCGGACTAGTGTCCCAAAGGTGTGAGTTCAAATCTCGTCCAAGTCACATGTTTTTCATCTACATATAAAAATTGTCTTGGTATTAATATTATGTATATTCTCTGATGATGGCTTAGGAATAAACTAGCATTAACTAGGTAGGAATTGAATAGTTTTTGTTAAAACTAGATAATGATGGAGTAAATTCTTGTTGTATATCCAAAACTGGACAATATGTATCTTCTCTAGATACGACAGGCCCACGTACCCAGTTCACCAATACTGTACCATCAAGCACCAATCAAACTATAGCAAAACTCAGTTGGAGGTCAAACGAGGCAGCAATCTTTACGTGTAGTCTTGATGGAGTCGAGGTACCTTGTGGTGATGACACTAATGGAACTGTTGGTAGTTATACGACACCCGATCTTGGTGATGGTAGACATTTCTTCTCCGTGTTGGCGGACGATCCATTGGGAAATATTGGACGACCTGTGACATTTTCATGGGATATCGGTAAGTTAAAAATCAGTGTAGATGTGAAAACATTTCGGCAAAGTTATCTTTCATTTCTTTTGGAAATTGATTTCATTTATTATTTTTTATTGGAAAAAAATTGCATTGTAGTGATTTTAACGTCAAGCTGGTTTCGCCAATTTAAAATGGTGTGTATCATTTTATGTATGATTCACATACATGAGAGCCTGTTCTCGTTTTCTACTTCTCTTTCATTACTACCTACTTTGACACATCTTACCTTAGTTTATATTTGTATTTTATATAAATTCTGTTTGTTCTCTGTTGTTTATTCATCACTGATTGTATAAACATTGTTCTTGTTCTCTGTTCATCACTTCTAACATTGACACACGTTATCTTAGTGTAAAGGCCTTTTGTTTTAGATTCCACTGCTCCAGACGTGGCTTTCTCATCATCTTTGACAAAGAAAACTCGAGGAAATCCTTACATTACTTGGAGCAGCTCCGAGATCTCTCAGTTTGAGTGTACTCTAGACTTAGAAACAACCTCTAAAAAAACTAAGTGTGGCCGAGGCAGATCAGGTCAATGGAATGGATTTAACATCTCCCATGGTCCTCATACGTTCTGGGTGCGAGGTACTGACAATCAAGGAAATGTTGGAGAGTGGAAGCCTTTCTCCTTTGAAGTTGGTAAGATTATTATTGAGTTCGGGTTGCTGTGTTTTTTGATTCTATGTACTTTTTGACACAATGCTTTCAGTGAGCAATGCAATGGCACGAGAGAGGTTGTTAATTGTGATGTTGTCAATAGAGATGTTCTCTATGGAGATGTTGTCTAAAGAGATGTTGTCTATAGAGATGTTCTCTATAGAGATGTTCTCTATTGAGATGTTGTCTATGGAGATGTTGTCTATAGAGATGTTGTCTATAGAGATGTTGTCTATGGAGATCTTGTCTATGGAGATGTTGTCTATAGAGATGTTGTCTATAGAGATGTTGTCTAAAGAGATGTTGTCTATAGAGATGTTGTCTATAGAGATGTTGTCTATGGAGATGTTGTCTATGGAGATGTTGTCTATAGAGATGTTGTCTATAGAGATGTTGTCTAAAGAGATGTTGTCTATAGAGATGTTGTCTATAGAGATGTTGTCTATAGAGATGTTGTCTATAGAGATGTTGTCTATAGAGATGTTGTCTATAGAGATGTTGTCTAAGAGATGTTGTCTATAGAGATGTTGTCTATAGAGATGTTGTCTATAGAGATGTTGTCTATAGAGATGTTGTCTATAGAGATGTTGTCTATGGAGATGTTGTCTATAGAGATGTTGTCTATGGAGATGTTGTCTATGGAGATGTTGTCTATGGAGATGTTGTCTATGGAGATGTTGTCTATAGAGATGTTGTCTATAGAGATGTTGTCTAAAGAGATGTTGTCTATAGAGATGTTGTCTATAGAGATGTTGTCTATAGAGATGTTGTCAATAGAGATGTTGTCACAACCAAGTCTGTGAACAGACATTTTTGTCAATAGAGATGTTTTCAATTGAGATGTTGTCAATAGAGATGTTGTCAATGTGGATGTTGTTCATAAAGATGTCACAGAACACTATTTATTTTCTATGTTACAGATTCCGATGGTCCTGAAATCACATTCAATGATCATCCAAAGAAGTTCAGAAGTAACCCTACATTGACGTGGTCATCATCAGAACCAGCGAACTTTAAATGTCGCATGGAAAACAGCTTGGAAGGGTTCGATTGTGGTAATGGAATGACGGGTCAATTTACTGGAAACAAAATTCCTGATGGTCCTCACAAGCTATTTGTCTATGGTGTGGATGATATGAATAATATTGGTGATGTGAAAGAGTTGCGGTTTCATATTGGTCAGTCTTGCATATTTTTCTTACTTAGTTTTGCATATTAATAATAAGATTAAGAATATGTTAGCAGTATCTTCCTGATTTGCTGGGCTTTGCTCAAAATATTTAGAACCAAATGATCTTAAATGCATTTACTCCCTTAAAATTAATCCGGTGTTTTGATATCCTGTCAAAGATAGAGGTTGTTTCAATTGTATGTGTTGATCAGATAAGAAACCACTTATTCTCTTTTTTTTGTTAACATTAAGATTCAACCGGGCCAAAAATTACATTTTCCGCCGACCAACCTACTGTAACGAAGAATTTTGCCACCTTCAATTGGACGTCATCTGAATCTGCAAGATTTAAATGTGCTCTGGATGATGGCAACCTGGAATTTGTAGACTGCGGCGAGGGAACTAGTGGCACCTGGTTTAAAGATAATCTTCCTGATGGTCCATGGCGTTTCGTGGTTTATGGCGTAGATGATATGAATAATAGAGGCTCTGAAGTCGAACACAACTTTGTTGTTGGTGAGTCAGTTTTTGTTATTTTGATTTAGGAAAAAGGGTTGGTAAGAAGTTAGTGTGGTGAGTGTATAAGAGTATTTCAAAAAGAAGAGTATATCAGGACTCAAGTTTCAACAGATCACTCCTGATGAAAGCACTAGATCGGCGTTCATATGGACTTATTATTAGATCTCTCCGAACTGCACCAGAACATAAAATAACGGAATGAAATTCTTCTACTAGATAACACTGGTCCTAAGATCGTATTTGTAAATCCACCTCGTTTAACAAACAATGTGCCGACATTTGCTTGGACCTCTCAAGAAGATGCCGAGTTCATGTGCTCGCTTGATGGCGCTGATTACGAAAAATGTGGTAGTGGAAGAACTGGAATTTGGACTCGTAACAATTTACCACATGGCAGACATACATTTTCTGTCCGTGGAAAAGATAAGAATGGCAACGTTGGCATTCCTGTTCCTCATGTCTTTAATGTCGGTAAGCTTTTCTCTTTAACATGTCTTTAATGTTTGTAAGCTTTTCTCTTTAACACGTCTTTAATGTTTGTAAGCTTTTCTCTTTAACATGTCTTTAATGTTTGTAAGCTTTTCTCTTTAACATGTCTTTCATGTTGGTAAGCAGTCTTGTGTAGCTTGTCTTTAATTATAAGCAGTATTTTTTAGCTTGTCTTTAATTGTCAGCAATCCTGTGTAGCTTGTCTTTAATTGTCAGCAATCCTGTGTAGCTTGTCTTTAATATATGTAAGCAGTCCTATTCAGCATGTTCTTAATATCGGTAAGCTATCCTGTTCAACATGTCTTAAATGTCGGTAAGTTATCCTGTTCAGCATGTCTGTAGTCGCAGTAAGCTATCCCGTTTATCATTTTTTTTGCTAACTTTGAAGGCAAATTAATGAATTTTTATTTTTTATGTTCATTGATCTTATATAAAAATTATCAGAATTAAAACTGATTAAAAATACACTTTCCTATACTTAAATACACTTTCCTTTTTTATGTTCATTGATCTTATGCAAAAACTATCAGAATCCAAACCAATTAAAAATATACTTTCCTAGATACTAGACCTCCTAATGTTATACTTGCTTCAACCACGCCAAAAACATCGAATTTCTCAACAACCTTCAAATGGACGTCAGATGAAGAAGCGACGTTTCTCTGTGCTATTGACAACTCTCTGCCTGAAGAATGTGGATCTGGTATCGACGGGGAATGGACAACTCCAAGACTGAATGATGGAGATCATGTTTTCTTTTTGATTGCTACCGATCTCGTGGGTAATAGAGCTCCAAAGAAAGCAATGCGATGGACAATCGGTAGGACATGCTGTCATTCCTAAGTATTTTCCCGTTGTAATCCCCCTACCGATATTTTGGATAGGAGAGCCCTAACATTAGAATATGATGGCTAAACAGTAAGAATTTTATTGCCGTCCCTATTAATCTATTGTAATCCCTTGCAGATGAAATTGTTAATCACGAGTTTTCGAATATAGCCATACCATACATCGATTGACAACATCTTTGACCACACATTTCCGCGATAGTTCCCCTTCATCTATAATTCCGCTGTAGTTCTCATGTATCTATCATCATTTACTGAGCATGTAACCATTTACATTCCGCTTTCCGCCCTCATCTACTTCTTGCGATTATATTATCTGTTCATATTTTATGGACTAAACTACTTGAAGACATATAATGCATTTCAATGGAATGTACTTGCATAAACCATTGAATGCATAGACCATTGAATGCACAGACCATTGGATGCATGGACCATTGAATGCAGAGAACATTGAATGCATGGACCATTGAATGCACAGACCATTGAATGCACATACCATTGAATGCACAGACCATTGAATACACAGACCATTGAATGCACATACCATTGAATGCACAGACCATTGAATGCACATATCACTGAATGCACATACCATTGAATGCACAGAACATGGAATGCATAGACCATTGAATGCACAGAACATTGAATGCATGCACCATTGATTGCACAGAACATGAAATGCACAGACCATTGAATGCACACACCATTGGATGCACAGATCATTGAATGCACAGAACATTGAATGCACAAAACATGGAATGCATAGACCATTGAATGCACAGAGCATGGAATGCACGGACCATTGAATGCACAGACAATTGAATGCATGCACCATTGATTGCACAGAACATGGAATGCACAGACCATTGAATGCACAGACCATTGGATGCACAGATCATTGAATGCACAGAACATTGAATGCACAGAACATTGAATGCACAGAACATGGAATGCATAGACCATTGAATGCACAGAACATTGAATGCACGGAACATTGAATGCACAGATCATTGAATGCACAGAACATGGAATGCATAGACCATTGAATGCACAGACCATTGAATACATGCACCATTGAATGCACGGACCATTGAATGCACAGACCAATGAATGCATGCACCATTGAATGCACAGAACATGGAATGCACAGACCATTGAATGCACAGACCATTGGATGCACAGATCATTGAATACACAGAACATTGAATGCACAGAACACGGAATGCACGGAACATTGAAAGCACAGATCATTGATGGCACAGAACACTGAGTACACAGACCATTTAATATCAAGAACAATGGATGCCCAGACTTCATGACTGTGATTTCTTTTAGACTCAGTTGGTCCAAAAATCTCATTCCTGTCTAACCAACCCACTTCTACAAGAAGCAGTCCTACAATTAGATGGACCTCTTCAGAAAACGCGAGATTCAAATGTGCCGTCGATAAGGGTCAGCGGCAATTCGTTGATTGCGGTGAGGGCTTTAGTGGGGAGTGGACTGGGACGAATCTTCCTGATGGTGTTACCAGATTTTTAGTCTATGGTGTGGATAAGACAAATAACCAGGGACCAACATCTGAACATCAGTTCACAGTTGGTAAGCTCTTTAAAGTGATTTCTACCCTGATGTTGTTTGCCTATACTGCTGTTAGTAGGCCATTACACAACGGTTGGGATTACCCAACGTTAATTGTGGCTTGTGAGTATTTTAAAACGTTAGCATCGTTCACAGTTCAATATTTAGACCTACACGAAATAACCGAATTACATAATTAATTTCCAAAGTCTTCGCAAGAGGAATAATTTGAGCTACACAACACGAAGTAGCAACAAGTAGTTGCTCAACTCACTAAAGTTTACATTGTTTCACCATTTCTTGACAGATAAGTCGTAGCAACAACATACTAAACTTTACATTGTTTCATCATTTATTCACAGATAAGTAGTAGCAACGACTCACTAAACTTTACATTGTTTCATCATTTATTCACAGATAAGTCGTAGCAACGACATACTAAACTTTACATTGTTTCATCATTTATTCACAGATAAGTCGTAGCAACGACATACTAAACTTTACATTATTTCATCATTTATTCACAGATAAGTCGTAGCAACGACATACTAAACTTTACATTGTTTCATCATTTATTCACAGATAAGTCGTAGCAACGACATACTAAACTTTACATTGTTTCACCATTTATTCACAGATAAGTCGTAGCAACGACATACTAAACTTTACATTATTTCATCATTTATTCACAGATAAGTCGTAGCAACGACATACTAAACTTTACATTGTTTCACCATTTATTCACAGATAAGTCGTAGCAACGACATACTAAACTTTACATTATTTCATCATTTATTCACAGATAAGTCGTAGCAATGACATACTAAACTTTACATTGTTTCACCATTTCTTGACAGATAAGTCGTAGCAACGACATACTAAACTTTACATTATTTCATCATTTATTCACAGATAAGTCGTAGCAAACGACTTACTAAACTTTACATTGTTTCATCATTTCTTGACAGATAAGTCGTAGTAACAGCTATTTGCTTCAAATACGAAACTTTGCAATGTTTCACGTTTGGTAAAGATACTTTAGATATGCAGAAACCTAGCAGTTATAATCACATGTTTTAACCCAAAAATTATAAATGCCTTGTCTTATATCACATTTTGCGCTTCCAGATACTCGGCCACCTCAACTGACCTTCTTAGGGGAGCTGCCTAAAACAAGAGAACAAAATCCAACCATTCGTTGGTCATCTAACGAATACGCCTCGTTTGAGTGCATGCTTCAAGATAACGTCATATTCGATTGTGGCTCAGGAGGCGAGGGATCATGGACGGGTAGGAACTTGGTTGACGGTCCACATATTTTATATGTCCGTGGTACAGACCGTCTGAATAACACGGGAGAATTCATCTCGACGTCATGGAAAGTTGGTGAGGCCTTTATTTTGAACGAAGTACAGTAGTTTTGTTGCATGTACGACTGCAAAGCATGCCGGGCACGAGGAATACAAAAAATGCCATCGTTTTAAGGCCACGTTAATACTTATCACTCTACATTACTCTTTGTTTAGCCGGAATCATGTAACCACTCTTCTTGTTATATAGCCTCTCCTTCTCGTGGTTACTTGTTCTTTGATGTTAAACAATTGTTGGTCGAGGGCACCGTGAAGTGTGAATTTTTTTCTGCTTGTGTTGTGTGAAACTATTTCTAGGTTCAAAAATGAATGAAAAACTTCCGTCAAATGATAGAATATGTGCAAAATATTTTCTGTGGTTTTTAATATTCCGTGTATATCTTCATTTAACCGTTGTTGTCCATGTGATTTTTCGTAGACGAGAGTGGTCCGCGGTTGCAGTTCCTAGGAAAGATACCATCTAGAACAAGACGTTTTCCTCGACTTCGTTGGCGTTCAAATGAGTATGCATCCTTTGAATGTTCATTGAACGGTGGAGAATACAGGAGTTGTGGCAATGGAATGCTGGGATCTTGGACAAAAGATGAAAGTCCAACTGGAAAACAGGTTTTTATGGTCAGAGGTCGTGATGTTAATAAAAATTATGGTGATCCTATTGCAGTTACTTTCATTGTTGGTAAGTTTCAAGTTGAGGTAACATGAAGTACACTAATAGCCTGAAGAATATTACGTGACTCTTGTAACGCTTTTTATTATAAGATGAAACACGTTCATTTTCTTTTCATTCTCAATACAGATACTACCGCCCCAACAATAAATCTCTTGGAACCACTTCCTACGACAACCAAAAGTCCAACATGGACGTTCACATGGACTTCAAGTGAACTGGCGAACTTTAGTTGTGCCGTAAACACTTTAGCCAATCCAGTCGATTGTGGGTTTGGATTAAATGGCCGTTTTACGACCCAGCCACTCACAGATGGTCTACATCGCTTCTATTTATTGGGGGAGGATGCAATTGGCAACACAGCAAGGGTAATCACACATAGATGGGTCGTAGGTAAGGATACAACGTCACATTTATACTTTCATCGACTGCAAGTAATATCGACATTACGTAATTTCTTACCAGCATGCATTTGTGGACGGGGCTAAGGACGAAGCTCTGCGACTTTAGGGAACATGCCCTCACTCCCAGTGACTTTAGGGGACATGCCTTCACTCCAGGTTTAACAGTCAAACAAGTCTGCCATATTGTTTATAGAACGGCATGGTAAATAAAAGAAACAGACAGTTTTCAAATGCTTATTAGATTATGAATTTAGCCGAACATCTCATAAATTTGTGTAAGTGTGAGTACTTTAGCATCTCACTTCAATCAAACACCAAAAAATTCCCCGTTGCTGTATGCACAAACCCTTCAAAATGCGCTTTCTGTGAACCACTTTCCCTTTAGTCGAGATTGAATTTTCAGCTTATTTTAGTGTAAGATTATACTGATCTCACTGAACAAATCTATGAGATGTTTGGCTAAATTCATTGTTTGTTGAGCGTTTAGAAATTTGTACTTTTTTCTACACTCCTCTGTAGAATATTATTTATACTACGTTTAAATGCATAACTCGTAATGTTGTAATTGAAAACGTTAAAATGCTGAAATTTTTATCCACAAATTAACTGCAAATGTGACCTTGTACCGTGTGGCTGGACAATATTGTCAACTTTGTGGTCCAGAAATATTTCAGAGCGGACATGTCCTCTTGTTTGTGAACTGATATCGTTGTAGAAAATTTCACACTCAACTTAGCAAATTTATTATGAATTGCTGTGAAAATTTGTTATTCTATCGTAATTACTGATATTTTCATTGATTTGCCCATGATTTCGCTTACTTTATAAACAGATAAAACGAAACCAGAGATCGTGATTCTTCCCAATCAACCTGGAATCTCCGACAAAGACATAACAATATTGTGGAAAACGGTCTCCAACAAGCCAGCAAAGTTCGAGTGCGCGCTAGATGACATGAACCAAATGGAACCTTGTGGCGAGGGCACTACAGGGTCATGGTCCGGCATTCAGATCCCCGATGGCAATCACTCGCTGTATGTTCGAGCCAAAGATGGGTTCGGTGATTATGGTCAGGTCCAGATACACTCTTGGAAAGTTGGTGAGTGATTTTTCTTCTGATTAGATGATATGAATCATTTCATTGGTTTGCGAAAGTGGGAATCCTCTTTTTCTTATCTTCTTTTATGAGCAAATTGTCTTATTGAATAACAGCTGTTTTTGAATCAGAATGTTGATTTCCATTTTGTCCGCATTTTATTAGCCATATTTGTAATTTTATGCAATCACTCTTTGTGTACAGACGTTTAGTAATGTGTATGCCATACAGCCATAAAAAACATGTACCATGCGGGGAAATAAAAATCGGCTTATTTTGAATCGTTTTCTGTTTCAACAGGCAATATCAACAACAAATTAAGCTAATGAATAAAAATTGCAAAAGTTTTGCGATTCTGTTGACGGCCACTCGGCTGCAATGTATATGTTTTATTGGCTAAATAAACTTACAGTAAACATTCTCATTCATTATTTTGCTATTTAAATGTAAAAGGGGATGCCCCCCTTCGAGAAAAGTGAGGGAGTTTCAGCCCTCCTTCTCCCCCACTTTCGACGAACCCGATTTAGCCAAAACATCTTGTCTTCAGCAAAAAGAAGTGCATGCTATCTTGTATTCAGCTATGAAAAGGTGGATGCATCTTGTATTCAGCTATAAAAAGGTGCATGCATCTTTTATTGAACTATAAAGAAATGCATGCTATCTTGTATTGGACTATAAAGACGTGCATGCTATCTTTTATTCAGCTATAAAGACGTGCATGCATCTTGCATTCAGCTATAAAAAAAGTGCATGCATCTTGTATTGAACTATAAAGAAGTGCATGCTATCTTGTATTGAACTATAAAGAAGTGCATGCTATCTTGTATTCAGCTATAAAGAAGTGCATGCTATCTTGTATTGAACTATAAAGAAGTGCATGCTATCTTTTATTCAGCTATAAAAACGTGCAGGCATTTTGTATTCAGCTATAAGAAAGTGCATGCATCTTGGAATGATTTGTGATGCTTAACAAACAGTTGTAGTTTTTACTCTCGAAGTTTTGCCTCCTTTTAACGCCTCCCTGCTAGCCGGGATCATGTAAACAGCCCCTTAGCTGTAAAGAAATGTATGTTTTTCCTGCCAGCAGTCATAGTGAGGCTTATGCTATCTTATGATTAGCCTATTGGTACACTTTATTGTTTGGCAATCAGCTCAAAAAAGTTCAAAAGTGAGTATATTATATTTATTTTTAGACACCAAGGTTCCTCAAATTCGATTAGTGGGCAAACCTCCCCTGCGTTCCACGTACAGCGTGGGCTCATTCTCATGGACATCTGATGAATTTGCAACGTTCTCTTGCGCCGTGGATGTTGCCGAGTACGCTGTACCATGTGGCAGTGGCTTCAGGGGGAACTGGATGACTTCAGAACTCGACGATGATACACACTCATTTTATCTCTTTGCGGAGGACGCTAATGGCAACCAAGCTGATCCTATTACTTATCAATGGACTATAGGTAAGAATGTCATTGAACGTGTACTCACATCGAGAAATAACCAGGAGCGTGTCGGATGGGGGACAGTCGTGTGGGGTGTGGCATCTCTAATAATATCTAATTCTAAGTATCGTTGGTCAAAAAATTGTTGAAAAGTTTTCAGTTTTAAATGTCGAAGTTGGCCACTTAATTTTACATTATCCCTGGAAGAATTTTTTGAGTTTGTTGCACATATTGAGTTACCTTTGAGGTCTTCGAGTTCTCAACATGTAAATATTGATGAAGAAGTAGTCACTGTCACTGTAACTAGTTGGTTGACCTCATATCACGCTCTCCAATCCACTTTCGCTCGCCATGCATACCCCCTTGAAATAACTGAAGTTAAGTGATATATTTGCTATGAAACACTTGCAGTAAACTGTAATATCAAATATGACCTTCGTACAAACAGACACGACCCCGCCAGTTGTGACATTGGACGAAAATTCAGAACGCGTATCCGGGCGGAGCGTAACAATAAAATGGAGGGCGAACGAGAACGCCATTTTCCGATGTTCTGTCGACAACGTATTTGACGATAGAGATTGCGGCAGCGGTCTTGATAGTCAGATAAAATTGACGGATCTTGAAGACGGAGAACATAGCGTATGGATTAAGGCCACTGACACTTTGGGAAATTTAGCTCCGTGGAAAAAACACACGTGGGTTGTTGGTAAGTCATTCATTTGCTCTTATGAATATGAAAGGGCCCAAAAACTGCATGCCCGATTGCGCCGTCAACAGTATTTGCTAACATATTGCTTTGTATAAAAAAAAATAGTAAGTTCGCATGTGTTGTTGTTTTCTTAAAAGATTAAATGCATTTCTCTGCTTTTCGAGCATAAAAATGTTCTAGTTTTATCAATGTCTCGATCGTTGCTTTGACCTGCCACTCGCCTTTGTCAAAAAAGGGGTGGGGAGGGGAGGGCAACCTGTTTGGCAACGACACTCCGATAAGTGAAGAAATTCTACAACGGAGATAAGCGGCTCAAATTTCGATACGACATGTCAAATCTGTCTAAGTACAAACTAAACTAATGATTGTTTTGTTACATTGCGTTGGATTTCGAGAATAACATTTCTTATGAGCAAGCACGAAATCATGGATAAAGAATATCAACGTGAAATGAACGAAAGTTTAGTTTGAGTCATTTCTGAGGTATTTGATGACGTTTTGTATGAGCCGAGCGTTTTTCTTTACTCATTTAATTACCACTTTTTGATGCTCTATCGTATAAATGTTGGTGACATTAGGAGCTTTATAACTTGATGTTGCCGACACATATTCAAGTTTGCATACAGCAAATTTGGGACTGCGGAGCATGTTTATATGAGGGAGGTTGCGGGGCTGCTTATGATATGAGGGAGGTTTCGTTGCTGCATAATAAAGCAGACTGCAGGATCAATGGTCCCCGAAAAATTTCTGAGGTTTGCGGAAAAAAATCTTTTAAAAATACAAAAAGATCTTTGTCTAAGGACCTGCTCTGCGGTCCTTTGATAAAGGAATCGCTTAGAATTCCCGCCCGCCCCAGTAAAGGCTGTTATAAAGTGAATGGTTTGAGCCCGGGAGTATCGTTACACGTTAGTGGATGTAGACCGTCCATGTTAGTAGAGTCCTGAGAAGGGCTGTTGGTGTTGATGTTGACTGACGTTTCCACAACCTTTGAAAATTACTCCTCACTCGACTCTGAAGACTACCGCTTTTCGAAACGTCAGTCAACATTGATACCAACAGTCCTTCTCGGGACTCTACTAACTTGGACGATCCACATGTACAAACATCTGAAGATTGTTACGTCTCCATCAATGTTACTGCGAGGTGCTTCATTCAATGGACTATTTCAATATCACTGAAATAACACTCTTTTGTTCAGATTCCAAACCGCCCGAACTAGATTTTACATCTAAACTACCCAACAAGACCAGCGGTGATGTTAAATTCTTTTGGAGGTCAAAAGAGGAGGCAAGTTTCAATTGTGGTACGGATGCCGATAACCTTACAGACTGTGGCGTTGGTGATGTTGGGAATTGGTCCGCGAAGAACCTATCCGATGGCGATCACGTATTCTACGTTGAAGCCATTGACGAATTTGGAAACAAAATTAGGATTCAACACCAATGGACCGTTGGTATGTAGATTTTCACACTATCTCTGTTGCTTTTGTTATCCTTAGATAAAGTGTTCTTTTCGCTTTTCTCAGTTGGGCTTTCCCTCCCTCTCTCACACCCCCACATGTAATGCTTTGCTCTGTGTTGTTGTATGACCCCATTTATGTATTGTTTTATTTTTTGCTTCACCATATACTTTTCTTCGCTATTTTTTGTGCCATATCTTACTGTAATAAATGCGTTCATATCCCCTGGTACCCTGCCGTAGCTTACAATATCCTTTCCTCTCGGTATATTATCCTTTTGTACGTTATTTTATCTTTATTCTGATGTTATACTTAAACTGAATCCTACTGTATCCCACCATACGTTACTACAAGACTACAATTTATCCTACTGTATCCCACCATACGGTACTAAAAGACTTCAATTTATCCTATGTCTTAGACGACAGGCCACCAATTTTGTCCTGGAGAAGAAGGGTTCCAGCCGTTACATCCAAACGAGTTCGATTCAAGTGGAGATCGAATGAAATCGCAGACTTTTACTGCGGTCACGAAAACTACAACGATATGAAACCGTGTGGTACTCTGAATACAAAAGGAAACCGCATCATAGATAATCTTCCCGAGGGGAAACATCTGTTTTGGGTGCTTGGCGTTGATGAAGTAGGAAACAGAGGGCTGCCTTTAAGTCACGAATGGATCGTTGGTAAGCACATTTTTATGCTCGTATTCTAAAAGTGACGTTGTGCCACACAAAAACCATGCTCCAACTTTACAAATGAGTTTCATTTTGACATCGATAGCAAGATTTTTGCTAAAATACTTCAAATGAAGCAATCAGTGGAGTAAAAATGCCGTCTTCGAACAATTATGAGCTGCTTTTCAAGCTTCACTCGGTTACTGTGACTGTGAGTTTGAGTGAGTTTTTAGAATACAGGACCCGGTTGCACGAAGCCTGGATAACGTTATCCTTTGGATAGCAAAAATCTTCAAACTTGTAAAAAAAGTGTTTATGTTTTTCTTGCGACAAAGAAATTTCGTAATCTTCGAAACAATATTTTATTTCAGTGATTGTTCAGTTGGACTCTTATACTTTTTGCTATTTAAAAGGTTTTATAAAAGCGTAAAAAATCTTGCTATCCAATGAATAACGCTATCCAGGCTTCGTGCTACCGGCCTCTGACGTTATTTACTAAAGATAATATGTACGAACCATGAGAGAATTATGAGATCAACTTGTCTTGTATAGACCAAACGCGATGTTGAAAAATTATCTCATTTTATAAATCTTAAATTTTTTCCAGTCGTGCTCTCCTCACTAGCGATGCCTTCTATACCTTTATAAACTTCTTTTCAACAACATCTAGTTGCCGGTTTCACAAAGACCAAATAGTGCTATCCACTGGATGGCAAAATTTTTAGAAAGCCCAAAAAGTCTCCAAAAAAAGGAAAAATCTACGATTTAAACTGGACAAGAACCTGGTTCTGGAAGTACAAAATTTGTTTGTCGTATAAAAAATATAAACACCTCTTTTCAAAGTTTGAAAATATTACTATCAAATAGATAACGCTTCCCCCAGATGTTTAATACAATATTACACCTTTTGCAGACACCAAAGGTCCAACGTTGTTCTTCGATCAGCCTATGCCAAGAAAGAGTGGACGAAGCGTAAGATTTTCATGGCGCAGCAATGAGAGAGCTAGATTCCAGTGCGCTTTTGACAACATCAACACTTTCTTTGACTGTGGTGAAGGCTTTGAATCGGATCTACAGTCGAACAATCTCAGACGAAACGGTCTGCATTCGTTATATGTAAGAGGCACAGACGATTATGGTAACGTTGGTGAGGTGATCAGAGCTGAATGGACTGTCGGTTTGTATTCCTTGCTATATTTTTGTTACAAAGCGTTTTTTTGTGATGTGCTGTTTTTTTCTCACCAATATAAATTCACGTCACGTTAGGGGGTGACCTTAAAAGAGGTTTGGGGCCGAATAAATTTTCACACCAAAATGGTTAGCGCATACTTATTTGAGCTACACATTCTTCAATAGCAATCTCTATTTATTACAATACCCAATCCAGTACGTGCACAAGTGCTTTTTGAAAAAGAAAAAACACATTCGTATGATCTATAAGTTCGGAATAATTGATAAAAAACGAAAATGATTTTCATCGTTAGCGGTTTTTACATCATATCGTTAATATATTTTCAATCATCTAACTGTCTGACGAAACAGACAATGGCATGAAAGATTCTGCTTTGGAAATAGCCCTGTGTGAATCTTATATGTATAAAATTATTTAAATATGTAGCTTCAAATAATGGTCAAATACTTAATTTTCACTGTGCAGATCTGGTCGCACCTGTTATATAAAATTATTTAAATATGTAGCTTCAAATAATGGTCAAATACTTAATTTTCACTGTGCAGATCTGGTCGCACCTGTTATATAAAATTATTTAAATATGTAGCTTCAAATAACGGTCAAATACTTAATTTTCACTTTGCAGATCTGGTCGCACCTGTTATATAAAATTATTTAAATATGTAGCTTCTAATAATGGTCAAATACTTAATTTTTACTTTGCAGATCTGGTGGCACCTGTTATATATAATTATTTAAATATGTACCTTCAAATAGTGGTCAAATTTCCTAATTTGCGCTTTGCAGATCTGGTCGCACCTGTTATTGTTGATGTCGGCCCTCTACCGCGTCTTTCAAACCCGAATCCCATCATCACATGGACAGTGAACGAAGAAGCCGTGTTCGAGTGCGCTTTGGACAATAACAATTATATTGGTTGCGGTAATGGTACTGATGGGACATGGCGTGGGCGTAATCTCCCAAAAGGAGACCATAGAATCGTTGTACGTGCCAAGGATCCCCAAGGAAACTTAAACAAGCTTATTGATCACAAATTTGCAGTTGGTGAGTGTTGTCTACGAAACTTTTACCTGGGGGGGAGGAGGGGGGGAGAGACAGACTACATCATTGATGATAAATTTTCTGTTGGTGAGTGTTGTTGCATGCACAACTTTTACCTGTGAGGGGTGTGCAGACTACATTATTGATCATAAGGTCTCTGCTGGTTAGTGTCGTGTACGAACCCTTGTTCCAGGAGGGTTGTTTGATACAAAACAAGGAATATGCTTACATGTCTCGATGTTTTCATATCCTAGCTATGAGGTTCTCCATAATGAACTTCTTTCCGTGTTTACCATAAAGTTATCATGACTTGACAATCAAAGCAAGATTAACTTCACCATAGATTTATCATGACTTGACAATCAAAACAATATTAACTTCACCATAAAGTTATCATGACTTGACAATCAAAGCAAGATTAACTTCACCATAGATTTATCATGACTTGACTCATGAGCTGACAATAACGCTGTATTTTAGGTATTCCTGATAATCGTGGACGAGAGTTCATGTTGGCGTTCATGCAGCAATATAGGGAACAAAGACAGGGCTCTGTGAGTTTGTTTATTACAGCTGAAAACGATACTACAGCCACTATTTCTACTCTCAGTGGCTTCAAAAGACGGATAGAACTGGAGGCTGATGAACTGAAGCGAGTTGAACTACCTATAGAAATCCGACTTTCTGGCAAGTATTCCTAAGACGTTTATATAAGTTGATTCTGGGTTGCAAAAGTCTAGCTGTTGGTCGAAAAGGATCACGTTTTTTGGAGGCTTTGAACGGCTCTTTTTTTACGTTTTCCCGTATTTTTCATTTTTTAATTCCACTCAAATTAGGATGTTTTTTTTTCGTTATGGATAAACTTACATCCTTTCAATTTCAGTTAAAACTACAGTGTTCTCTCTTGCTTTGCGCAGAAAAGATGCGCCTGCGGTGACAAGGATTATTTAATGCGGCTCATCAAATCCAACTTATCGAACGTCTTCATTCCATTTCAGGTACACAGAAAGAAAGAAAGGGTATCTCTGTGATCGGAGAACAAGAACTCGTCGTTTACGGTCTAAATATCATGCCTCATAGTACGGATGCTTTTCTTGCTCTGCCCACAGACATTCAAGCTACGGAATATTATGCCGTATCTTATACTGTCAGTCAGAATTCTCTCATTGGTGTTGTTGGTATATACGACGACACAATTGTTTACATTACATTGAAAATGACACGTAACGTTCCGCTGATCTACCAAGGCGCAATTTATCGTAACGGTGAAACCTTGATTGTTGAGATCAATCGACAGGAGACGTTCCAACTTGCGCATTCTGAAGATTTAACCGGAAGTAGGATCGCATCCACGCGCGTGATCTCCGTCTTCAGTGGTAGCGAGTGTGCAAACGTGCCCAAGAAGTTTGGTTTTTGCGATCATCTTGTCGAAATGCTTACACCTACTAGCACTTGGGGTCGACGATTCGTCACTGCGCCGCTGTTCAGCCGTAAAGCGGGCGATTTCTTCCGAGTGGTCGCCTCAAAAGACAACACAATGGTCACGTTTCATCCACGTGACGTACAATACCTGAATGCTGGCGAGTTTATGGAACGCGATATTCCTTCGGACGAGTATAAATTTATAACTGCCTCTCATCCTTGCATGTTGTTACAGTACAGTAAGGGAGCCGATGCGGACAATACCAATACCGATCCCTTCTTACTCATGATACCACCCATTGAACAATACGCATCCAATTACATTCTTTCCACACCGGATCGGGCTAGACAGCAATATTTCCAGAGCTATATAAATGTGATTGTTTTGACCAAACATTACCGTGGTGTGATCGTTGACGGTCGTCCTGCGTATCTCGCCAATTCGTTTAAGCAGATTACCGGCACACCATACTCTGCCTCCGCTGTAAGAGTCACGAAAGGCGTTCATCGGGTCGACCATACTTCTCCTATCGTCACATTTGGTGCTTTCATGTACGGCTATGCTTGGCGTGACTCGTATGGTTATCCGGGTGGGCTTCGTCTCGCCGATATTACAGGGGCGTGTACGAATGTTGATACACCTGCGGATGGCATGGACAATGATTGTGATCGCAGGATAGACGAGGAACTGAAAAATGGTATCGATGATGACGGCGATGGTAGGATAGATGAAGATCTTGCAACCTTCCCGCCTACAATTGAGCTGGAAAGTCTTGTACATGAGTATGAAAGTTGTACGTTTGTGGTGAGTGTTTTTTTCATTAGGTAGTTAATGGATTTGTGTGGGTAGCTAGTGCATTTCCATAGATAGTTAACAGATTTTAATTGTGTGCCCTGTGTTATAAACAAAGAGTCGAGCTTAGTTACTTCTAGTTAAATATCAAAGAAAATACTCTGTCTATGTGGTTTTGTAGTGGGAAATGACTACCGTGCCTTCGTAGTGGGAAATGACTACCGTGCCTTCGTAGTGGGAAATGACTACCGTGCCTTCGTAGTGGGAAATGACTACCGTGCCTTCGTAGTGGGAAATGACTACCGTGCCGTGCTGTCATTTTTTACCTGCCAAACGGTCCCTTCACACGCCCAAAACAGTCTGGAACACGTGTAAACTGCTCGTTTGTTTTACTTTTTTGATAACACACTTTTTTTATTTAGTTTTGTTTCGTCATTTTTTGCCTGCCAAACGGTCCTTTCACACGCCCAAAACAGTCTGGAACACGTGTAAACTGCTCGTTTGTTTTACTTTTTTGATAACACACTTTTTTTATTTAGTTTTGTTTCGACTTTCACGTACAATTGAGTTTTAAAAGATGTCTCTCAGAAGCTACATTATGTGTTTTGCCAAACGCCAAAACAGGCGATTTATTTGCCCTTGTTATCAAGTAAATTGGAGTAATATAAATGGATTTGCACTTTGCCCGTTTTAAAAACTTTTAACTGCTCCGAATCTCTTTCATCTCATTCTCGAGTCAGCCTCAATGTCCTTTAATTTAAAGTTTTGCAACCAAGACCATCGAATTTACATATTGAACTTCATCTTTGCAGGTTGATGCGCTCGTACCACGCCCCAAAGTCGTGAGCTCGGCAGAGTGTGATAGCAAGGGTTCCCTACGTGTGTCTTACTATGACAAGGTTTCCGAAAGAGATTGCATTCATTCCATCAATAGAACTTGGGAGGCGTCAGATGGCTGTGGTAATGTTGTATATCTAAGTCAGATCATCGAGATAACACGACCCCGTCTCACGGTTCGATTCCCCCTACACGTACCAAATGGTTGCGCGGGCTCAATTGCTCTTTCTGAGACAGGGCGACCTCAGGTGAGCTCCGAAGGCAGGAAAAAGGCTTTCTTGTCATAGTACTTTAACGTTGTGCATTACGCTTGTCTATAGTAAACGTTAGAGCCACTGAATATTTTTATAAAACTATGGAACAATGGAAAGTTCAAGGATTGAAATTATAAGAAAATGATGCCTGACGAGGACTTGAGAAAATTGCCAAAAAGTTGAGAAATGCTCTTATGATAAATGTTCGCATCATATGATGATAAAGATGATTTCAAAACGCTGATTTACTATTGTTCTATATTTTATCTATTGTGGCTGAGTCAAATTGTTTTTTAACATTGGTAAGATGAAACCTCGTTCCCAGGCTATTTACTTCGACGCTATCGAGGTCGGACAAGATAGAGAATTGATATGTTTGGTGCAAAGTTTTAGTGGCAGTTTTTCCTTGAAAAACTGTCATTTGGATTGAATTGTTTGATTAGCGATAAATCATACAGCGAAATTACCTTAACATTGGTTTGCTCTCAAAAGAGAAAAGTAGATCTCAGAATCGTTGTTAGCTTTTCATTCTTCTCCTCCTGTCCATACATACAGACTATCTTAGTTCATTTTTAACAAAATAACCTTCTTTTCTCACATCCTGCTTTGTTTTTGTAGGTCGAAGGTCCGTGTGACAGAGAAAGAGTTCGTGTAGCGTATCGAGACAATATCTCGAAAAAGGAATGTCAAGAAAATGGATTGTTGTTGGAAAGACATTTCACTATCGATGAAGTCTGTGGAAGGCAATACAAAGGAGTGCAGCGAATATATCCAGGTAAGTTATGAAGCTTCACTTCATTTCAACAATGATATAAGATAAACGACCTCGGTGAGGTGGTGATGATGTGTCTTATTTTGTTTTTGGGTGATAGTGTTTTTGTGTTGTTTGGTAGTGGTGATGTTGTAGGATGGTGGTCGTGTGTGGAGGATGTGTGTGGTGGGGCTGTTGTGTAGTTATGGTGTGTGATGTTGGTGTGTTTGTGGATGTGGTTTTGGGGGTGGGTAGTGGTTCGTGATGGTGTTGTGTGATATCTTTCTATCATTTTTTTCTTTATAACTGCGGTGTTCATTCATTCATTCATTAATTCATTCATTCATTCGTCACTCTTGTCATAACTGCTGTCGTCCTTTCTTTTCTCAACGTTTGATCCCTAAACCTACAGCAATGTTAAATGTTTTTCACGTGTGACTAACTTTGGTTTAACTTTCGTTTTATCAACATTACTGGGATGTTCGGTTGTGCGACACTCTGTCATGTGAAACAACGAAGTTATTTTTCGTAATTATATTTTCTTGTTGTTATAGGTGCTCGGAATTAGATAAACCAAAAAATATTCCTCTGGAAATAGATAAGCATATAATCCATCTCAAAACTCACTAATGCGTCTATCCCAACAACGTATGCGTGTAGCTGCTGAAAAGTGAACTCTTTGACATTAATACCTCAAGGTGTGAAAGGGAGACATGTCGTCTTGTTTATAATCATATATTTTTATGTTGTTACTTTGTACAAAAATTTCATTTTGTGCTATGAATAAATATATACCGAAAGGTTACGTAAGTACATTATTCAAATTAATCATTTATTGTTTCTTCACATATCTCGAAGAATCCCTTGCAGCAACGATTTGTTTCAAAAGCTTCACGTTTGAAAGGGATTGGCTAGAAGCTAAGATGTTCTAATGCTTTGCTTAATACGATTATCATTATAATTATTATAATTATTTTGAAGATGAAATTCACGTTAATTGTGTAGTTCCCACTCTGAAGAATTTCCTTTGATCATCAGGTAAGCGATGAATTCTGAAAAAATCATCCACTTTTTTACTTCTGTTTCATTTCATCATATTTTATTCTGTGTTTTCAATGTCCCTAAATATCCACTCTATAGACGGTATGGGGGTAAGAGGAACACGTATGTATCGAGACTTGAGCGGTGAGTCGCTCGACTTCTCGTACAAAGATTTAAGGCTGACATTAAAAACTCGACAGAGTTTTTCTTCTTTCAGATACCATGTATTGCCACTAGATTGCTGTTGCCTTAGTGTCGACGGTGTTGAAAGCTTTTGTGGGGGTTGTGGTGAGAAGGCAGGAGCTTGAGGAGATCGCCCAAGAAATTTATCTAAACGCTTGGTTAAAGTTTTCTTTGATGTGATTGACTGTTTTGAAGCAAACGTTGAGTTCATTATTATTCCAGCAACGACACGCTTGCTTATTTCGTCTTTCATTGTTTCCAAAAGTGGCAAATCTTCAATCGTGTTAGTCTTATTTTCCTTGTGGAACTTCTCTTTCTGTTCATCTTCATCTCTGTTCGTTGTTTCTGGAAGTTTTTCCAAGCTTGGCTTGTTCTCCTGTTTGTCATTCATCAGCACAGGCAAAAATATATCATTTTCGCCCGTACGTCGTCTCTTCAAACGTTTTGTTTTGTTTTGAGAACGATTGAAAAGGTTTGGATGAAGATCTTTGGTTGTAGTTGAATACTTGGCGTCCATTTCTGGCAACATCGTTTTTAACTTTAGCTGACTTTTGCTTGAATATGGAGCATTATCTGTTCAAACACTACATTGTCAGTCTGCGAAATAAGGCGAATGGACTCGAGCAATAAAGTTAAAACTGAATCCCTTGCAACGAACAAATTTTCCTTTTCACATTTTTCCTTGTTTATTTAATGTTGAAATCGTGAAAAATGTGTGACTCGGCATTTCTTTCTTTGCTAATAAATCAATAGTTAGTAAGACACGATAGCCATTATTATTCAATATTTTTGTGTTCATCAATGCCCATTATAGCATTAAAAGATTGACCGGCAGTATTAAATCTATGGGAAAAGAAATTTTAGGCGTCTATTCAGGCATTTAATATGAATACACTTCGTAACATTTTTTATAGGGTATGAAAAATTTCTATTAATCATCTTGAAATATTGACTCGATCAAAATCGCCGGGGTTTCTTGCCCTCTGGGTTTTCGTAGATAGCGACAAGATTTCAGCGTCTCGGCCCAGTTCTCTTCACTAACCAGTTCTTTCTTGTCGTGACTGTCCATCTTTAGAAACAGCTCATTGTATCTTTTTGACGTCGAGTCTTGGACCGTCGGCGTGAGTTTGCCATTAATTGAATCAACTTCGGGCGTTTTCGTGTCGTATCGCTTTTCCGAGGACCGACCAGCGTCAGCGATATGCTCTTTATGGTCCTCATCGTGCTCTGTAAAGTTCTCACGGATATCAAGGATCTTCTGTCGTTCATATTTCTTGTCTTGTATTTGCTTTAGCTGTTCCTGTGGTGCTTCCCAGCGTCCTCCACATCTATTTTCTGCGCTCACCCCATTACTCCATTGGATCTTATATTTCTTCTGCTTGTTGACATTCGACAATATAGGTAAACGTAGATCTTTGAATACGCCGTTCTTGGTTGATGTATGTGTCAGTGGCATTTCCTTCTTTGTCGTAACGTGTTCAATTCTTGTTGAAGTTGAAGGACAGCACCTGGAGTTTTACGTTCCCCGTATTTTTTTGGTGTTTTATTCATTGGAAAATTGTTTCTGTTGTTTTTCCCCGAAGGCAATGTTATAGCCGCGTTCGTTTGTGCGAGATGTGTGTTTAAACCTTTTTTATTTTGAGTGTTTGGAGACGGTTTGTCAACAATGTAGCTTTCCATTTTATTTGCGGGACGACCGGAAATCTCATCCTTCTTGAGCACAGCACTTTTGCTATCTAAAGAGACGAAAGCAATGCGAGTTTGCAATTGCAGCTGAATCTTAACAAGAGCGCCAACATCGGATGAAATATATACAATAAATCATTACTGTACGTCACTTACTTCCCAAATTTTTACCTGCATGTTTTTGACAGAGGAATTTTAGTTCGTTGTTTCCTAAAATCAAGCTTGATCTTTCGATATCTTGAAATTTCGAGCGATGGATTTTCGCTTCGAATATTTTATCGTTCATCTTCGACAGCCTTCTGTTTTGTTGCACTTGCAACGCGCGAATAGCTTGAGCGAGTTGTTTTTCGTTTCGAGAGTTTGACGTGCCACATTTTCTTTCGCTGGTCGTGACTAATTGAAAATTCTTTCTTGCTATCATACGGTCAGTTATGTTGGAGTTCCCATTTACACGTCCATTTTTACTAATTCTCTGTCCACCACTACGTGTATGACATTTCTGAGCATTCATTGTAGCTACTTGGGTTTTTTGCTAAGAAAACATTAACCTAAAATGTCGATTTTTTTGTAACAATCGACGAGTTTTTATATCCATAACGCGTTGACATCACTAAGCAAATAAATGTGAAAATAAACAGACTTGTTTTCTTGAGTACAGGCGATGTGATAAAACAGTCTTCCTGTTATCTGTACTGAAATTTGATCTGATATTATTTACAATTCACGTAGACAACACAATTCGTGTGTTTGCAATCTCGGACAGAACACCTGTGATTGATTTTGTGTTTTTCATTTATGCTTTTCATTCTGTGTGAACCGTTTCAGGGACGTGTAGGGACTGGCGAGGCCAAGCCGCCAAGGCCCCTCAATAACCAAACAGGGGTGGGCCCCTCTCGAGAATATTGAGGAAAAATATCTGAAATGTGTGTAAAACGCATTTGTTATCCTTCAATTTTTATAATGAAATGACTTCTTTTAATTTCGTCGGTAGAAAAATAGATAGAAAGAAATCGATACTAAAAACTGTAGACAAAATGTTAGACAAAGACATAAAGTTAAACTGTAGACAAAAAGTAGACATAAAGGTAAACAAAGGCTGAACGCAAGGCTGGAGAAAAAGATAGACATAAAAGTGAACACAAAGGTAGAAAAATAGGTTAAATAGAAAGGTAGACAAAAAGGAACACACTAACGTAGACACAAAGATAAGCAAAAAGTTATACAAAAAGATAAACACAAAGGTGGACAGATAGAAAAATACGATGGTGGAACAAAGTTGGACGAAAAGAAGGACACAGAAGCAGCAAATATAACGTTTTTAAAAGATTTGTACTTGTGCAAAGCAAAGTTGGTATCTTAATTCTTATAATTACACTTTTTTAGGGATATTAGGGATTAAATGCCCCCAAACCGAGGGAGGTTTAGCAAAAGTCCGAAGGCGCGACTGAGCGACTTTTAATAAACCTCTCGAGGTTTTAGGGAACATTTAATCACTAAGGCCAGTTTTAAACGTCGATCTTTACATGAGCTGAACGTATTTAAGACAAAAGATAATGAGGAAGTTCATTCATTTTCTTTTGTCTTTAATGCGTCCTGTGCATGTAAAGTTCGATGTTTTAAACAGGCCTAATATCTATGAAAGCACGTGTTTGCGTTGTAATAACACGATTGCGGAGAGAAAAATGATGCATTAGACTCTTCCTTTTGACAATAATTTTATCAAACTTTGAGTTCACTGATTTGAATATTAATAACCATTGATGGTGTTCAAAGCGTGCATTGTTCATGATCAGCAAAGGATTGTAATAGCGAGTTTGGTGATTGTGTCTCAAGTATTGACGATTTAAGCACATTTAGCAGTCGAACAAGAGGACTTTCGACTTGCTAAACTTGCTCTCCAAGTGGTGTGGTTTCAATCGACTTGCCGAGGACATATGCCATTCACCAGAATTAAAATGATTCAGGCGTGAAAAATTCAAGATGCAAGCCGACACAATTTCTTCAGGCAACGAGAATTACTTTACGGATCTACATGAACGATTTGATAAAAAATCAAAATCATAAATATTTTTGAATGCAAATAAACAAGAAATGAAATCTATGACTTTGAAGAAACATGTTGAAAAGCATAGAAAAGTACAATTGAAAATACGTTAATTGTCAATGAAGATCGAGCAATGCAATGGCAGAACCAGTAAGAAATCAAAGTAAATAAGAAGAAAGAAAAAGATTGGTTATTAATTTGAACAGCACTTGTTGATGGCCGATAATTTGGGAAAAAACTGATCGACAGAGCTAGATAAACATTTGATGTGATTAGAAATTCTTCCATACTTGACGGAGAAGAGAAACAAAGTTAAGTTTGAAAGCAATTTTCAACGAAAACTGCACGCTGACTTTGAAAGCTAGCAATGCAGAATTTTTACGACGTCAATCGGATAACCGCTATTTCTTAGTAAATATACTGCATCATATCCAAGCATTTGAAAGGTACGATGTTTTGATAAATAACGTCACTCAGTATTTTTCGAGATATGGCATTTTTACTTCCAAGTAGAAAAATCAAAAGGACGTATATGATGAAATTTTCACTATGCGATTCAGTAATTTCTTCATTTTTACACCATGAAGGAGTATATCTTCTCATTATTTTGTAAATTCTAAGTTTGGTTTTGACCAAAATGACATGTATGAACGCGTTGCGTACCAGCCTTTACTTGTTTGTTTTGTTTTATAGAACATAAAGTATTCTTTAAAGTACACGTGTATCATAGACACGGACCACCCGTACAATTGGCTCAACTCACATTTAACAAACAACAACAGTGTCTAACTATTGATTCCAACGCTAAGCAATGACGATTAATAGTCGACTATATTAACGTACAAAATGCATATTGGTTTGACTAAAAAGTCTTATTTCTCCCTCAGTATTCTATTTTGTGGTCTCCTAACCTGTACGTTTGCTAATAAAGTGGAAAACGACGAGTCTTGTCGTGTTTATGCAGGAGGACAAGTTTACCCACAAGAGAGACGAACAAGTGAACACGCTTTACACTGGAGCAAAGCCCAAAGTAAGCTTTTTGTCTTGTTTTACTCCTGCTCAAGCATAATTACTTTACGCTATGCCATTGATATTTTACGCTTGACTTTAATGACTGTATAATTATCGTACAAGTTGTCATTAAAGATAATTTTCAAAGAGAATTTCAAGGTCTTCGTGTATAAATAGACACAACCTACGCGTGCGGCAGCCAGCCATGACTTTATAAATTTGTGATCTATTAACTGTGAGATAATTTGACAGAAAGCCATAAACGTCAATGAAATGCTTGAAAACTTTAGTACAATATACATGCAGTGGCTGTGACATTTCGTGTTTGCTTTAGTCTCGAAGCCCGCGCCGTTTTGGGAAGGAACAGCTGTTGTGAATGGAGAATTTAAGACGTTGAACATATCCGATTTTCTGGGTAAGAATTGTTCTTGAAATAACTCGCGTGGAAGTTTACAAACCATCGACGTTTGATTCTGAACTTTGTAATAATATTCTAAATAAAACAATGTTGTTTTTTTTCCACATAGGAAAGTATTTGGTATTTTTTTTCTACCCATTGGATTTGTAAGTCGACCTTTTTCTTTTTTATGTCGTCAGCTTATCTGACACATTCAAATCTTGGAAAACATTCAAGTTTCAATGTAATTTTTTCATTTTAGCACCTTTGTTTGTCCTACAGAAATCATTGCTTTCAGCAATAGAATTGATGAATTCCGCCAAATCAACTCAGAAGTTGTGGCATGCTCAGTAGATTCTGTTTTCACACATTTGGCATGGTATGTGAATAGAGCAAATGAAGAAATCTGCATCTTCACAGTCAGTGATAAAATTCCATTCCATCCACTTATCATTTACTACATAATTTCACCCGTTATTTTCAAAAAAAAAATTAAACCCCCAGCTACTGACTTAAGGTTTGAGTTATTGAGATCATTTAAATTTGAAAAGAACATTGGTCCTGGTCCATAGTTTAGCCAGGCATTTTGTGAATAGGACCAATAGCAGATAGACATGAGAACTGTGGTATAAACCAGCGGCAAGTTGCCATTGTCAACTATCACCATGCTCTTTTTGTTGAAGTTTAAAGATAAATAATAGTAGTCTGTTAAAAGTCGACTTCATTGCAACATGTTTGTGTACACAAATCTTAAGGTGAAATTTTGAACTATACTCATTTATGTTATTTAGTTATCTCCACTAAGAAATCCCTAGGCATATCACCAAATGAAAATATTAGATCCCACTGATATTGAGTCGCAGGGGGTAGCCAGAACATTAATTGGGGGGTGAATATTTGTGCATTCAGCTTTGCGTGACTGATTTATTTTGAAAGTGATTTTAATTTGAAAAGAAATTAGTTGGTCATAGACAAATATATGCATATTCAACCTCCCCCCCCCAAAAAATTACCTTTCTAATTTCCCCCTGTTGAATTGCATGTGTCTAAAGAATTTAACAGATAACCTTTACCATATTACCTACATTTGCGATGATCTTGTGATAATCAACTGATAAGCCTCAGGTTATATAGTCCACCAGCAATACTGTATGGTATACCAGAAAAGTGTTTTACGTAACAGTAATTAATTTCTGTTCTCTGAAGGATCAACACTCCAAGGAAAGATGGCGGCTTGGGAAAACTAGCTTATCCATTACTTTCCGATTTGAACCATCAGATTGCAAAAGATTACGGTGTTTTATTGGAGAATGAAGGACACACGTTAAGGTACGTAGCAGAACTGTATAGAACGCATTTATTGAAGTATCGGCCGACAACGACCCAATGTGCAATTCTAACCAGTGTTAGCAGTCCGATGTTTCATATTTCACCACATTGGTGATTAAATTTCACTATATGGGTGTCCATTTCACCACAGGACAGGATTTTTTCTGACAATGACATACATTTGGTCGTTTTTTGATAACTACACACAAAGAATGTCTTAAAGAGTCATAAAATGTAATGCTAATCATTTTCAACCGTGTAAAGACATAGAACGACACTATCCAAGTTCCAGTTGTCTGGTTTGTATTAAATTACTCTTTGCTCAGGACTCTTCAAAGTGCGTTTTAATTTCATAGTTTGAAATCTACAATCCACACTCGGTTTTGTCATTTTTAAAGGCAACACCAAATTTATAGCACAATTTTCCGCAACTTAAACTGATTGGGGCCGGTTGCACGAAGCCTGGATAGCGTTATCCACTGGATGGCAAATTTTTCTGAACTTTCATAAAATCTCTTATAAGAGAAAAATATACGATTTGAACTATGCAATCGCCGAAATAAAATATTGTGTCGAAGGCTACAAAATTTCTTTGTCGTAAGAAAAAAACAAACACCTTTTTAACAAGTTTGAAAATATTCGCTATCCAATGGATAACGCTATCCAGGCTTCGTGCAACCGGGCCCTGATTGACCCTTCTGTATAATCATTATTTTGGGACATGCGCAGTTAGTGCAGTGGGATTACTTAAAAGTCTGGGTTCAATATGACGACACCGGACTTAACAAATCATTATTTGCTCAGCTCCAGATTAAATTTTCGCCAACACCAGCTTTGTTTGCTGATTAAATGTACGCAAACAATATTTATGGCATCGATTATATATTTTTTTTCAGAGGACTTTTCATCATAGATGATAAAGGCGTACTTCGACAGATAACGATGAATGATTTGCCTGTAAGTAAATGTTTGCTATTGTGTTTTAAGGGTTCGGAAAAAATCTCTGTTCGCCGATGATTTCCTTAAGATAACACGAATACGTAATTAACAATTTTATTATCTAAATATTATCATGTCATCGACTTTAAAAGCAAAAGCAAATTTTCGTAGGATATTGGCCAGTAGCGATTTTCGCATACAAAAAAAAACCGGAATTTTACGCGTTGTCAGAACGTGATTTCGGACTCTGTAATGTGTAATTAAATTGACTACACAATGACCACAACATCTTCTGTTTGGATAATTCGAAACTCGTTAAAAAACTTATACAAAAAATGATTTGATGATCGGGTTCTTTGTCGTTTGAAGCAATTTGTTTTAAGTAAACGGTGTTTGTATGATGTCATTACAGCAACAAACTGACGTAAATGCTCGTTTGAACTCGTTTTAACAAAAAGCTGACTTCTGACGAGTTTTTTTTTGTTAAAAATACAGTTTCAACAGTTCTTTTTAGAACTACTATGCTAAATAGGGTCAATTTGCAGAAATTTTATACTGCTGTTTCAACAGTTCTCTTTAGAACAAACTAGTCTACAGTCGGATTTTGCCTTGTCAAGTAGAAAATAAGAATACTCTTTTGTATGGCGGTCTTCAAAATACCATATCGATTGGCACTTTATAAATGGGATGAAATAATTTAGCCTTGCCTGCCTGCCTGCCTGCCTGATTATTGTCGCTCGTGGAGAGTTATACACATGGAGTTATAGTTTGGCGTTAACGACAAACCGCAAAAAGTCACGTGATCCTGGCCTTGAAGTTTATGTTGCAGTTTGCGATTCAGGTTTTAAGGCAAAAGGCCCTTCTTGCGGTAGGGGATTTGCGGCAAGCTTTTTAGTACTTTTAATAGAACCAAGTGATGTTTATGGCTCAATGTTACATTTTTATGTAATTTTACAACATGAATATGCCTTTTTCATAAATAGCACTTTTAAAAAAACATGATATTTAGCTCAGGACAATGCGAATTGTAAAATACAATAACCTAAACGCCAAACTAGATTCAAATTTTTTAGAAACGGCAAAACTCAACGGCAAGCGGGCAGTTGAGGTTTGCCGTTTGCCGTAAAGCTGAACTAAAACTCTCTAATACCTTTCTCAATAACACCAGGTGGGGCGTTCCGTTGACGAGACTCTGCGTTTAGTCCAAGCTTTTCAATACACTGATAAACATGGCGAGGTGTGTCCGGCAGGCTGGAAGCCTGGTGCCGATACTATTGTGCCGGATCCTCAAGAGAAACTGGATTATTTTACAAAGCATGATGAGGATGGTGACAGAGGGACAAAAGATGAAATTTAACTCGTGAAAACCTTCACTTCTTATTGCAAAAATGAACCATGTCCTAATATAAAATTGTTACAAAAGCATTGCATTCATTTTTCTTCTCTTTTTGGATATTGATTTACAATCTGCAACGCTGAGCTGTCAATTCACATGGAGGGTTTTTAAGAAAGTAAAAGAGAATATAGTATTTTTTCTTTCTCTTAAATGTTTTTCTTACACGCGCATTCGACTGGTGTCGTAGTCTTTACAAGTTAGTTCTGGCTGTTTCCGTTTTTGGCAACTTTTCACTGCCCTCTATCGTCTGTTTCTTTTTTATGTTAATTAACGTCGCTAGACATGACTGGTTTTTATTTCTTGTCCATTGTGATTGGCATCGAGATTTTTTTGTGGAGATTCTTCGTTGTGAGTGTTTTGGTTGGATAATTCAGTGGCTTCTTCCACCTTAACTTTGTGGATTGATGTTTTCGAAACTGTTACCTTATTGGAAATATCGCTTTTCGATGCTCTGCAATACATTTCGAGAAAGGTCCAATGTCAAGATTTTGTCTATTTTGTAATCTAGGCTGGAAGCCTCATCGAAGTGATGTGACGTCGAAACAGACGTCATTTACTCCTATACAGTGTCTTCGTTAGAAGTGATTTGATGTTGAAACATGAATCCTATTTTATTCCAGTTTTGTGCCTTCATCAAGAGTGAACTGATGAACTTAAGGTCTTATATACTCCAACCTTATGTGTTCATCAGGAGTGAATTCATGTTGAAATATAAGTTCTTATATACGTCAGTCTCGAGTCTTCATCAGGAGTGATCTAACGTGATTCATCTGAACTTAAGTTCTTATGTATTCTAGTCTAGTGTCATGTTCAAGAGTGATTTGATATTTAAACTTAAGGTGTTGTGTACTTCAGTCTAGTGTCTTCATCAGGAGTGATCTGATGTTAAAACCGAAGGTCTTGTAAACTCCAATCTAATGTGTTTACCAGGAGTGATCTAATATTAAAACGTAAGATCTTATTCACGTCAAGCTAATGTGTCCATCAAGAGTAATCTGATGTTGAAACTTAAGTTTTCATTGTACTACAGTTTAGTGTCTTTGTCAGCTGTGATACGAATCCTCATGTGCGTAAGAACAACTCAACAATATAACAAAATAAATCTGACTTACATCCTAAGTATAACTGCAACTATGATGATCAATAAAGGTACACATAATGAAATCACGACGATAACAACCACATTAGACATGCTTTTCTTGCTCATTTCTCCCTCTTCTATCTGTTTGTGACGATGCACTGTGAGAAAACAGACGACAGTCACATGCATTTTCTTATCTTTGGAATTGTTCAGTAAACAGTTCTTACCTAATATAGTTTGATTTTGTCTAGTAACTCGTCCACACATCTCCCGTACAAACCATTTTCTGTTGATTAACTTGGTACCATTCTCCAAATTTCTATGTTCATCTTCGTAATCCAAACTATCCCCAGGACACATTGTTGACATGTTCCGTACCATTTCCTCGATGGAGGAAATATTCCTTCCTTTTACGTGCGAAGGAATAACGATGTTTGGTATTTGCTTAGACCAACGAATTGTTTGTCGAGCTATGATAATCTCAGACGCGTCTGGTGCTTTGAAACTATACGTTCTTTTACATTCAATCGTACAACTGTTCTGGGGTTTGCACATATTTTTAATGGTGGATCCATTTATAAATTCATCTTGAATGTAGGGAACGGTAGAGTGATGAAAATCGCATCCCCTTGTATTTATTATATCCTCTTCTATCCCATATTCGACACCATATTTGAACAATCGCATCTTATTGATGTCGTTCATTTCCATGCCTCCTGAGTAGCCATAGCCATCAAAATCATTATGGCCGACGATGTACGCCAACAGCCGTACGCCTTCCGATTTACTCCTCAGTGTAATGACTGTCCATACCCTTGTGCTGATATTAAGAGGACATGTGTATGTGCTGTATTCAGTCCCAGGGATTTCCATACTTTCTATTTGTTTACTGCAGTGTCGTTCACTGTCGAATTCCACAACTTCTCTTTCGGAGGTTTTTACAATGAAAGTAAGATGATTGCTGAATGGTGGTGTAACATAAGCCACGGGAATCGGTAAATGATAGGAGTTGGTATATTGTACAATGGACGGGAGCATGCGTGCAAACGGCTCCGATTGATAGCTTCCCGACGAGCCTCGATTGTATTGAATCAACATCGCCGGCTTGCTGCTCTCGATAAGCTTGGCATCTGTGTATTGCACTTTGAATTCTTTATATTCCCCTGAGTTTAAGGTAAAATTCTCACTTCCTATCGATATATGTGTCGCGTTAAAAGCGGCTACAATTCTGAAGATGTCACCATCGATCGACTTGTCCCTGTTCGGAGTTGGCGATGTCAAGAACCGGGTGCCCCATTTTGAGACCGGTATGAGCTGAGTCGCAAGATGCGAGCAGTAACTAGCTGTTTCAATCTTGACGCACCTGTTACCTCCCAGTACCACTACGGGTCTCGTTGAGATCACAAGTGTACCTGTAAGATCTTTTTTAGATTTCAGTTGGAAGGTCTCCAGGCTATTTAAAAATATTCTTATTACGTCGCCATTATAGTAAGTTTTACCATCATAAACTAGATTTCCTTGAATGCGCAACTTCATTTGTATTAAAGTGTTGTCATACATTGCGATGATACCCACTAGAGAGCTGTCCTTTGAGGTACGCGAGAGCTTTGGAGTATATGTTACTACAACATGCTCCACGCCCAATGTTGATGTGGGATAAAGCACATAAGTGTCCCGCGAGGTCTTTCCAGCGTTTGTCGCGTACACGGACACTGTTGTGTTGGCTGTCAGCAAAATGCCCTTCTTCTCGCGATATCCACCACTCATTTGTATTTTCTTTGAAATTTCAATTTTGGTCGACCGACTTCGATGGACGTATTTTTTCATTGTTATGTTTAGATAAGGAATATTGACATAGATTTCGGCTTTTTTCTCTGTTGTTACATACATCGAACTGCTTATGCTTTTTTCCATTTCCAAAAATCCTAGAAGGAACGCCTTACCTTCGTGATTTCTTGCTACAAGAAAAAAGAAAGATTTGTTCTTTCAGTTCACACGAAGGTTCAACTTGACATTGCTTTCCTAGAGAGACGTGTTTAGCAATATGGTAATTTAAACCGTATCTCTTTGCATTGATAAAGTGATTGACAGCAAGGTTTTGCCAAAACATTTCTGTAGTTTCTGTTGCAAAGTACGGTCGCGATATTTATAAAATCTATACTATCGGGTTTGATACACAATTTAATTTATTGAGACGCGATGAATGTTACAAAAAAATATATGTTTATTTAACTTATTGTTATGGGGTCAGTGAAAAGCAATATGCCTCCACTAAGCATGCTGATGCTGATGGTCTATTAATCTATGACTTGTCAGAACTTGGATTTTGGTGACCACACTGAAACATCTAAATCAGTCTGTAAAAGATTCAAATGGTCTTTTTGGCGCTGATCAAACTAGTCTTTTCGTGCCTTATACTCTTCGCAATAACGGCTCGCTTAGTTTACTTATTTCGCGAAGCGCGATGAACAAGAGGTTTTGCTCCGCATTTTGCCTTAGCGTCTAGCTATGAATCTCATCTTTTTTGGTTTGATTTGGAAGTTAATTAGGAGACATTCTTAAGATTTCGTACCTCGAAAAATTGCTAATTCGTCTTTCCTGTAAAAGATTAGGGAAGGATGCGGTTTCTATTTAAGATATTTCCATCCTTCCTCCCTTTCTTACCATGCAACTCATTTGAATTTTAAATGAACGATGAATAAAACACCAAACAGTCGGTCATTTTTTTAAATACTAAAGTTTTAAAAGATAATTTTAAAGGCAGAAATCACCTTCTATGCATGATAGTCGCCGGCATGCAAACATCGCGTTTATTCAAATCATATTGAGAAACCGCCCTCTCAAAGTGTTCCTATACTTTTCTCTGTTGTTGTGGATCTAATTTCACATAGGCACTTGAACTTAATTCGACTTAAAAATCTGTAAGAAACAAATACTCTTGTATCCCATATAAAATGTTGCTGTTGTAGAAGGGAGAGGACGATACTACATAAAAATATGGCTTTCGCTGTTTGTATCTATGCATCTTATAACATTTAAGTTCGTGCATTCTGCTTTGCTTACTCCGGTTGTATCTCACCTTCTATTATTGGGAGTGCAATCATCGACATCAGAATACGAGTTGAGATATGTATTATCACATGTGTGAAAAGTTTCATCGTTAGCCACTGTCCCGCTTGACTTACTATCCTTCACGTTGAGTTCTAGAGAAGTAAATTATATCATTTTGGCAGCACATCGTTAACATTTGAATGGATTGCATTTAATTTCTCACGAGAGATTTTCAACACGTCTAGAAATCGATGATTTGTCTTTTCTGCACCTTAATATGACGTAGCCTAGGTGTAATTTACTCTTAACTCACGATTAAATAAATAAACTAAATCTGAAGTCGCCATATTAAAGTATCTTGTTTCTCTGATCTCCTGATGTCTTTGGAATTTTCTTTCCAGACATCTGTTACCATGTATCTTATTGTATTCGCTTGGATGTAAAGATGAGATTTTATCTTTTTCGTTCGGTGATTTCGTACGGTTGTAAAATTTTGACGTAAAATGATACAAAATACCATAGATCTGTGTAGTGTTAGTGGTCCCGTGTTTTGTCCGTACTATGGTATTATCTTACCGGTTGTTGCGTCATGTTTTCAACTTTCTATTTCTGTGGGAAGGAATGAACTCGGGTTTGTGTTAAATCGAGCTGGGGCTAGGAGGTTAGGTGTAAAGTCGTGAATGAAAAGTGCTAATTGTACTTTGATTGAAGTTTGCCATTAAAAGATACTCGCCCCGTCTCAGACGAGAAACAACATCGGACTAACTTTACTGCATAGAACTTGTATAATTCTTGGTTTTTCCGCATAGAGGTTTATTAAATTAATCACTAGGCTTGCCAAAGTTCGGGAAGGAAGTAGCGTGATAGGAATTTAAAAGACATTAATTTGTCCTCCACTTCTAGACAATGATTGAATTTTTTTTCATTTATGCATGGGAGGGATAAGCGAACGTGTAATTGATCACTGCGGATATTAAAGCAAATGCTTGCTTTTGTTAATCCGCTATATTCATTGAAGATTAAGGAATGTCGTGACAAACAATATGGGAAATTGAGTGTTCCTGTTACATTGTATCCTGGCAACTGCCAGATAAATCATCGAGATGTCGTGAGGGCGAAATTAGGGTGGGCACGTAATTTTACATGGCAATAATATCATCGTAAGATTTCACTCTTATTAAGAAGCTTGCGAGAAAAATCAAAGGCTTTTACACGTATGAACGAAAGATCGACAATTGATTAATCGATCGACGTCCATTATAGTCATTTATCATTATCTCCGGGACAACTTTATCTTTCTCCCACCCAGGCATAATACTTCAGATCGATAAACTGTTTTTCAAATTAGCTCACATTTAAAGTTGATTTGCTCGTCTGTCATGTAATGCGATTCTAACACCAGCTTATCATATAGAATAATGAAAGTTTGTTCGTCAATGTTTTCGTTAGCTTTTTTTTCGTTGTTCACGCATTCAGAAATGAGAGATTTCTAAAAACAATCCGTGACTGACTACTGTTGAAGAATCTTAATCCATGAATCAAAGTCAGTCTGGATCGCTTGTTCCCGATTAATGTCTGGTTTCGAATATTTCGAAATACTTTTATGTTTCCTGCTTTATTTACCATAAAATTAGAAACATTTTTCTCAACTTAGAGGAGTTTTGATGTCATTATTCATGTGTGGATAGTCATTATAATCTACAACAATCAAAAAGCTTACCAAAATCTTCCTCCAAGCTATTTTCTCACTCCTACAGCTGGTAGCGCTCAATCTGTTTCATATATACTTGATACAGCTTTCAATTCTTGTGGAATGTCAATATTTTGTCTGCACTAAGTTTGGTTTATGCGCATGTTTTTGTTTGTTGAAGAAAATCTGCTTTCTCCATAACATGCACACACCTTGAAATGACACAGGAAAAGATTCCACATGTTTTATCAATTAAACCGCTTTGTCTTTTCCAAATGGTATGGAATGCACTGTCATATCTCTAAGACGGATTGATGAAGGATTTGAAGCGTTATGTTATGTTCCATGCCGTTTTGCAGATGCAGTTTAGATTAATGACCCAATTTGTTTTCATTTGGTTGAAAAACCCTCGAACCGAAGACAGGCAAGGCCATGATAATCAATTCAATTCAATATTGAATGAATTTGTGCAATGCGATGATGACACAACGCGTGCTCGTTTTTATTGTGAAATGTTTTGAAGTATACTGGTCATGTCGTTTAGTCAAAGATCTCACCATAAGCGCTGTTTACTTATGTTTTGTGTTGTCGTGAATAGTGCATGGCTATTGGTTAGTTTCTCTTGGAGTGAGCAGGCTTTTCTTTTTTATCATAATGACGTCTGCAAGATGCATTTAAGTTTTCACTCAGACATAAACTAAGATAACGGAACAGTTCATGTTGTGCACATATCGCTTCATCTGTCGCATCTGTAATTGTATCAACGATTGTTTGTCCAAACTATGTGTTAAATTTTCCAATAATGATGTACCATTTTATGAACCTAGATTTTAGTCAGTTGAATTATCGTGTCTATTGCTAAAGTCTAGTGGCTTGATGCGAAACTCGGCAGTCCATCAAAAGGCTAAAATATGCTCTGAATGGTATTTACTGAGCACACGAAACGGTCTGTAATCGCTATCTTAGGTTTTGCCATTTGCGTTTTACAAAAAGATGAACACTCCTATCGTAAAATCAATACACAAATTTCGCTCAATTTTGTTTTATTGTTTTATTTTTCAGATAAGCTCGTTAAGCAATCGTTTATCCAATAGTTTATTCTGAAACAGTATCACTTTTTAATCTCTTTAGGACCACAAATTCCATATTGACCTATTTCCACTTGCAACGTAACACGTTGCGCACTCTCTTAAGTAATTCCAAATACGTCTCCCAATACAGAGAATTAAATCTGGCAAAAATCCATGGGTTAACACACGAGTTTGCATATGCCATTGCGACAGCTATTCTGGTTATAATGGATGGTGAGCACAGAGGACACCAGATAGAGACAAGGTCGATCACCATTATGGGTGTGGTCAACACAATAGTGAAGCCCACAATGGCAATAGTAACGCGAGTAGCTTTTACCTCTCGATGGTACCGGGCCTTTGTACTGTTAGATGGTTCAAATGACTGTTTTTTTTTGTTTTCAAAGCTTCTTGTGTTGTTTGTCGTTAACGTGGGCTCTCTAAATAAGAAAGGGTTCTCGTATAAAATGATTGTTAATTAGAGAGAGATCTGTATTAGAGAGTCATGTCTATACTACAGTAAGATATCTAAATCATATAGAGATGTCTGTATAGTGGAGAGATGTCTGCATTAAAGAGAGATGTCCGTACTAGACAGAGGTATCTGTATCAGAGAAAGATTTATGTATTAGAGAAAGATGTCTGTATCAGGGAGAGAGAGAGATGTCGGTATTAGAGGGAGATGTCGGTATTAGAGAAAGATGTTTGTAATGGGAAGAAATGTTCGTGTTGGAGAGAAATGTTTGTATTAGAAAAAATGTTTACATTATAGTAAGGTATCTAAATCGTAGAGAGATGTCTGCATTAAAGTGAGATGTCTGTACTAGACAGAGAGAACTGTATTAGAGAAATGCCTTTATCAGAGAAAGATGTCTGTATTAGAGAGAGATGTCTTTATCTGAGAGAAATGTGTGTATTAGAGAATGATGTCAGTATTTGAGAAAGATGTTTGCACTTGTGTTTTCGGTTGATCATGTTTACCTCGTCTGACTGTAACCGTTCCAGGCCATCGGCATCACTTGAGACTTGATTTTAAGGATATGACGCAAGGTTTCTTTGAGAAGGTACATGTTTGTGATGAGCAAAATAACGCTGATCATAATATTGACGAGTGAAAACATCGTGATGAGGTAGGCCTTTGAAAGGTACTGGGAATAGAAACAAAATTTTGTCGACATTTCCGGTTCGATTCCCGCTCCAAGGTATGGAATGCACGAAAAGATCACCATGAAAATCCATGCGAGTATTATGATGATCGGTACACTTTTATGATTAAAGTAATTTCCATACAAAAAGGGCCAGCGGATTGCTACGAAGCGATCAACAGAGATAAGGGCCACGGTAATCATAGAGACTCCGAAGAACAAGATTGTTATATAAAGTACCAGTAGACAAGGTACCAATGGCTTTGAACCTAGGTGAAAAAAGGCCATTAGGTTAATATGGACCATGCTTGATGAATGTTAATATAATCATGGTGTTCGAAGCCATCTTAGCATTATAAGTCAGCAATGAATATTCAAATAGAAAATTAAACAATCATGACTACCAGCTATAGAACAGATGGAAAAGTTCGAAAATACATCAACAAGAAACATTGATTAAGCAAGGATATACGCATAAACGCGGTAATATACGAAAAGAACAAGTATAAAACAATTTAGATTTTCGATTGTTCATGTGAAATAAGTTGAATTTCTTTAGCTAGAAATATTTCGAATACCAGACAACCATGTTTTTATTTGCATTTTTTTATTCGAGTACGTACTAAACTAGTCATTCAACATTGTAATAATTACGCTCATCAACACTTTGGCATAATTGTCGGCACGAATAAAGGATACAATCAGCATCATTCTTGAAATAAAAACACTGCATTGTCGAGACAATTTCATCTGTTTTCCTGCACGTTAATAAAGGCATACGTTTCAGCGACAGCTTAGGAAGCTTGCTGAAGCAGTCCTAAAAATCAACTCTGCGTAAAAAATTTCGATTATTTTATCTTTTTCAAAAAATGCCAAAATATATTTGGTTGCCCTGTGTTTGAAATGCTTCTAATTGAAGGAATACTGCCTCTATCAAATAGAGAATTTTGATTCTTTTAAATCTAAATTGTTTTTATTAGCGATTGTTGTGGCTATTTTAATCAGTTTTGCTTGATCAATCGTTTCTGGCTAATGTAGCTATTTTAGCGGTCTTCCATTTATTCTTTTTTACACAATAAATTTTTTCATTCTTTACATGTACATATCATGTAGCTTTAAGCGACAGTTTAGCGAATTTCTTTTTTTATTGAAAACGATGTTAAGTTGACATTGAAACTTCGTGGAATTTTCTAGCGTTTAGAAAAATTGGAATAAATAAAAGATGGGATTTGGATGCTCAACAGAGCATGAAATCCACATAATTTTTATTCATGTGGCTGACAGCGAAGATACTTTATTAGTTAAGCTGTCTTTTTCTTTGTCTACCTCTGTTGAAAATTTCTGTCATGCGCAAAGGTATTGCAATGATTCCTTGGCCCAAATCAGCCAAAGCTAGATTTACAAGGAGCATATTACTGGGGCTTCTGAGTGACTCGCGAATATAGGCGGCGCCAATCACCAGAGAGTTACCAAACAAGGAAGCAAGAATTACCAATACCATGACCGCAAGGGTGAACATCTCTCCACCGGACACATCGCTGTCGGAACCCTCTGCATTCGCGGTGCTCGTAATCGTGTTATTTGTTGTGGCTCGAGAAAGTTGCGTTGACATTATGAACTTCACTCTTCTAGGTGTGTTTTGCTGGAAATTAAAAGCACAACGTCAGAAACGTGTTTCTTTTTCCCTGTCGGCATAATTTTTCATAGTCGGGAAAAACGTTTTTACGAAGACCCTTCAAACTTGCTGGATAAAATGAAGGTGTTAAAAGCGATGGGAAGTATTTTCAAAATTATAAAACGAGGCTACCTAATAGTTACCATTCAATTTTTCGTCTTCGCATTACATATTTTCTCTGTTTTTGACTGTACGTTGTTTTTGAAACTAGTTTGTCTTCTTTTATTTCAAGTCAAGACTCATTACATATGTATAGATATATGGGCCACGCTTTCTATATGTCGTGTTTTTCAATTAATTTTAAATATGTTGTTACTTTAATGCCCCAAACTAAGCTATTTAAAATTCATTGATATCTATATGCGTTAAGTGTTTGTTTTTCCATAATTACAATGTACCGACGCCATGCAGCAATTTGAAAACGCCATTGTGCAACTTAATGTGTTCACATTGTTTTGTAATCATTCTCATTGTGCACAGTCCCTATATTGGTTACTTTTCTATCACGTTTTTGATTACATATGTTTAAGGTTTGAGCTCAACTGCCCTAATTTTGTTTGAATACAAAGTACTAAAATCATGTAATGTTGTACAAAATGAGACGTATTTCAAGCTTACACTTATCTTGGCTATGATTATGGGACTACTTACTTTTGAATAAACCTGATGGCATGCACTAGCTACATGCTATATGGCAAAAAAAACAGTTTTATGATTGACTATCGAAAAGTCAGAACGTAGTTTTCTACTCAGCAAAAATTTATTACTCCAGTTACAAACGCGGTCTACCCGCTGGAGCCGAGTGGCAGATATGGAGTCGGTGTTATACCTAAAAATTACTCTATACCGAAAAAGATTACTATCAATTTGATAGTGCAAACATAGTGGATATCGGCCCCAAGAAATTTTGATAGCCTCGACGCTTAATTGTTCAAGCACTTAAAAATTGAATACTTAAAAGTTCTTATAAATTATACTTTAATATATTTTAATAATTTAAGTTGACGACATTGATTTTATCGAAATTGAAAATGAATAAATTGAGGTAAAGGTGTTTTTTTTGTGATGAAAGCTATCTTTTATGTAAATTACTGACTATCTCCAACTGCTAAGCATTTTCATATTTTGTTTTCATAGTTTACACCCACTACGTTTTGTCTCATTTTCAGTCGTGCTAACTTTTTTCCTGAATTGTCCATTAATAACGTTTTAAATTTCTCTGTTCGCAATGCGTTGTGGGAATTTCGACGTACAATGTAAATCTTATTGGTATGCGTAAAATTATTACAAATAATCAGTCAAAACTGAACCTAGACTAAATGTTCTTGTCGTTTTTTACTTTTTATAGATTTGCAGTTTTTTTATTAGACTGTGTAATTATGTAATATCTTGCGATTATGTAATATCTTGCGACTTTCGTTTGTGCTACAATCAACCTTATCAACGCCATAAATTTTAAGATTAAAGTTTCAAAAAAAGTGTCTGTTTTCAGTCCGGGGCCAATGAAAAAAGCTTTTGTACAAAGCAGCGTAACACAGCGTCAGTTTGACTACTGTGACAATGGGATTTTTATCTCACAACTGTTTTCCCAATGCTATATCCAAGAAATTTCAGCAATTGCAGTTTGAATCTGACATGGTTTTGAGCATGTTTCAAGGAATCCCCGATGAACGAAAGCAACGGCTGAGCATTAAATTAGTTTTGCTTTTCTTTTCAATTGCAACGAAACAAAAAAAAAACACCAGCGGTTACATCTGCGGTAACAAAAAGTTACTATACAGGCTTAAGTCTTCGATATGCGTGAAAGAAAGATTACCTCAAAAGTCATTTTTAAGTTTTTTTTTGTCTTCGGGCATTTTTGTTTTTAGCATTAATGCCCTCGTTACTGCAGAGTATAGGCAAGGATCTGTGTTTTGCCTGAACAAACAAATCGTAAACTTGGACGTATCACAGCTTTCAACCTGGGACTGACCATTGTTGGCATGGCACTTCTATCGTGCTCTTTAAATGAACCTGTATAAATGTGTCGCCACAGACTTTGCAATTTTCAAGCGAAACTATGATTTTTGCTTTTAATAATTGCAGCAAGCGTCCTCAAAATTTAGGCTTTGTTTTACGAGTATTATGTTTATATAGCTAATCACTCACCACTTTATTATAAAATTTTCCCAGCTTTTTGAAACCTTTCTCGTGTTACCGATGTAGTAGCTTACTTTCAAAACAAAAGGACCATTACTTTGGGATGAACTGTTCAGAAATAGCTATCGGATGATCCACCGTGTTCGTCTCTTTCAATCGTTTAATGAGATTTTTGACAGTTGCTTGCATGTCCTATTCTTTATTTCCTGAAGCCAGGTGAAACCTTTTGTTATATAACATCATATATAAATTATTAATTGTTGCTGTCTCCTTAGATCGCTCTTGGCTATCTCTCTGTACCGTTTTTTAACATTTTTTTTTTGGAATGTTTTTAAAACATGGCAACAACATGCTTGACAACATTTCCATGAAAATTAATTGTTCATGTAACAGTTCCACGAATTTATGCTTTCGAGTAAGTCTGAACTATTGTACCCTTTGATGTTTTTCTGATACTTTTCTCCATTGCCGTTTCCCTTTATAAACGACCAAAAATTGTGAAATTTTCGCTCCTCATTCAAATCGTTTCAAACTATACCTGTAAAGCACATGGCTGTCTGGCAAAGCTGTTATACATATACGTAAAACAAGTGGCGATAAATTATTCAAAACCCTTAATTCCTACGAAATACAGGCTGTTAATAAGATGAAAGTTTTCTGTTTTGCGAAAGGTCGTTGTAGAGTTGCCCCTATCTAATAAAAGAAACATTCACTAAATTTTAGTCGAATTTTTGGAAGTTGCAGTCGATGTACATTGTTTCTGGCAGATTGTGATCACGTTTTACGAAATAGTTTGGAAATACGACAATGGGATTTACTATCATCAGCGACATAGTTTAGTTGCGCTGTGTAAATTTGATATTTAGATGTTCACTCGCTGTAGAAACAATAGATTTCTGAAGAAATTAATAATGCTAATGATGTAAAATTTACAAAGCAGGACAAAACATGCTGATTGCATATCCTCACTACAACAAGACCTTAATCTTTATAAATATTGTATGATAAGGATGAATTAAATCGTATCTTTGCATGTCAATGAGCACGTGGGAAGATAACTTCATTGCAATAAATTCACGAAGATGTGGCGTGAACAAGTGGATTGGGAGAGCAGGAACGAGAATAGAGAAGTGCTTCTTTCTTCATGGGGGCAACTGTCTTTTAACTTCACAGCGGTGAATTTGAAAAAGGAAAAAACTTCAGATACCTCCCAGAGTGCAGTAAGCAAATTAGCCAACTTCCGGCTTTATATTTGACATCCCATTCGTTAACACATATCAGTGATTTACAAATTGCTGAGTGGAAAATCCAGCTCCCTGAAAATCATAGTTCTTCGAATAAAGTCAGGAGGGGAATGTGTACATTGTTAAGTATGTCAAAATAACTTGGTTCGCGATTATATTATTGGAAATTCCTTGACTAGATGACGTCATGATATGATACGTCATGGTCATTTTGACCTGGGTGATCAAAAATAATCACGCAATGTTTTCTTTGAAAATAAAAGTTTTGTCATTACCTACAAACTTCTCACAGAAGATAAGATATTTTAACCCCGACCAAAGTGTTTGATGACATAAAAACCTCGGAAATCCTTCGTTTAATCTTATTTTCCTTATTATTTTATACTGCAATACGTCTCGACAAGCTCCTCGAGTCGTGTGTTTGAAAGCGCACGAAGCGCATACATTAATTTTCTGGTGGTTGTTTTTTTTAATTCTCCTGCTGAAACTCTATTATATAGGATGTTTCTGGTTTGGTGTTTTATACTGTGTCTTCTTACGCTCTTTGGAAGTTCTAAAGCTGTTGCTGAAGGTAAACTGTTATTGAAATTCTTCAAGAAGTTTATTCGCAAAGATCATATGATCATTTTGTAGTGACGAGCAGGAGTTAGATTTAACTTTACTCTGAGAGCGCTAGTTGAAGTGTTCACACTTTTGCTCGCACTTTAATTCTTCAAGAAGTTTATTCGCAAAGATCATATGATCATTTTGTAGTGACGAGCAGGAGTTAGATTTAACTTAACTCTGAGAGCGCTAGTTGAAGTGTTCACACTTTTGATTCGCAAATATCACATATGATTATTTTGTAGTGACGAGCAAGAGTTGGATTTAACTTATATTTTGAGAGCTGGCCCGGAGAACTATTTTCAACAACCCTTTCGTATTGTTTTTACATACGCAACTTGATTGGTTCACATGGATATTACATTTTGTTGTTAAAAATCGTTCTGCCGTATAAGCGGTGTTGCTGAAATTTACCTTTTGACATTATTGTGCTATATTGCCTGTGGTACAGTACAATATATTACAAAGAGTGTGTGTCAACCGTCATGCCTTGCGCGCTGTTGTTTTTTTCATCGTTTTTTTTCTCATTTCGAAGCACAAAATGTGTAAGAAAACCTGCAAAACTTTGTAATTTACGAGTATTCCAATGACGTTAAAAGTTGTGCAAGGATGTGCAAGGGATTTAGAAGCTATCTCAAATTACATGGCCCGTTGAAATAACGACTTTGAAAAGCCGCTTGGCTCCTTCTCTCCCTTGTACATCCTGTCTTTTGCAAATTTAAGATAGCAATACATGGCGCTTGATAAACTTTAAACTCGATTCCAGCTCCTTTGGATTATTATTGCGACCATCCGGCGGATATAGCTCTCTTGTTGGACTCTTCCAGCTTCTTTGGAAGAGAAAACTTCAAATATCAGAAGAAATTTGCGCAAAGTTTCGTAACATACTTCAAAATACGTAGAACAGGAGCATCGATCTCAGTACTACCATATGGAGGAAAACCGATCGTTCGCCGGTCCATTACAAATTTCTTTCAATCCAGTACGATTTCAAGACTCACAAGGAAAATCGCCGAATTGAAATTTCAAGGCGGCCGTAGTAAGCTGGAGAATGCTTTGCGTTTTTCTCGCGATCACCTTTTCTCCACGCCCGGGAAATATGGTGCTCGTTCGTGGGTGTCACGTGCGGCCATCGCGATCACTGGCAGCTGGCGACAATGGAATTCACGTCAAACTCGCGAGGTGAGTGATGCTGTCACTTATGGAGAAAATCTTTTTGATTTTGTCTTAAATATGAGTTCAATCTGTTATTAAAGCAAAAATACTTAGTGAAATTGCTTATTGTTTGTTTGTAGATCCGTGAGGCTGCGCTTAGCTTGCAAAGAACTGGTGTAAAATTGATGATTGCTTATATTGGCTCGAGAGAGGATCAAAATGACCAAAATAGTAAATTGTTTGAGTCGATGGTGAAGTCCAAAAATGATGTTTATATGTTGAGGTATTCGTGTGTGTGTGTGTGTGTAACAAACTACAACTTTATGGCATCATAACGGTGATTCGTCCAAAGTTTCACAGATTTAGTTTTTGTCTTATAGAAAAGCCGTTGGTTTAACACAAGCTGCGAAACAAATGGTTCAAGAAATCTGCCCTAAACCTAGTAAGTCATTACTATTAGATAGAATATGTTAATTGTAAGTAATCTTCACACTACCTAAAATTTAAACTAAGATAACGTGGGTCAGTGTAGGTAGTGACGAATGAACAAAAGAGAACAGAACAGTCTTTACACAACATAAAATATAAACTAAGATAAGGTGTGTCAGTGTAGGTAGTGACGTATGAACAACAGAGAACGAGAACAGTCTTTACACAAACTAAAATATAAACTAAGATAACATGTGCCAGTGTAGGTAGTGATGAATGAACAAGAGAGAACAGAACAGTCTTTACACAACATAAAATATAAACTAAGATAACGTTTGTCAGTGTAGGTAGTGATGAATGAAGAAAAGAGAACAGAACAGTCTTTACACAACATAAAATATAAACTAAGATGACGTGTGTCAGTGTAAGTAGTGATGAATGAATAACAGAGAACGAGAACAGTCCTTACATAAACTAAAATATAAACTAAGATAACGTGTGTAAGTGTAGGTAGTGATGAATGAACAAAAGAGAACAGAACAGTCTTCACACTACCTAAAATATAAACTAAGATAACATGTGTCAGTGTAGGTATAAATTTGTCTAATGTGTTCTAAGGAGACAATCACGCCAACGTCGGCTGCTAAAAAGACCTAAAAGGCTCTAAAAGGCTCTAAAAGTGCGTTTTTTTCCTTCTATTGTTGTTTTGTAGCTGTATTTCCGTGTCCTGTGACCGCTGATATTGCATTTATCGTGGACTCATCTGGTAGTATAGGCACAAACAATTACGCAAAGACGAAATACTTCGTGTATTCTATTGCGAACGCGCTAAATATCTCCGCTACTGGTGCACACGCTGGAGTTGTGATCTATAGTGAAGAGGCAAAAGTTCCAATCAAATTTACTGATCATACGGATATCGTAAGTTTCAAAGAAGCGGTTTACGGCTTGGAGTACCTGAAGGAGGTATATCTGATATAAAGTATATATTGTATAGTTAGGCGAGAATCGCTCGGACGTCATTCTGCTTGTTCAACTGCTTATACACTTTGACTGAATACAAGTCAAACGCATTGCATGCATGTTTCTAGAATCTGTTGCTAACAGAGCGATTTTTAGTTTGGCTTAAATGTCGTGTGACACCCTGCACATATTTTTCAAATTGTCACCGACTATAGCTGAACGACGATCGAATGCTTGATTATTGTACAAAAAGTTGACAATAGGATGGTATAACTTTGTCTCGACCCACAGCTTAACATTTTCAAGACAAGCCCTTGGGAAACATGCTTCCCCCCCCCCTCCCTCCCCAATAGAAGCCTCTGTGTGATAGCCTTGCGGCAAGGTGTGTACCTGTTGTATTTCGTGTTTATTCGTTAGAGGACGCGTATTGACCTTGGTCTTCAGAAAGCGCACACGGATCTATTTTCCGAGTACTACGGCGGAGCCCGCAGGGATGTTAAAAAGCTGGCATTTATTTTAACGGATGGAAGGCAAAATCCCAAGGGGGGGACACCTTTAAAGGAAGCTGCTGGCAAACTTATGAAAGATGGTATAAAGACGATTTCTATTGGGATTGGCTCCGAGGTAGGTAGCTAAGAGCGTGGTGGCAAGGTGGTAGGCCGCGGCAACTGAATTTCTAATTCGAAATACTTTACACCTAACACAAATGGTAACATTTTGTTCAACGTTCTTTAGAAAATTTTTTGACGACTAATAACTTTGATGTTGTAGTATTTTGAACTATAAATGAGGGCACTATAAAGTTGTTTTGACTCACCCATGTCGCTGAGATAATTTTAAAATTTTTCATGTAAAAATCCATGGAAAAGGTTAGAGTTATTTTTTATAAGATACTACATAATAGTTGGTTTCAATTTGCCAAAATTTAACGTAACAATCTGTCTTCATCCTCAGTATAAGGTCGTACCTAAAACTATGAAGGCAAGTCTTTTTGAGACATTCCATTTAATGCACCTTCCGTGTGCTGTTTTCGCTCATTCTTTCAGGCAATGCCATCTATTTTACGCACTTTTGTGGATCTAGAAATAACTTTTGAAACGGCTGAAGTGGCGACTTTTGATTCCAGTTTACTTTACTGGATCGCAGGCTCATGTCAACTGTCTTTAATTTCACCATCTTTTTTTTAGGTGAACAATACGGAGTTGAGGGCAATGGTTCAGTACGACGAGGATGTGAAACAAGTTGCTAATTTTGATGATCTCGTGCGTGAGATTCAAAACATCACGCAACTCACCTGCGATGAAATAAGTACGAATAATTTATTTGAATCTTGTTTCTTAATTTTACTTTTTTGCGTAATATAAGTTTCCATTTTTTTCATTCATGAGATATCTAATTTTAAAAGCTGTATATTAGTTTAGTAAGTGAAATACGCTTTAAATAACGTTTTTGGGTTATATCTGTTTAAAGTTAGTGGAAGTTGATCGCTGTTTATTAGAAAAGCCTTGAAAAGAATTGTTGATTATTGTTTTGTCGTCTAATTATTCAAACACCGAAGATGGCCACCGAAAAACCAGCAAAATGGTTCCTTCTCATGGCTGCACTTACCTGGACGATCAACTTTCACAAACTTCAGACGATACTGACAGGTTACAGGTTGTTGGAAGCGGAGGGAACTTGGGCTGGGAAGATTGCAGTCTGAAAAAAGTCGCATATTTAGATTTTCAGTTCCCCAATCTCAATTTGCTTCGAACGCCCGTGTTTTTATAACCATTAGAACTCCATATGAAACTCTTTGTTCATATACACAGGGTTGACCACCTGCGACTACCCAGCAGACATTGCGTTCGTGTTGGATTCATCAGCCTCCGTGTCGTACGAAGATTTTGAGAAGATGAAAGGATTTGTCAAAACAATGGCAAAACAGTTTCGCGTCTATGAACACGGCAGTCGTGGTGCGGTTATTGTTTATGGTGAAAATGCTGGAGTCGCAATCCGCATGGACGAGTACATTAACTACTTTCAGTTTATTCGCGCTGTTGATGACCTGGGACGATATGGAGGTAAATGTCCACCGAAATAAGGGGCCGTTGTGAGAAATAGTATGATCCAGGGGAAATTTTCTCATTGGCCAATCGCTGCCGTCGTAGAAATCTTTTACTGCATGCGTGGCATAAAATCAAAATTGCAATAATTGGCTTGATTTTATGCTCAAATCTTGGGGGACTTTAGGTTGGGATCTATTGATGCCCCTTCATCCCCCCTCAACACTGATATTTTTCAATAAAAGATGATTTCTCGCAAAGCTTTTTCAGTTCATAAGTGTGAACCTAGTTTATTTGAACATTTATTTGTCTCCATTCTCCTTCAGGTCGTCGTCGAAGTTTTCAGGCAATGGCACTTGCCGAGTCCGTATTATCAAACTACGAGCAAGGTGCACGACGTAAGGTTCCGAAGGTTTTACTCATGTTGACGGCCGGTCCCGAGAGCAGTAATGCAGATTACGAGACTTTACAGGAAGTGACGCAGCGACTTTATGACCGTCACACGCTGGTATTGGTCGTTGGAATATTACCCGGTGCAGATATTGGAAAACTTCAAAACCTCGTGGAGTCCACCGTGGATGTTTTTGCTGCTCAATCATTCAAGGAAATCCGTGGTCAACTCGCACCCTTGACTAATGACACTTGCAAACATGTTGGTGGGTCTATTCGAAATATTTAAAACCTTTAAACTTTCGGTTTTTTAAGTATTGCGTTATGGACGAATTTTATCATTTTGAACATATGTTTTTCAATGAAAACGTTGTTTAGGGCCAGGGATTTGCGAAGCCAAAGTGGACATAGCGTTTATCTTGGATTCTTCTGGTAGTATCACGCATGACGAGTATATTGAGGTCAAAAGCTTTGCGAAACGGGTTATGAAAACTTTTGATATCGGTCCGCAAAAAACCCACCCGGCTATCATGATATACAACGACGAGGCGAGAATTGCGCATCGTTTTGGAGGGATTTTATCTCACGAAGATTTTGATATGAAACTCGACGCGTTACCGCACTTGCGTGGGAAGACACGCATCGATCTTGCTCTCTCGAAAGCTGCCAGGGAGCTTTTCTCCTGGGCAGGAGGAATGAGAGTTCAATCTGACGTACAAAAGGTTGCCATAGTGATCACGGATGGTCGTCAAACTCCGGCACCCGACGGAATTGGACTGGATCAGGCTTCAGCTGGATTGATTGTACAAGGAGTGAAAGTTTTGTCTATAGGTATTGGTGATAATGTTGATCAAGATGAGCTATCTAAGATGGTCGATAAACCAGACAGGCATATATTCATGTCTAAATCTTACAAAGCTTTGCGTATTCAACTCGCAACTATTGCGCGGGAAAGTTGTTCACTACCTACATATACGTATAACTGAGGTGGTGCGAATCAATCATTAATGGAAAGTTTCTTACAAGGTTTAAATGTTGCTGTTGTCTTTCTTTTTGTGACCTTTCGAAATGAAATTCGCTCTGATTGTTTGATTTCCACTGAAAATAACTTCCAATATTTTTACGAAAACCTTTCTCGTGTAACTAAATAATTTGTGGCATTGTTGACCATATTCTTTTTCGTAATCATTGACGAGTGTGAAGGGTAAACCTTTTTAGAAATTTAGCCTATTGAGAGGCTGCACGATTAAAATTTAAAGCTAGACTACCGTCCTTGCTTTTCTGTTGTAAGGTTCAAGTGAGCATGGTACCTTCTGTTTGTGTATTCTGAGTACATCAGTCAAACCTTTGAAAATTACCAACCTCAGCTAGACTATGGAGAACAAAAAAGGATTCACATTAGAATGGTAAGCTGGCAAAGAAGTTATCATGTATTGTCATGCATTGATCTTTTGCAACAATCTGAGTGACGCACAAGCTGTTATCTTGACTTCACTCTTTCGTTCCGCCCTCCTTGTGGACTGTGTATTCTTGTGAAGTGTGTTTTTGGAGCTATTTACAAATTAGATTGAGCTTCACGATTGATTTTGCTTATGCTATTCGTTGAAAATCTGCAGAAAACCGACCGTGAAGGACAAAAAACAGGTTAGACTTTCCAATGATGATAAATATGATGTATATATCCGCTTGAACGATGGAAATTCGTGTCATCCTCAAATGGGTCAAAATGTGTTTGTGTATACAAAGCGATTTGTCAAAAAGGAAAAATTTACCTTATATAATTTAGTGAAAATGCTTTTAAAATATATTTGTGATGGAAAAAGGTAAATTTTTTAACTTTTCGAGCAGTCTTCATGGCTTATGTTGATGCAAAAACGAGAAAAAATCGCGCGGAATTGAAACCATTTTACGTTGCTAATGGAACAACAAGCGCAGAGATTATTGCAGAAGCTAGAACCTCTGTCCGATGTGTTGATACAAAAAGACCTTTTACACCTGTTGAATCACAAAGAACATTGTTTGGCTTTTCGCGACGACAGGAGAATGTTAGTCGACCGTCTTCTGCTTTCAGGTGACTTCGTTACATTGCTTTCATTACTCATAGCTCTTTACATATTATTTAACGAAAATATTAGATTTAACTGAAACTTAAGATCGGTATATTTTAAAGCACTGAACATTGTCATGATTGCAAAGATTTTCCAGGAATCGTGACTCGTTTTAAATGCTGTTTCTGTAGCAACAATGTATAGTACACAGTGAGGAGCCAGTGTCTTTATTTACTCTTGCTATGCAAATTTTTTCTATTCACTCCATGTTAAAACATCAGATTTCAAAAGCATTGTTGTTTGGTAATAGTACTATTTTACTTTAAAGCATTGGCCCCAGTCATTTCACAGAAACGGACTTGCCTTCCGCTCATCGTCTTCAGCCACTAGATGTCGCATCAGATGTTCAAAGTGATGTTTTAGATGATGATACTCCAATTGTCATTGAGGTCTGTTGGAAAAATTGTCCTAGTTTTTTAATTGTATTTATAAAATAAACATAACAAAACGCTTGCGCTGATAGGTCCAGTGTGCGAATTAACGGTGTGCAATGTGCAATTTGCACATCGTTTTAGCTAAAATGAAAACAATTGCACATCACTTTTTCAAACGATGTGCAAAAATCAGCAGTTTTAACGCAAAACACTGTCATAAATCATATGAATTTGTTCATGTTTAAAAATATTAATTTAGCAATTAGCGCTATATAATAAATAAAGTAATATCGATTTGCTTATGCCTCTAAAGAAACACTTTTGTCAAAAAAATTGCACATCGTTTTTTCTGAACTAATTCGCACACTGGATAGGTCTAGAGCTGAGTTTGCATTAGCTAGTGCAAAACACATCTGAGCTCAACCAATCAAATCAATCAAAACAATCAATCAGTCAAAGAGAATTTGCAAATCAATCATGAATATTTTTTAGAGGAAAAATTAAAATATTTGTCTTTTTTCGCATTTTTGCTATTTTATAAAAGAAATAAAAGATGTTTTTTGTGTTTGCACTAGCTTATGCAAACCTTGGAGACATTTGTGAGACCTCTTGAGCAGGTGCAACCCTCGACCTTGGGCTTGCACTAATCTGCTCTTGAGTTCCCTCAAAGGTCTCCTCGGTTTGCGTAAGCCTGTGTAAATACAGTAAATATCTTTTATTTCTTAATAAATGCACATTGAAATCATGCTTACATCAAAATATCCATTCAATTGGGATGACATTGGACCTACCTATATATATAGTTTTCATCTCAGACACTGACTTAGAGAGACACTAGTGCCACCCACCCACCCCCATAATATATTTATTGTGTCTATGGATAATTTGAAAACTCATGCAAACATAGTTTTTCACACATCCTTAAAGTTCATGGAAGTTGATCGCTGTGATTAGAAAAGCCTTGAAAAGAACTGTTGATTATTGTTTTGTCTTCTAACTATTCGAACACCAAAGATGACCACCCAAAAACCAGCAAAAACATTCCTTCTCATGGCTGCACTTACCTGGACGATCAACTTTCACAAACTTCAGATGATACTGACAGGTTACAGGTCATTGGAAGCGGAGGGAACTTGGGCTGGGAAGATTGCAGTCTGAAAAAAGTTTCATATACATCTACATCAAAGGCACATTGAAATCGGGCTTACATCAAACTATCCATACAATTGGGATGACATTGGACCTACCTATATATAGTTAAAAATGAATGACTAAAGATGTTTGGTCGATGAGCGAGGTTTTTCTTCTTAGACAGTGACTTTGAGAGACATTTGTGCCCCCCCATACTATAATATTTATTGTGTCTATGGTTCATTTGGAAACATGTGCAGTTTTAGTTTTTCATACATCCTTCTCAGATATACAAAGGAAAAATGTGCTTCGAAAAAGTGTGTGACCATCAAAATTTGTGTTTTATTCAGGATCATAACAAATGTGAACTTTTATGTGGCAAAGGAATGAAAAATACAAGGACTACATACGTAATCCAAAAATCTTAATTTAAACTGAAATTGACATTAACATATTATAAGGCGTTGTAAAATTGGTTCAATTTCAGAGAAGTTACTATCAACATCCTTAACCCTGTTTATAATTCACAGGCTGATCGAAAAGTAAGGGAAAGCTTGAAAGCTTCGAAAAACGTCGAACGTTTGCCGTCCCCAGTCATCCCTAATCCTAGAGATGGATGTGTACTTCCATCTCCACCTAACGTCTTACCCGCACAACTCAGCATGTCGAGACGGAGCTCTACAGGAAACATTTTGAAACAAAAACTTGTCGTGAATGAGGGACGTCGTGTACAAAGTGGCCCATCAAAACGAGCTTCACCAAAGGAAGAGACCAAAACGGATTATCGAGCTAGCAGTAGTCCTTGTGCTCGTCGACAAAGTAGCAAATCAAATGACTCGATTAGAAACGATGTGATTGCTGCCGAAAGGAAAAAATTGTCACGTCTGTACAAAGAACACGTTAGACCCATCCTAAAGAAGATGGAGATGTGTTTTCGAGAGAATGATGGCACTTTGCTGTGTGAACTTTGCAATAACCTTCTTGAAGCGTTGAAGAAAGTCAGAATACTGCCTGATACAAAGAACGTGGATGTATCTCCGTACAAATCGCAAATTTTGAAATATTTATTCAGTTTCCTTGGCGTTAAAGATTCACGGTTGCATTTAAGGTTGGCGAAAATTGTCTTACAGGTAAGTTGGTTTAACCATCAAACGATCGAACCTTTGATATTTTAGTATCTTTTATGATGCTCTTATGAAAAAAGTTGTCCTCACAGAAATTACTACATGTTTGTAAATGTAGATCGTCCAGGTTGGTATAGTCCTGAGAAGGACTGTTTTTGTTGTTGTTGACTGACGTTTCGAGAACCTTAGCGGTAGTCATCTTCAGAGTCAAAAAAATTTTTTCATTCATTTTTTTGACTCTGAAGACGACTACCGCTAAGGTTGTCGAAACGTCAGTCAACAACAACAAAACAGTCCTTCTCAGGACTATACCAACCTGGACGATCTACATCTACAAACATATAACGATACTTTGCCGCCAATCACCATGATATTTTATAACTATAATATAACTGTAATGTTCACACCAAAGGTCGATGCTGTATTACTTCATGTTGTCCCGCGGTCATTTTGACTCTGAAGATGACTACCATTTATCTTCGGACTGTCGATGTTTTCGATCTTATTTTGAAAGCCTCGAATGTTTTTTTGTTGTGATTTGTCAATCATGCAAGAGTTGTTTTATTTTTAGTTCGACTTGTCTGAAAACAACGTAGAAAATATTTTCAAGTTGCTGTTTAAAGTTAGCCGCGACGAAAGCAACGACATTTTGTTTCTTGAAGAAGAAATGACAGGTTGGTGCGAGGACTGAATGCAACAAGACTCTGCAGTTATTTATCCGTAGGTTATAAATCAGATCTCTTTAATCTGCAAACATAATTTCATAGTAGACTCTAGGCATTTTTCGGTGTCCTGTTAAACTCGGGAAAACATTGGGCATTGGGACAATTTCTCACTAATGTGCTCACAAGCTTGCATTCGAAGCAAATACTTTTGTCTTAAAGTCAACTTAACATTCCATTGTGCTTACTGAATTCATCCACCTCCCGCCTAACTTTTGTTTAAATAATTTCATTCACCTAGAAATCTTAGTGTCAAAAATATCGTCATTTGATGGCGGAGTGAAGTATGAACCGTGCCTCTACTGCGTGGGTGCTTTAAAACTAATCTCGGGGAACGTCGTTGTTCGTAAACATCTTGTAAACACAAGTTGTCTGGAGGCGTTGGCTGTTGTTCTTGGTAGCATTATCAAACAGGTATTCCTTGAACTCATAATTTGCCTGCTAACATTCTTTATTCACAATGCGGTTTATATTTCATTGCAGGGTAACGCAAATGATGCGAGTTTGAGAAAGAAGAACACCAACATGTTGTTTCCGGTTAGTGAAGTCTGAAAAATTAGCCAAAAATATCTGAGCTTAAGATGCTAGGTGTAAAACTGTTAGCGAAAGACAAATCGTCTTATCACAAAAAAATCGATGTTATTTATTCTGACATCATTCTTTCCTCAATGATGATGTAATTATAAGCTATAGACCACCAGAATTGAGAAGATTGCAGGCTAAAATCTTCGACTCATTCCCTTGTGGACGCCCAAATGAAACTGCCTGGATATATTTACGTTACTTTACATTAGTTTTCCGTACGTCCATCTGTCAGTCGATCATTCTTTGTTTTGATTTTATAGATTAAAAGTGCGTTTAATATGTTTTTTCTCGGGAACTGTTTTTTCTGTGCTCTTAGCCATAAGTCCTTTCTGTAGTACAGAGGATCCTTCGTAGCTGCATAACTTCTCCGTAGGTACAAGTCCTATCAGCAGCCATCAGTCTTTTCCGTGTAGTTTACCTTTGCTAAAGTCACCGTTCAACATTTTGCTCAACACTTTTATGCTTTGGCGAACGTTTGTCTTCTCTGCCTCAAAATTTAGGTGACTGCCGTGTTGAGAAATCTAGCTGACGTCGATGGAAGTCGGAAGATATTCTTAAAGCGAAACATTTTACGTGATGTTATTAACTTGTTGAACATCTTCCAAGATGACAGAGACGTAGTCATGAATATTTCGCGTATACTCAGGTGAGCTATGGAATGTGTTTGAAAAGACTTTAATCTATTATTCGATTTATTATCTTTAATATAGAACATTTATTTTGTCAGTAGTACATACCGTTTTCGATAGAGGTCGTGTACAATGACACAGACCTAGTCTCGTTTGTCATCGTTGAATTTTTAAGCTCAATTACAGCACAACCTTTTATGTCACATTTGTAGTAAGATGACGTTGTATAGCGAATGCTGTTCCGTGGTCAGCTCAGCCGCAGAGTCTTTTGAAACATTCCTGTGTATTTTGAATAATCATTCAAAGTCCCAGGTAAACGATTATCAATCTAATCACGAATAAGTGTGGGGAGAATCGTTATAGTTATGAAAGCAATGGATTTTACGAACACGTTTGATGCGATTGTTTGTGATTAAACCGAGACACAAGGATTGTTATTGAAATTTTATCGCATGGTATGTTTTTATTCACGCGACGTTATCATTGTTTTCTGTTAATATCATAGCACTAAAGAATACTAGAATTTCATCTCCTCTGAATTTATGTTGCCGCTCACTGTTCGCTCTCAGCCATGGCTGAAAACAAAAGCACCCGTCCCCCCCTGGGTAGATTTTTTAAAATTTCTGTCCAACGCGAAAAAATTATTTTTAAAAAATAATTTTTCTTTTGCCTTTCTAGGAAATAGTCGTGAGAGTTTTATTTGTACTCGGTAATTTGACCACGAAAAGTGACGATGCTCGTTTCGACTTGTTTCACGTAGAGGGCTCAACAAAATGTCTCCTTACTGTTTTTCGATTATATTTTGAGCGAGATGTCAAGGTACCACAACTGCTTGTGTAGATGTAGCAAGAATTGACTTTCATTATGCAAGGAAAAGCTTTGTGTTGTTTGTGAATCGTTATGCTTTTAAAGACACTAGTCTAATGTATATCTAAGAGTTAAGTTTCCCCATTAGGTCACTCCTGCTCAAATCTCTAGACTGGAGTATATAAGGACTCAAGTTTCAACATCAGATCACTCTTGATGAAGATACCAGACTGGACTATTTATAATCTTAAGTTTTGTCATCTGATTGCTCCTAATGAAGGCACTAGTCTGTAGTACATAACGACTCTAGTTTTAGTATTAGATTACTCTTGATAAAGACCTTAGACTGGAATACATAAGATCTTAAGTTTAAACATCAGATCACTCCTGATGAAGACACTAGAATGGATATTCATAAAGAATCAAGTTTTAAAATTAGAAGGTATTTTCTTAATGATGAAGTGAACATTGCGTCAACCGTGTCATTTTTGGCAGGCCAGCAAAATACGAACTGAAGACAAAACATCAGAGCAAGCAAGCGCCGAAGATGTCTTAAACAAGGTAGCTATATGATTGAAGAATATTTCTGTGTTTTGTCTCAAGAATATTTTTACCGTTTGTGTACTGAAAATGGCGTTGTGGAATGTTGAAGCATGTCTGATTTTGAAAATCGTCATGTTTATTAAATGCATATATTTTATAAGATCCTGTGGTTGTATACATGTTCTTCTCGTGTTTAGATGGTTCGCGTTGTTGCCAATCTTTCTATTCATTCTGATGTTGGTCCTGAAATTTCCAGAAATGTCGAATTTATAGAATTGCTGCTTCAAGTCTTGGGTACGTTTCCAAAAAAAACCATCTCTTAACTAAACTGCTTTTTTTGTGGTGACTGTCAGTTTACAATAAATAGATCGTGATTTTACTTGAATTTCTGCCCACAGTGGTCTGATGCATAAATTTGACTCCTCGTGTACTTCAGTCTAGTGTCTTCAAAAGGAGTGATTTGATGTTGGAACTTGACTTCTTATATGGTCCGGTCTTGTGTCTTCATCAGAAGTGATCTGATTTTGAAACTTTAATCCTTCTATACTCCAGTCTAGTGTATTCATCAGTCGTGATCTGATGTTGAAACTTCAATTATATTTACTCCATTCTAGTGTATTTATCAGAAGTGATCTGATGTTGAAACTTCAATCCTTATGTATTCCAGTCTAGTGTATTCATCAGAAGTGATCTGATTTTGAAACTTCAATCCTTATATACTCCAGTCTAGTGTATTTATCAGAAGTGATCTGATGTTGAAACTTCAATCCTTATGTACTCCAGTCTAGTGTATTCATCTGAAGTGATCTGATTTTGAAACTTCAATCCTTATATACTCCAGTCTAGTGTATTTATCGGAAGTGATCTGATATTGAAACTTCAATCCTTATATTCATCAGTTTAGCTATTAGTAATGATTTGTTCTTGACTAAGTTTTCGATCCCACATACGTTATTTTTCTTATGTCACATTACTCCCAATTTTCTTTACAGAAGTCAAAGATTTAAGCATCAACGAGGAACTGGTTCTCAATACAGTTGCCACAATTAATAATCTATCGTACTATGCCGAAGAAGGCACTGCATTGGCGAATAAACGAAAGAAAATCACGCAACGTAAGTCAAGATGCTATGCAAAAATCGTTTAATGAAAATTCGTCTTGAGGAACATTTGAAATAATAACTGCGATGCATCTATGTACTCTTTATTGTGGAGTGTTGTTGTCAAAACGATACCTCGTGACTGGCAAAAAAAATTCTTTTCTACATGAGAAGTGAAGCATGCCAATTCATCGTGCTGTGTAAATTTTAAAGCACTAATCATTATTCATTGCTTCAGAAAAAATTAACACAGCAGGAACAAGTAAGCGGTCGGGCTGACTAACTTAGTTGTTTTTTGTCATCTTAGCGACAACGTTTGTGAATTTATCATCTTTCAATTTAACTCCCTAATAGATAAAAAATTATATGACCGAAAAGCGTCATGGTGTTACAGGTGGAAAAAAAGGGGGGGGGGACGGGGAGGAAGAGAACCAGACATTCGTTTTGCTATGACCGACAGAGAATGGAAAATTTACACGTTGGTAATTTTTCTTAATAAAGTGAATGGTTGAAAACGAGAGTGTCATAACATGTTTATTGGTGTGGATCGTCCATGTTAATGGAGATTTGAGAAGGACTGTTGGTGTACGTGCTAGTTTTTTGACTGACTCCTTGATTCTGAAAATCACTACCGCTAAGGATGTCGAAACTTCAGTTAGCACTATCACGAACAGTCCTCAGGTTTGCACTAACATAGACGATGAGCATCTTCAAGCATGGGGCAATTTTACTTCTGTCAACCTATGTGTACTCCTTTGTCCTTCAACGATACAACCTCGTCCTAAAGGATCACCAAATTTCATTTTCTATTTGCCTCGTAGTGATGATGGAGCTATTGGTTGTAGATAATATGGACGCGATTCTTGAGGCGTCGCGTGTTTTTGGTAATTTTTCTCGTTTTAAAGACGTTCGTGATGTTTTGTCCAGCCACAAAGGTAAACTTTCGATGAAAATTGATTACGATTACGGGGAAGCTTGAATGAGCTTTATGTTATATAGAAATTTGAAAAGTTTTATGCTAGAAAGTATTTATTTATTTGAAATGATAATGATACATTCAATATACACAGTAGAATATCTTCCATACAAACAATGATTATCTTTATTATGTTAGTTGATGAAATGTTGATTTCTTTACTGGACTCGGGAAGTCATGAAATTGTTTTCACTGCTTGTGGTGTGCTTATCAATATGATGGTTGACCCTGAAAAACGTTCCTTGCTCAAAGATGAAGGTGGAATAAAGAAGTATGTATTCTTTACTTTTTGTCATTCTAGAAATTTCACAAAATTGTCGAATTTTTCCTACCATGTTTTCTTCATCAAAACTTAAGCGCCTTTCCTTACTCACTTATAGTCAAATAAGTATTATCCTTTTTTTAATGTCAATGCCAGTTTGTTTTTCGTTTAGGTTGACAGATGTTCTTCGAGATTATGGTAAAATAGACTGGCAACTTGCTGCAATGGTTTGTCAGACATTGTGGAATTATTGGTTGGTATTATTAAATGTGGCTGGATTTTGTTGTGCAATGTTTCTTAAATTGTTGTAAGTGACTAGATTTAAGAAACAGAAGACGTTTACTGTGTTTGCGCAGGCTTATGCAAACCGAGGAGACCTTTGGGAGAACTGGAGAGCAGATCAGTGTAAACCCGAGACCAAAAGTCGAGGGTTGCACTTGCTCGAGAGTTCTCACAAACTTCTCCGAGGTTTGCATAAGCCAGTGCACGAAAAGCACCTTTTATTTCTTTTGTAAAATAATTGTGCGAAACAGATAGGTTTAAAACAAACCCCTCCCACCTCCAACATGTATTCATGATTGATTTAAAAATTCTCTATAATTGATTTCGTTGATTGAGCTCCAATGGTTGAGCTCTGGTCGGTTTACAAAAGGTGACGAACACTGAGTTATAGAGCAATCAGTGCATGTGTTGGATGGTTTTATTTTATAATAATTAATGTTTTACAGTGAGAATGTTGCTGATGTGTATGACGCGCTCGGTCACGAGGAGACGATGATTTTGGGCGATCTGTTGCGAGAATATCTTGGTGAGTGCCGTTTTGAAATTTATTATTGATGTGCTTTTTTTACGTAATTTTAATCATTATTTTGTATGTGCACGCACGCGAGGGAAGAGAAAGTTAAAATCGAGCTAAGGAACGTAAGAAAATGTTCTAGCATTTTCTAATCACTTGCTTCGATGAACAATCTCATTTTAAAATTCCTTGTGCTTCATATTTATATTAGACAAACGAACAGTAAGTTATGACGGGGGAGGGGATGACAAGGGGATGTAAGGGGACGAAAGATGTACTGTACAAAAACTGCTCAAATTTGTGAGCTGTTGTTACAGTGGAATTTGAGTTATTTTTCTGCGTAATGTTGAAAGTTCAAATGTGTTTTGCAAAGTTCATTTATCCAATCATAACGGGCTTCTATCTTGACTTCGAAATTTGACTGGGGGATGTATGAGCTTGGGAAAAAAACATTCAAAATTTCAGGAGTGTTTCATTGGATCTAATCTTTTCTTAAGACGAGGATTTGGCTTTCGAATATCTACATTCAAGAAAGATAGACGAATCTATGAAAGACATTCTTCGAAAGACGTGGACTGAGAATTTTCGGTTTGTCGGTGAACAATGGCTGCAAAGAATAGAATCGAAGCAAACGGACTTGATACCTTTAGAGGAGCCAACTTGACCCGTGGCAGTACTTGTGAGAGTTATATACGTCAGTTATATACACGTCAGTTATATACACGTCAGTTATATACACGTCAGTTATAACGTCAGTAAGGAAAATGGAAACACGCCCTATGAAAAAACATATACGGTGAACTGCACGTGAAACCTTTATTTGAATAAAGGGTCTTCAGTGTTACATTTTAATATATAACTACTTCTAAAGTAATTTATTTCTCTGTAATATTGTGTGTGTGTGTGAAAACTGTAAATTATGATATCATTTTTAAAGAATTCCTGGACCTTCGACTTCGGTCCTTCGGCTCAGTATTCGGATTGCTCCGGATGCCGTCACTCCAGTTTAAATTGGCGCTCAATTTTGAATTTTATTGACAAAAAATGGCCAGCCATTTCGAAGTTTTTGATAAGTTGCGCGATTTGGGACGTTCCTTAGACAGGATTTCGAGCGTTTTACCATCCGAAAAAAATACCGAAGACATAAACAAAGCCAGAGCTTGTCTACAGCTCAAGGCTCTGCTGGCTGATGCAAAAAACCTCAAGGTAATCGACAACACAATCATTGTTAAGGTTTATAGGGTAGCTCCTACGTTTCTTTGCAATTTGAATTGACTTGTTTTTGTGATTGAACTTTTTAGGAGGAAACAACGAAGACTATTTCTGATGCTAAATGTAATCTGAACATCGACAGTATTTTAGAGGCCACTCGTAAGCAGGCTTTGAAGATAAGAGAAAACATAGATGAATTAGAGGACCACTTAACCAAGTATGGTTATTCAAGACCTAAAGGTAAATGCCAATGAAATTGAGGTAATAAAAAATCAGTCACCTAGAAAGAGCTGCTATGTGAACCTTCAGTACATTTATTCCTGATTGTTTTACAATATCTTTATTCCAGTACACATGGGTTAAATATTTCATGGTATTATTTAGGAAAACTTCCAGATGTATATCAGGAAAACGATTGTGAAGATAGCGAGAGGTTTGCATATGAATTATTTGACACTGAGTTGAGTCATACCACACCAGAAAGAAAAACGTATGATTCTATCATGAATCTTTCTTTCCAGTAATCTTTGTACTGCTGATAGCTTTCAAGACAGCAGTAGTGATAAAGAAAATGAATCACCAGACTTAGAAAATGAGCAGCCAAGTGAAGATGATTCTCATGAAGATGAGATTGATACAATACTTCCTATGCAACCAGAAAGACCTGGTACAATTGAACTCCACTGTTTGTACAATTGAACTTCGCCTTTTACAAATAATAAAATTTCACTTACTTTATATTGCTGTATAATTTCCAGCATTGGATCCACTAGTGACACCTGTTCGCCCGAAAACAGCTACCAAGTTCATCCAAAATTATGATATGCATAAGAAATGTGTAGCAAGTCCTGTGATACCTGAAGGACCGCCATTACCCCAGACCAAGACACCTGTTCTAAAATGCAAACCACATGGCTTTGACTTAAGTGTACCAGTATCATCAGAGTTGCCACCGCATTTAATGATAGAAACAGAAACCATTGACAAAGAACAGAATTTTAACTCCCCTACCCAAGTAGCAGGAGACCTGTCAGTTAATGATTTTCCTACTCCACCAACCTTTACCACTCCTGGATTGAAGCGATATGGAACCCAGAGAGAAGGCCAGGAACCCGTCCTTGCCTTTGATAATCTTGATACACCACAACCTCCTAAGTTTAAGTCTGTAAATAGACTCATTCCAGGTGTGTACTTGTCACTTGGCATGTCAAGGCAAAATAGATGTTGAATTTCCCTGTTATGATTAAATATTCAAGTGAAATGAATGCAAACTAGTAATGATGTCCTTTGCTAACATGATGTATTCAGGTGAATTGACTGGGCAATTGGAAACACCTGATGAAGTCAAACCATGCTCGAAATCAAGATACCGTTTGCCTGAAATAGACTATCCAACATACAGCAAAATCCCGGGATGTCTTCAAAAACAGTTTTCATTCAAGCAGGTCAATTTTCTCATTGAAGAGACAAACACTTATTTAAATACCCGAGAAAAAGGTAGGATGTATTGTTATTTCTTTACTTGTTGAGTTTATTTTTTCAAAGAAACTGGGTGGATTTCGGGGTAGGTAGGGGGTGCAAAGAGTTGCATTCATATTAAACACATGTTTATTGTTGAGTTATTGTAAGCTAGAAAATTATATAGTATGACTGCGATAGAGTGCAATTTTTGTGTTACCTAAAATCATGTTTTATATTAACCTAAGAGAAAAAAAATTCTTATTGTCCTATATTTAGGTAACAAGACTATCACGAATGACGAGTTATCATCTGTATTGAATGTGGGCCCATTCACACAAGCATTTGCTCTTGTCTTGTTGAAAATAGAACATTTCACAATGCGAAAGTCTGGTGTTTATAATGTCAATGATGCATTCATTGTCTAAAAATAAACTTGTCTTAAAGTTGTTGACTAGTTTAAGTGTATATGTATGTATTATATTCAGTAACTGTATAAGGAAATCTTAGTGTGGATCATTTAATGTGAAAATGTTATGAATAAATCAATAAACACATATGCCACATTGTAGTTAAAATCAAGACACATGAAGACAAGTATGAGTATCTTTATGAGTTCATCACCCAAATAAATCATGCTAAGTAACTTCGAATCATATCGGTAATATGCTGACGACAAATTGGGCAGACACTATTTTTTTTTGTCCGTATTTCATGTGCACAGTTAGGACAACATACTAAATGCCCACATGGGAGAAATACAATTCCTATCTCAGCGTCAAGGCAAATTTTACATCTGTGAGCATCCTCTTGTTTCCACATTTGCTCATTGATTGCTGCTTGGCTCACAGGCAACTCTGGTTTAGTCAGGTTTTCTGCTGGAAGTTTCACAACTTCCACATGTTTCTCCTTTGATTGCAATTTATCATGATAAAATTCTACTGCGTCCATAAGATCATTCATACTATTGATGGGTACTCTATCAATTTTTTTTCTTTGACTAATGGCCTCTTGAATAGTAGACAAATCATAACTACCCTCTTCAAGCAGTTTTTGAACTCCATGTGCCAAATAAAATAACTGATTTTCACCTATGGATTTTTCACTAGAGATCTGCACTTTTGTATTTGAATCATAACGCTCAGTTGGAAATTGAAAATGGGCCTTGACAAATTCAGGTTCGTTGTTTGGTATTACTTGAGGAATAGTTGCATGCGGGACCAATGGTTTGGGTGGTGTCTTCCAGGTTTGTTCTTGAGGTAGCATGGGAACTGTGGAGATATCTTGGGCAATGTGGGGGTTCCTTTGGCGACAGTGTTCAATGACTAAAGGGCAATCCTTGGCCCATTTCTCATGTTCCCCCCAAGGTGTGTCTTGTGGTTCCCATCCTGCCAATATTATACCACATTTGAAACACTGCACTTGGTCTTCATATCCAGTATAGTAAAATCCAGCATCGATCAGCTCTTTGGGTCGCACTGGACAATATTTTGGCCAATTAATGAAAGAGTGAAGGCGAGCATGCTCTTTGGAATAATTTGGCTGAGTACGTGGCAAGTAACTGACTGGTGAAGGAGGCCTATAGTTTTGAACTGTTCCCATTTGTATATCTCTCATGGATTGCTCAAGATTTGGTAGAAACAAATTAGTTGCCGGCTCATTGGTATTTTGTCGAATTGATACTGAATATTTCCTTGAAAAGTTGGATATGAAACTGCACTTGGGCTGATTCTTAAAATGTTCAATGAATGGATCATCATCGGGTTCCCATGCCATTAATGTCAGATCACAAGCAAAGCACTTAACATGGTCAAGCACTCCAATGTAATAAAACCCTGCTGCGGCGAGTTTCCTTGGGTCAACTTTACCTTTCCAGCCAGCATTGCGTTGGAAACTGAGTAGCCGGTTTTCCTCATTCTCCATGTTACAATCAATAACATCAAAATTATGGGCAATGTTCATTGATGTAGATGTATAATTTGGTCTATCAGAGTCAAGTTGCCTCAAAAAATTGCAAGAATGTCCAAAAAGCCTACAAAGAATTATGAAGCAAGTCTCAGCTGAGAGTTTGACAGTTGTTAGTGTGGTGCTAGTGATATACCAAGATACAAGAAAATAATAGATTGTAACAATTTATTACTAGCAAGAAAAATTGAGATGGAAGTGGACGTCCCCAAGATTAGATGAAAATATCTATTCTGGAGGGCACATTTTGGGCAAACACTTGGGCTAAAGCTTTATTTTCAACATAGAGTTTATGCTACTGAAGTTTACAATCCATCTCTGGTAAAGTGGTCTCGCTCGATGGATGTTAAAAATTGTCGATCTTTAAGGTCTACGTAACAATCAAACAGTAAAAATGACGAAAATTTTCATACAACCTGCGATGCTTTTCTAAAGGTATTTCGCCAAGTTTCCATTCAGCTATTCTCCCATCGCAACTAAAACAGCAAACAGTGAAGCCGATTCCTGTGTAGTAAAAGCCAGCTTCAGCAAGATCCTTTGGCTTCACATTAGCAGTGTCAGGCCACTTGTGAAAACTTTTTAATCTCTCACATAGTTTGTTCATGTTAGAATTAAACTGACCACCAACCATAATGAAAATAGTTTTGACACTTCCAATATATTTGTACGCGTCAGTTTCATTTAAAAGGGGAATCTCTCTAAATTAATATTACAGAATTTTTAAAAATAGTCCATGTCGTTCTATGATAATAATTTAAACGTACTCTACCCTCCGTGACCTTATTAAAATCTATTTGTTGCAAGGGGGGTGTAAACAGACATTTACCTTTTAAAAGACATCACTGAAGAAACAAGTCAAAATGGCGTCTGACAAGGAGTGCGTAGATAAAGCAATTATTGAAAAGAAGCATAGTGGTATCCCTGAAGCTACATTTTTGGTAAGTAGATCATTCAGAAAACTGTGTCATTTATGGTGTATTTCCTGTGCTTGTTTTCCATTCAAGTTAATCCATGAAATCCATATGATTTACCATAGGAAGACGTTGATGCATTTATGAAGACGAAAGGCAACGAAGGAGCAGAGAGCGTCATAAGACGGCTAGATGAGCAGCATCAGAAGTACAAATTCATGGAAATGAATCTTCTAGCAAAGAAACGCAAGTAACTAAATAAATCTAGCTCATTAACGTAGCCAGCACGTCACTTTGGTCATGCGATGGTAATTTTTGCGTTTTCATTTACCATGACTGTAAAAAACAGATTTCTAAAGAAATGAACGTTAACGATCGGAAAGTTACATAACATAATGAGTGAAACTTGCAATGCTACTGACCTAGATTACCACAACATGCATACACTGTAATGACCAAATAGGATGGACAACCCAGTTGCTCTATCCCAAGCCTCCATGCAGAAATTTATCTTTTTTAGGCTGCAGAGTAAAATTCCAGACTTAAAATCTACCTATGAAATGGTTAAAGTTTTGAAAGATAGTAAGGTAGGCAGATTGTGATGTGAAAGTCTTGGATATACTCCATGTTGTTTTTTACCCTTGTGAAAATCACGCATCAAATCCTGCTTAGAATTTGAACTGAATCGTATCCACGATACTATAAAGTCTTAATTTTTATCCTATCCAGGATCCTATGGGATCTTATAGGATCTTACTTGATAACTTCAACAGGGTAATGAAAGGAACTCTTAAATGTATTTTCATGAATTCTCTTAGAAACAAGATAAGACTTTGAGTACACAGTTTCTTTTGTCCGACCAAGTATATGCCAATGCATCTATACCTCCTACAGATAAAGTTTGTTTGTGGTTAGGGGTAAGTGCATAATATCCCTTTAAACTCTTTCACTCTTAATGAAAAACTGCTCATCGATATTTTCACTATGTTTAGGCAAATGTAATGTTAGAATATGACATTGAAGAAGCTGAGAAACTGTTGAGTAAAAATCTAGAGTTTGCAAGGGATACTTTACAAGGTGTAGACGATGATTTATGCTTTCTTAAAGATCAATATGTGACAACAGAAGTTAGTATCCTTTTTTATGCATCAAAACATGCTCTAATTGTATGCTAAGTTACTGTTCAATAGTTTTTGTGTTCCTTAATTTATTACCAAAGATATGGCTCGTGTTTATAATTGGGATGTTACTAGAAGACAAATTTTGAAGGCATCAAATTCCTAAAAGAAAATTGATACCCTTGTGCGTGGTTATTTGCGGAAAACCATAGCTAGATGAACTTCTTTAAAGGGGAAAGCAGGGAGAGAATGTGGATTGATAAATTAAAGATAAAATAAGTATAAGTTACATGAAGTTTGCCAAACTTGACGTATGCTCGCGGGCCTTAAAAATGTAAATAACAAAACAACTAATTAAGTCATTTTTGGTGTGTTTTCGACTTTTCGTCGTATTAAAGAAATACATTGTACAAGAAAACATGCACGAAAGTTGTATTTTGATTGTTTGATGAGACAGAAATGTTTAGCTGGTGGTCTAGCGGTGGAAACGCGGAAAAGGAAGAGGGAAATAGGGGAAATGCGAGTGAAGAAGGAACTGACTCAACCGAGGATCGTAAGAATGCCAATGAAATGTCAGATACAGCCAAAGATTTAGCAAAAAACTTTGGAAGTAAGTCGCCAATATTTTATATATAATTAACATAATACACAAGCTAAATGGCAGCTAGTATTTTCTCTATTGATTATTATAAATCTGGCTCGTCATCGTAGTTCATACCTACACTACACAGGACGAGAAGAGACACTTTTTAATAGCATTACATTGAGGAATTTTGGTGTTAAAACGAATTGTAATTTTTTTGAAGGCTTTCTCTATAGTGTCGCTAATGCTGCATCTAAGACAGCAATGAAAGTCAAAGATACTGTTAAAGAAACGGTAGAAGGAAAAGTTAGTATGGATTTTGTTTTAAGTCTGGTAACTTGACAACTTAAATGTATTTACCGTAATTTACGTAACATATGAGATATATTACAGGATATTTTGACTAACTTCAACGAGGAGCAAGAGAAATTTGTAAATGAAAAACAGAGTAAGAGGAAAGGTAACTTATATATGCTCATTTACATTGAAGTATCAAAGGTATGTCAGAAATAAAAAGGAATCAGTAGCGCACATTGCCTTGAAAATTGAGGGAACTGTATGTTGAAACAGACTTTTGTTTTGTCTTCATTTCATGGAGAGTCCCGAAATTTTAGGAGGACCAATTTTTTATCCTCTGTATGGATTAAATTTTATATATATCTTTCAAAAAATCTGCATGTCCCATTCATGCACCTCCATAATGTGTGCCCTTGTGTGGAATATCAGCAATTAATAAAAAAAACTTTTGTTTGAGTAAGTGCATTGCCAATTTTTGGTGTATTACTTAAGCTAGATTTAAATGTGAAAGTTAGAATAAGTTCTAGTTGGAGAAAGAGAAAGTAAATTTCATTCAAGAAATCAAAGATGTTTATTGTGTTTGCACATGCTTATGCAAACCTAGGAGACCTTTGGAAGAACTTGAGAGCAGATTAGTGCAAGCCTGAGACAGAAGGTGGAGAGTTGCACCTGCATGAAAAACATCTTTCATTTCTTTTATAAAATAATATAATAGATTGAGCTCAAATTGATTTGCACAGGCTAATACAAACACTACTATGGACCAATCACCACACACGTTTTATTGCTTTTATATTATAATGTGTTTTGAATTGCAAAATCAACAGCATTATGTAATTTACATCATAGAAACTGGTGTTCCTCCATGGGTTGGTTATCATGAAGAAGAGACGATGAAAACACAAATCTTGGCTTTGTCATCAGTAAGCATGATCAGTAATGACCAGTTTAATTGTGTAGTGTAAGGACCCTTTCTTAATTATTCACCTTTGTCCGGTATTGTTCAAGTTCTTACACACATATGTATGAAGCAGTCAGTGTGAATTGCTTCTTTTTTTTCAAGATTTCTTTATAAGAATGACAATCATTAAAATGATTTAATGCCAGTAACGTTTTTCTTAGTAGTTTCAATGCAATGCAATATTAATTGGCTATTGACAAACAATTTGTCAGAAGTGAATTGATTTTGAATTGTTTTTCATGATTTCAATAACCACAGGACGAGAGAAATTTTCTTAGAGACCCACCTTCCGGTGTGCAATTTCATTATGATTATGACAGCATGTTTCCTGTGGCACTTGCAACTCTTGATGAGGACCCAGAATTAAGAAAGATGAGATTCAATTTGGTTCCAAAGAAGTGAGCAGTGTTTTGCATTCTTGAATTAAAAGCAACGTATTATTTCCATCAAATTAATAAAAATTTCATTTTCTGCTGAAGAGTCAAGGAGAAAACCTTCTGGAGAAATTATTTTTATCGTGTTTCATTGATCAAGCAATCTTCACAGCTTACATCTTTAGCCTCTGCAGCAGGTATTGCAAAGAAACCTTGTTATAGTTGTAGTTGGTTTTTGGGATGTTGTTTTGTGTAAAATTACTGGAACAAGAATCTTTTTAGGAAGTACAAAGAGCTCTGCCGAAAATTTGAATGAAAAAGATCAGGATAACAAGTCTGTGAAAACAACAGGTGCATGATTGTGTGCATAAAGTATGGGGCATATTTGTGCATTTCCAATACATTTGTCAATCTATATGATGTGTATTTTATGATAACAGGTTCTGCTGATACACAGCCTATTGGGATTCAAGCAAAACAAAGTGTTGAAAAGCTTTCTGAAGACTTAGGTGATACAACATTGTCAAGCAGTCCTCCACAGGAAGAATTTATCAGTGATACCTTTGAAGGAGGAGAAGGTATGTTATTCATTTGTCTTGCAAGAGAAATTAATAGCAACATGTATCCACTTCTATATATATAGTTAGCACCTACCTCATTTAAATTCTCTCATTGCATCAATAAGAGAATTGGCAATAGCATCGAACACAAATTATTTGTGCTTTAGATTAACCATTTCAATAGCATATTGTACTTAATTGTACTTTATTGTGCTTGGAACCAATCATAGCCTTCATAAGCCCTTATCATTCTGATAGATACTGTCTTTATAGCAAATGCTGTGTGTGCAACTTTAACTTATGTTGTTTCAACACACCGTAATCCTCCACCTGCTAGCCTCGTACACAAGCATCAAACACAAATTATTTGTGCTTTAGATTAACCATTTCAATAGCATATTGTACTTAATTGTACTTTATTGTGCTTGGAACAAATTATAGCCTTCATAAGCCCTTATCATTCTGATAGATACTGTCTTTATAGCAAATGCTGTGTGTGCAACTTTAACTTATGTTGCTTCAACACACCATAATCCTCCATCTGCTATCCTCTTACATGAACCCATCCACATTAGGCCCATCTATATATAGGTGCATGTATTCAATAGTGTAATGTTCCGTCTTCATCAATAGAACTTAGCAAAGAAGACTTGCAACAGATAGGTATGGGAACATTAAATGACAAAGGAGAGAAGACACTCTCTGAAAATGAGAAGCAACCTAACTCAACTTCTACTACTGAAGCAGAAATACCTGACTGGGAAAGGGAACTTCAGGAAGAATTACAGGTTGCTTGATGTTAGATATTACACAACTTTGTGTGTTTATTTTCATTATTATAAATAAGGAAAATTGTACTGAGAAACAGTTGCATCTTGACTGTAGTGGACAAAATATTCAATAATAACATTTGGAATTTTTATTCAAATCTATCATTTAGATTATTGGATACTGTGTCCACTTAATAATTATTGTAACACCAATTTTTTAAGTGTATTGTCTTGCTTTTCTGAAATTTTGGATTGAAAATGGTGTATTTACACTGTCTTTTTTTCAATGTTGCCTTTGAAAGCCCATAGCTTTTTGTTCTATCCTATTTTCTCTCTTAAATTATTTGACAAGTATATATTACCACCAAAGTGGTCAAGTAAACCAGCTTGATTTTTCTAATGTAATAGTACAAGAAAGACAAACAAGTTTTCCCACATTAAGAAAGTCAACTTAAATAAATTAAATCGATCCTTATTCAGGAATATGATGTTGTTGAAGAAGGTGATGACAATGATGATGGCACATGGGAGAAGGAAATAGAGGATATGTTAGAAGCCGAGGTGTCCTGAGAGAAATAGTAAACATGCAAGTAGAAAATGTGTCCACCGAAATGGAAGTCATTTTACTGTATACTGCAGAAATGTCCTGAATAATGCTTATTAGCATTGTAGCATTAATTTTTATTATATATATATGCGTAAATCAACTCTTTCATCAAGGCAAGTGTGAAGAAATTTTATATAGTTGATATTTAATCAAAATAAAAATGTATAATTTCTCACAAATAAATAAATGTAGCAGAGAGGAAATAAATAGTTCTGAGATTAGCATTTAAGATCATGAACAAAAATGGTAATAGCCAGCTATTTACCAGCTTTGCCATCAATATGCTTTGACAGTCAAACACGCAGTTTCTTAAAGTGCAAAGACAGGTTTTTCTTGCACGACGAAAAAAGTCTTGAAATGGGATTCAAAATATACAAGGCAAATGTCTTGGTTTGTCCAGGCTCAAAAGTTGAAATCATAGTAAACATTCATTTCCTAGAATCTCATTCATGTCCTAAGATGTTCATTAACGTCCTTGTATGTTCATCACCAAGTATGTTTACTAGGATTAGTTCACAGGATACTCAATTAGCAAGCTTATATAAAGTCAGAGGTTTCACATAATGGCAATCAATGTAGGAGCAATGAGGGCACTCAAATTGACGCGAATAATCAGAGAAATATTGCTTTCCATTTTCAGGATTCCTAACTGGCTTACCACACTTCCTGCATTCGACTCGTCTATCACAACATGGTGCAGCTGCAAAGATATCATACCAGTATAGTGTACCAATCTGGTGGTGTGAACCATCCCATTTGGTATTGCAGAATTTACACTTCACAGCTTGAGGTGTGCCTTGTAAACAATGCATGCATACTGCAGTCAGGAAGAGCATGCGAGATTGGATTTCCAATGCAATACAACCAGGTGTCAGTTCTTTGGGAGACAAAAAGAAGGTACCATCAAGAAGTGGGTAATTAGCAAACACAGGCAGATCTCTATTACATGTAACACATCTTACTGCTGTCTGACAGTTAGAGACAAGTGCTTTCAGTATAATGGATCGCGGATCGTCACTTTGGGAAAAATCATCATCCATTTTTATGTGACATGGGTTGACCTTCTGTCGAGGTAGGTTCTTTACCATAGTACCAAAATCAGTACGCCAGGGAAAGCTGGAGGTGACACATTGGTCTCCTAGCTTAGACAAGGTTGGAAATTGAAATATATCTTTGGATTTCGAGTTAGACCTTCTTCTACTAGGAGATTTATGGTTATGATGAACATCAGTGGGAGACAGGCTTAACTTTCTTTGTTGTATCTTATGCATAGTCGGGGCGTTGTTGCAATTGGGCGAGACAGACAGCAATGTATACTGGTTGTTTTTGCCTTTTTTCCGCTTGGATGTTACCTGTTGAAAACTCTCTTCTTCTTCGGCAGGTTTATAATCTAAATCTTTTTTTAAATAGCCCTTGCCGCAAGAACAAGCACAACGTTTAGAAACGAGATCGTAGCCTTTTTTAGTCCAGATATTCTGATATCTTTGTTTCTCGGACCAACCTCGCGCTCTACCTAGATTTCGACAATATGCGATCAGGTCTTCTTCAAACGCGTCCGCACACTCAGGGTGCATAAAACCACTCTTGTCGCATTGGTCGTTACTACAAAAGAAATGAACAGAATCACAGGATGTCTTCAAATCCGATGATGTGCACCCTCTCGGATAGCAACAGTCGTGTGATTGACTTGCTTCGTCTTCTATCAAATCGTGACCGTTTTCGACAGGCGAACGCACGTCTTTTTCCGGTTCTTTGTCATTATACTTGGCAGATTTTGCATTATGTTTCTCCTCCCTCGCGAAAGGCATTGTTTAATGGTCAAAATTATCTCTGAAGGATTAAATAATTTACCGGATAAGGCAACGCTCACAACTGTCAAATCCAAAACAAGGAATTATTTAAATTCTTTTGTTTGGTGACATGTTCTAAAAAAGGGCGTGGCTCGACCAGCTGCATGTATGATGTGTGTGCTAAGCATCGAGCGAAGCATGCTCGACAAATATATTTTATCTAAAGCTTTTCAAAGTATTCTTATCAGTAAAACCTTCATTCCACACCTGCAGCATCCCATTCACGGGAGATCTACACCGAGCTTTAAAAGCTTTCTTGCGAGTTCTTTCAGATTTTCATCTCTAGTCTAAAGTGCGCTTCCATAAGCCAGATACAGAATGAAAGATAAGCAAGTATTAGTTGCAAAATCGTCTAATGCACATGTTTCAAGATAAATATACTATGCTTTGTTTTTGAAATAGACAATATTTTTGCAGGTACACCGTACATCACCGAGAAATATCAAGTATCAAAATACCAATGACCCGTTGCGCGCATTTTGTGACAAAAGACTGGGGACTAGTAACAAAGTCTAGTTTAAATTTTACATTTTTCAGTAAAAATCAGTAAAAATGGCTTTGTCCGTACCCAAAACGTCTTTCCAACACATGCTCAAAGATGGTGCAAAGGTAATTTTGATATTAAAGTTCAACATCTATCTAATTTTCTCTAGTAAATGTTAAATCTAGTTCTGTACAATCTGTATTCTGTTCTCAACAAGAACACAATGTCTGAACTTCTGCACGTGGTGTTGAAATTGTTCTGTCAATGGACAAAGTGTCAAAAAATCTTACAACTACACCTGCAAACCTTTAGTTTAATCTTCAAGTTCTTTTATTTTATTGCTCTGGTAAGAAGAAGCTTTAATTATTTAAAGTTTCATTTCTTTCAATTAAATATAAAGAATTACGTTTATATCTGTAACTATAGTATCCTTGAATCCTTGATCTCTTTGAATTATCCTCAGGAAATCACCATAGTGCCTTATAGTGCTACAGTATCCCACATTATGCTTATATTCGTCCTAGCACCTTAAAGGACTTGACGAGGCTGTTTTTCGAAATATTGATGCATGCAAGCAACTAACAAAGATTACAAAGTCATCTTATGGACCCAATGGTTTGTATGCTCAAGTAGTGTTGAACTGATGGTGATAAAGAAATTTAATAAGTTAGAATTTTTATGGTTTTGTTACCCCCATATAGCTGATATCATTAATATATGCATTGGTATAATCTACTGTGTTTGGATTGTACTAGAAGAACACTGCTAAGGTTTTCGAAACGTCATTCAACATTCACGTCAACAATCCTTCTCAGGACTCTACTGACCTGGATGATTTACATCTATAAAAGTGTAACCATTCAAACCATTCGCTTTATTCCTTTATTTAATAAGCAATGCAACATCAGCCTGAACATTTACTATGGTGAAAAGGATTATTTCCTTATATTTACTTTGTCTTTAACATACATAGTCATATAGTGATTGAATTGTTGAACATGTCACAAAGTTAACAATTGTTTGATCTTCATTTGTATGTTTTACATGCCATCTTTCTTTACAAGGCCTTAACAAAATGGTCATCAATCAACTCGAGAAATTGTTTGTCACAAGTGATGCTGCAACGGTAATCAAAGAACTTGAGGTATGTTAATGTTTATGTGTGTATTTTTTCAACATTGCATCACTTTTGTTGGTGTTTGGTGTAAGCCTTAGATTCATCCTTTTCACCTCAGGTTCAACATCCAGCTGCCAAAATGCTTATATTGGCTTCTCAAATGCAAGAACAAGAGGTGATTTTTGCATAGCATAGGGCACTATCTGGCGACATGGAGTACTTTAGGGTACCAAGTGGTACCATAAACATTGTCTAGTAGACATTAAACAGTTAAGGTATTCAAACAGGTTGGAGATGGTACAAATTTTGTCATGGTATTTGGTGGCGAATTGCTCTCCAAGGCAGAAGAACTTTTAAGAATGGTAAGATAATTTATGTTAAGCATACTGGGAACACTACATTGATAATATTAAGAGTGTGTGGATTATGTAGATCATGAAAGTCTGGCTTTAGTTAACTTTAAGAAAAGTGGGAGTGATCTGGATAATTTGTGGATTGACTGGATAAGACTTGGATAATGTGAATTGACTGTGTTTTCTAGTTTTCTAACGAAAGTCTGATTTGAAGAATATGCTAAGAGAAGTTTTTTACTCATTCAATTAATCCATTTAGGGTCTGTCACCTCCCGAAATCATCGAGGGATATGATAAAGCATGCGATAAAGCATTAGAAATTTTACCAAATTTATCGTGCTACACAATAAAGAACATCAGAGATCATGATGAAGTAACCAAAACCCTGAAGTCTTCAGTTGCTAGCAAACAGGTGATATTATTTTACATACATATGTACAGGTCCGAATTAAAGTTTCATAAGTCATAAATTGCTCAGTGATTTTGACAATTGCACAATGTGGCTGGACAATTGTGGTAAAATTATGAAGCTCAGTTAGCACTTCCTTATATAATTTGTTAATACTCACCAATTAATGCGTGCGCACGCCATGGCCACGCGAAACTAAGTAGATATTCACCTTAAGAAACGTTAATTTGATTAAAAGTTTAAGTACAATTAAAAAAGTCGAACTATGAATTCCGTCTGTGCGGAATTCTTAAAGAGAATATGTGCAGATCGCTGTATTTTCAACGTCTAGGTCTATGGGACAACATCTGTGGGAAGTTAGATAGTTCAGAAGCACGCGTCCTAGAAAAAGCGCCTAAAATCTCTCCGATCAAGACTTAGGGTCGGTGCTCGAAGTAAAAATCATAAAACAATCTCCCATAGAGAGCTTCCCAATGTTGGCGAGAACAAGATATAAGGCGCCCAAAGAATGCAAAAAAGCTTCACTGTCCTGCAGAAAGGCAGTTGGAGACTGAACAATTTCTTGCAAACTTGCATGCGTCACCACAAACTTAGAGCTAGAAAGTGACGGGTGCCATGATTTTAGCGTAAAGTCTTCACTAAATTATTGAATAATGTTTCTGTATATCGATAAATTGCAAAACTAAGTACAAATTAATACTTATATTGCAGAATTGTCGTAGTATTTACGCAAATCACTAAATGTGAAAAAATTTTATAAATATGAGGCTTTTCTTTCATGTGTTTGCTGTTCGTTCATTCGTTTCATTTTGATTTTATTTTTATTGGAAACTGACGTTTCAATTTTTTCTTGTTTAAAACTTTCACAAACTTGAATTACTTTCCATCATAAAATACAGCTGCAGCTGCAGAATTTCTCTCTGTGCTTCTAAATTTCTACTTATGTTGTTTTGCAGTTTGGTAACGAAGATTTGCTATCGGAATTAATCACAAAAGCCTGTGGTAAGTACTGATGTTTCACTTTTCATAAACCTTTGCTCGTTGTTTCTGGTATTTCTGAAAAGTCAATATCTTTGTCGACGATTCGATTGTCTTCTTTTAGTGCGAATTTTACCCGAGTCAGGCCTGTTTAATGTGGACAACGTGAGGGTTGTGAAAATATTGGTATGTCAAATCGCAATTTGTCGAGAAATCATGCGTTTTTGATTTGTTAGTGCTCCTCGCAACTCGGATTCCACGTCAGGAACGTCATTTGATTCTCTGCTCTCTCTCATCGTCTTGTCGATAAATTCTCTTTTAAGTAGTGCCGATAGCGTTGCTTGTGCTAAATACCATAATATTTCTTAGCAACAAACCACGATGTCCAAACGTTTTCGATTGTTTTGAGCTTTTTCATCGGCGAGAATTTTTTTTTAGTAAACCGAACGTTTCAATTTCTAGTTTCTTGCTAATTGTTATGCACCTTTGTGAACGCTAAAAACTAAAAATGAACCACGGCATTATCATATATCGTCACACCTAAACTTTAGAATGATGTTAACTGTTAAGACGAAAACATACTCCAGATTGCTAGCTAGCTGATGTAACGACTAGCTAGAGCCAAAGGATACAGTATTCAAGAGTTCATTTCGCATTTAGCTACTACCAATTCATCGTCAAACTTGTCGTAAATTCTAAGAACTACTATTGAATACTATGGCTACATGTTTATACAAAATCTTGAGCTATTTTTCGGAGTTTGTTTTTGGTTTTTCTTAAATGATTGACTGAAAAAGATTGATTATCATCTGCAGGGTTCTGGTGTGTCCAGTTCTCATGTCGTACAAGGAATGGTGTTCAAACGAGAGGTGGAAGGTAATATTGGCAAAGTTGAGAATGCAAAGATTGCCGTCTTCTCTTGTCCGCTCGACTCCATGGGGACGGAAACCAAGGTAAGATCATCTGATTACGTATTGTGTTAAAGACGACACAACTTAAAGGTCGATGAATTCCAACTTTTTAGTCGGGAATTCCTTGAGTTAAACAGGCTGTCAAAAGGAACTGCTCGCTGGCAGAAATTGGTTTGATATGCGAACATTAGAACAAAACATAAGTTACACAAAAAAAATAATGGTATATTTAATGACTAACTGATCCTCCACTTGGTTTAATTGCAGCTTTGCATAGGTTAGACAGGCTGTTTGTCATAATCATCACAATGTAATATTTCTACACAAATCAAGAGCAGTTCTTTTCGACTCCTGTGTAGTTGCAGAATAAACTGCATGAGGCGATCTCTAGCTTCTAGAAACGATCTATTTATATATATAGAAATTGTACTTGAAAGTTTATTGGTTTTTTGATTAGGGAACGGTTCTGATAAAGAGCGCAGAAGAGTTGAAGGCGTTCAGCCCTGGGGCAGAAAATCTTCTCGAGAGTGTAAGAATTTTTTGTTTGTTTTGCTGTGAACTAAAAGAATAGGAATAATTCAACTTAGGATATCTTTCGTGCGTGTTAAATGTGAAACTGCCTTTTCAACAGCAAATCAAGAGTATCGTCGACGCTGGCTGTAACGTTGTTGTAACTGGCGGGAAAGTAGGAGATATGGCTCTTCATTTTTGCAATAAATATAATTTGATGGTTGTGAGGTTAGTATGCAGCTAGTTGATGGATTTTTATTAAGGTCAGCTCATTCAAATGTGTGGGCGTAGAAAAAGGCCACGTTTTCACAAACATGTCAGTTCTTACGTACAGCAACATTGTGTATTATTTAACTCCAAAGCTTGAACATTAATCTGTGTATGGCCGTGTGTTAAAAGACTGGGAATAGTATCATAGTTGGCTTTAAAGTTTTGGTGGGAGGTGGTAGCCTTCTTGGTCTATGCTCATTTGAATTGTTCAGTTGGCAAAAATATTGTCATGGAGCTCTTCCAGTAAATTTCGTTCATCCTCTGTAGGTTGACCTCAAAATGGGAACTACGACGTGTATGCAAAGCCGTTGGAGCTGTGGCTTTGCCGAAAATGGTATTATCCAACTTCTAATTTTGTATAAAACGGGACAAACCATTGCTGCACATTCCTTTGCTTGTTTATTCGGGACGTTTCTTGGCTTGTAATTTTGTGCGTTATTTTTTCGCCAGACTCGTCCAACTGTTGAAGAAATCGGTCGTTGTAAGATTGTACAAGTTGATGAAATTGGCGATACGTCGGTGATTGTTTTTAAGCAAGGTTCGTGTCTATTTGAGTCTGTGTCCATTGATATGACTTGGATTTACGATTGATTCAATATACTATGACATACAGCCTTAACAATGATAAATCTAAAGAGCTTATAGTTGTGTTCAGTTGTCTGATTCACCCAATCGGAAAACTCATTCATATTTGGTAGATAATTAATGGTCTGTTAAGATTACTGTTTCTGTGACCTGTCGTTCATTGGGTTAGATTAGATAGATTAATTATTAGCTAGACAAGGCATTAGGTAGACAATTATTGGGAGGATTAGCGATTAAGAATGATTTACTCTCCATGTTTTCTTATCGCTTTTCAAACAAGCGAAGCTTGTAGCAGAACTCTTTACGTAGAAACCTGCCGTGTCATTTTAACACATCTGCCGTGTCATTTTTTCAAATCAAGAGGGGGTGTGATATTTTAGCAAAGTGCGTTCGTGTCTTCATCATAAACGTTATGCACGCACGCCGTCTGACATAGTTTTTTAAAATTGTGAATCTGTAATAGATATGTTATCCAATAGCAATCATCGACTCTTACTATCCTTTTCAGAAAGTGCTGACGGCGCTATCTCCACGATCGTAATCCGTGGTTCAACAGATAGTATAATGGACGATGTAGAGCGTGCCATTGATGATGGAGTGAACACGTTTAAACAGCTTACGAGAGATGGACGATGTTTGCCTGGTGCAGGAGCTACGGAGATCGAACTTGCACTACAACTCGCTACCTACGCTGAGGTGAGGCTTGCTTAAAGTAAGAAGTTTTTATCTTGCCATGTACTTAGTGTAATCCATGATGAGTCCCTGCAAATTTCTATACATCCTTCAGTTACCTGCCAGCCTTTGGATGAAATACCTATTCAGAATTTTGTGTCATTAACTTTTTCAATTCAACGACAAGAACGCTGGAAGGTTGACGTATTATATAAGAAAATATTCCTGACAATTTAACTTCTCATTTGCAATGTGATTTAACTTTCTCTATAAATCGTACATCACAAAACTTCAATATCTTGAGATTGCAAAGAGATGGGACTAAACAGCTTGAGAAAGTCCACTGGCATTTTACGAACTCTTTTCAGTAAAACTATATTTTTAATTGCAAGTTTTTCGTTAAACTGGCCCTTTAAAGATCTATTGTTTTTAAAGTAAGTGAGCATTGGACTATTTACTTATCACTAGCAAACCTGTGGTATGGTAACGCCACTTCTCGCTTGCATGCATTAACGACTGCCTTTCTACGTGATTGTGATACACATTGACAAATGTTCACGCTAACGGCAATCTGCAAGTCCTAAACTCGACATCAGGCAGAATTAACGTTTCAGCTGCCCACGTAACATAAATCAGAATTTGAGTTTCATACTTGCACCTGGCAAATAACGATCGATATTGCTTAAAAACAAAGGCCTTCTCTATCCATGTCATAGCCAGGTATTTTTAAAAGTGGACGGTGATCTTTTTAAGACAAATTAAATCAAGCAAGGCACGTTTGTCTTTATGCTTTACTGTCTAAATCAGCTTATACATAATGGTGGGCACGAGGATTTTATGGTCTTATTTCTCCGACATAATTTTACTTTCTTTTTGCTCTTTCATAGCATGCTTCCATACTCTTAGCATTTTCTCGCCTCTAGAAAGTCTCGAGAATCTGCTAGATAACAGTTAAAGTGAAAACCCATTAAGTACTCGAGATGCCATCTTGTTGTGGGGAATCTGTGTTGATGTACTTTGATATCCCATGATATAACTTTGATATCCTCTGATGTCTTGATGTTCTTTTTCTATTTTGTTATAGACGTTTTCTGGTTTGGAACAATACGCCATTAAAAAATTTGCTGAAGCTTTGGAAGTGTTTCCTAAAGTTTTGGCTGAAACTTCAGGTGTTAGCGGAAACGAAGTCATATCCAAAATGTACGCTTCGCACAACGATGGTTGTAAAAACTCCGGGTTTGACGTTGAGGTAATTGTATTATGAAAGGTATTGATGAAAACTAAGATAATGTGTGTCATTGTTCGTAGGTAGTAATGAATGAACAAAAGAGAACGAGAACAGTTCTTACACTACCTAAAATTTAAACTAAGATAACGTGTGCCAGTGTAGATAGTGATGAATGAACAACAGAGAACGAGAACAGTCTTTACACAACCTAAAATTTAAACTAAGATAACGTGTGCCAGTGTAGATAGTGATGAATAAACAACAGAGAACGAGAACAGTCTTTACACAACCTAAAATATAGACTAAGATAACGTGTGTCAGTGTAGGTAGTGATGAATGAACGAAAGAGAACGAGAACAGTCTTTACACTACCTAAAATATAGACTAAGATAACGTGTGTCAGTGTAGGTAGTGATGAATGAACAACAAAGAACGATAACAGTCTTCTATTCCCTTAGGCTGGTACTGCAAGTTTGATCGACGTTTCTGAGGCTAGTATTTTCGACACACTAGCTGTGAAACACAATGCCATAAAAATGTCATCTAATGCAGCTGTTACGATACTAAGAGTTGACCAGGTACAATTTTCTATATTTCAAAACACATTCAATATAATATATTCTCATAAATTCATTATATTTCTTGTTATATGAAATAGAAATTTATTCTCAAGGCAAAACCTTCAGTATTATCGTAAAACTTTTCAGCATCTCACAACCAATTAGACAACGGGTGAATTATATGAATACTGTCGTTTCTGTTTCTGCTGCATTTACGTCGAGGCGCGCGTATACTACCCCTGAATTCCTCGATTTGATATTTCTCCGTAAAGACCTCAAACTCAATTAGTATTCATATTCGAGTTTGAAGACCAATGAATACAGACCTCATAATCAAGTGGTTCATGATGGCATATGTTTAAAGTCAACCTTCTGTTTTTTTCTAGATTATCATGGCGAAGCCTGCAGGTGGTCCCAAACCAAGGGCTGGAGGTAATCGTGATGAGGATTAAATCTTATCGTTATAGACAAATGCATTAGTTAGTGGATATTCTGCTTAATATCGCAGAAATTGTCCATCCTGAAGCTTCATGAATGATAATTTACACCGATTTCGTATTTTCCGTTGCTGTTCATCTTCAATTGATATTCCTTATTCAAATATTCGCCAAATGTTTGAAAAATTACAAAAACGTCAACTTTCAATTGTTTTACCATTATAATAACACCTTAGTGATTTATGGTGATGTGATTGGCTGTGTTTGATCACGTTACATCGAATGGACACTTCCCCTTATCATTTCGCGTTTTTATTAAATTTATTCAAAATATTGATCCGTACAACCTCGTCCACTATTCATCGCTATTCATTATATAATGGCGATGAAGTGACATTATTTTTTGTGCATCATGTCCAATGCCCCGTTTACACGAGCCCGGGTTGACAGCCAGCCCGGGTTGGTGTACCAACCAGGGTCTACCCGTCCACTAATAAGTTCCTATTAACGTTTACACGATAGTCGGGTCAATTACTTTGTGAAATGTTCTTACCATAGTACTACTGATACATTTTATGTGAAGGAATCGAAGATCATGTGGCGGATTTTTTTCGTTCACTATTGACAAAATCTCATTGTAATTCCCTTTCTTGTGTAAAGTGCATATATTGCAATTCGCGCTTTTATTGTGGTCAGTGCAAACTTTGGATTTGAACGTGTTGTACTGTGACTATATTCTCATAACCGCAGCGATAATGAAAAGTTGAGGACCACCTGTTTGGGAGCGAAAACTACCGGTTGGGTCAATGAAGCCTTAAAACCTTCGAGTCGTTTAGTATTTTTATAGCGATATAATTTCAGTTATAATGTTTCAATTGTTTAAACATCGGAAAAAACACTTTGGCCTTGGGAAGTATACTGTGTTTATACTTTTGTGGTTATTCTACGCTGCATTTGGTGAGAAGGAGAAATTTAGTTTTAGTAAATATGAACCGAGATTAGACGATCTTTTTAAGAATTTTACAAAACTACAAAAGAAAGGTAGCCAAAAGGAAGGATATTTTACAAACACATGGGCCGTTGAGTTGCACGAACCGGCCGTTGAACGAGATGTTGAAAGGATTGCCAGAAAACACGGATTTAAAGTTTTAGATAAGGTATGTGAGATGTTATTGTATGGTTTAGTTTATATAGCATAATTACTGGTGTCTTTGTGCTCAGCATAGTCATGTGCCATTATTATAGTCATCTGAAATTGTTAACTCGAACGTAGAAAGTCGGGCATTTTCATTGCATTTTGATTTAGCTTGAAAGCATCGGAATTCGTCATTTGTGAAATGTTTATCAGTAAAGCAAGTATTGATGATTCGATAAGTGAAAATTAATCACCGAGGCGTGAGGGATATATGTGGGGTTTTTTGTGTAATGTTGAAAGATTTAAGTGCAGAAAACATCAAAGTTTATTTTGTAATCTTAGGAAAAGTTTTGATACCTGAATTTTTTTAAATTTACCATCGAAATAGCGGGAAAGTTAAAGTGATTTCCAGCGATCGCTAGACGTCGCGAGTTTTAACTAGTGAATGACCCAAAGTCTGAATACGGTTAGGATGCCACATACGTTATGTGAGATGAATGTGTTGTTTTTCATAACAACTGCCAAGATGTGAACTCACTCATCCACCATCCGAAAGTTAAAACTTTCTTAAATTTCGTTTTATCTCATCTCGAGATTGTATATGTTAAATTTGTCGTCTCGTCTTATCTGATGTCGGTGTTAGTCTAACAAAATTGTATGTTTTTACAGATTGGTAGTTTAAAGAATCATTTTCATTTACAACACGATGACGTCAAAGAACTTCATCACGAGCATGCTCAGAAAAAGACGGATCTATTGATGCTGGAAAAAGAGGTAAGTTCTTTGCAATTATTTTTTAAAGAGTTTGATGTACGCTTGCCACACATTGGTCAGTGCAAGCATTTTTCTACTGAGGATTAGTCTTGGTTGTAACTTCTTGAAGCTATTTTTGGTTTTCACTCACGGAGCTCAAAGTTCTTGGTTCTATCTTCTGTAATTGTAGTTATCACTTCTGGGAACTTGTCATTGTTATCATTCCAACAACTTTGAGCTTATTGATAGTCTTAAAAAGAAAGTTTCCCGGAGTGCTTTGCACGTCATAAATATCTTCGACAAGTCAGTTAACGACGCTACGTATGTATGCATATTATAGGTAAAAGAAGCCACGCAACAGAAATATGTACACCGATTAAAACGGGACGGCATTCCAACAGATCCAAAATTTGTTGAAATGTGGTACTTGGTAAGTAACACACTTTATTCATTTTAAATTGCCTTGTGTACATTTCAAAGTGAATAATTACATTATACAGACCCTTAATAGATTAATGAAGGTAACTTCTTTTCTTTCGGACGATGGAAACCCGATTTCCACAGCTGAAACAAAACAACTCGAAATCACTGCTCGTATCTTGTTAGTTTCAAAACATTATCCATACGTTGGTATTGTTAACTCTTGGTCGCATAATATTTTTTCGTTTTACATTATCATTTTTCTGTTTTTGCTTATTTTCATCTGCGACAGTTATTAATGATGAATAAGTCATTTGTGTCGGCAGTATATTTTTCTAAGGAGGTATGATTTCAGTTTAATTCAGGACAAACAGGGGGTCCCGTTGGTGTGGATACGAACGTTGTACCGGTGTGGAGGAGTGGTATTACTGGAAAAGGTGTTGTGATCTCTGTTCTTGATGACGGTATGTTGAAATTATTAGCAACGAAAATTTCACACCGGTCTGGATATTTATCGCACATTTACAGAGAAAGTCGACTTCAAGTTTAAATGAAGCGAAATCTCGCAATGATTTCTAGTTACAAGACAAAAGCAAAGTCTTCATCGAAACTTTGATGCGTCGAAGCGGCTTGTAATATCCTTTTTTCCAATGACGTTGGACACTGTCAAAAAATTTTAAAGACGTTGTAACTGGCAGTTATTTTGCTCCCTTTTATGATTATATTTCGTCACATGTTAGTAGATGTAGATCGTCCTGGTCAGTTCACGAGAAACACTGTTGTTGGTGTTGGTGTTGTTGTTGTTGGTGTTGGTGGTGTTGGTGGTTGTGGTGTTGGTGTTGGTGGTTGTGGTGTTGGTGTTGGTGGTGGTGATGGTGGTGTTGGTGTTGGTGTTGGTGTTGGTGTTGGTGCTGGTTGAAGTTTCAACTTTCTCAGTGGTAGTCATCTTCAGAAGTAGAGGGTCAGAAACACCAACAGTCCTTCTCTGGACTCCACTAACCTGGACGGTCTACATATACAAACATGTAATGATACTCCCAGGTTCAAACCATTCATATTGACATATTTCATTCTTTAAGGTCTTGATCACACTCATCCTGACATTTTACCAAACTATGTAAGTAAAATTACAAATTACAAATTTTGCTATACTTACACTACCTTCGCTATGCTTAGACCACCTTAGCTATACTTTGACCACCTTAGCTATACTTACACTCCCTTAGCTATACTTAGACCACCTTAGCTATACTTAAACTTCCTTCGCTATACATAGACCACCTTAGCTATACATAGACCACCTTAGCTATACTTAGACCACCTTAGCTATACTTACACTACATTCGCTATACATAGACCAGCTTAGCTATACTTAGATCACCTTAGCTATACTTACACTACCTTCGCTATACATAGACCACCTTAGCTATACTTAGACCACCTTAGCTATACTTAGACCACATTAGATATACTTAGACCACCTTAGCTATACTTAGACCACCTTAGCTATACTTACACTCCCTTAGATATACTTACACTACCTTAGCTATACAAAACCACCTTAGCTATACATAGACCACCTTAGCTATACTTACACTCCCTCAGCTATGCTTGGACCCCTTTAGCTATACATAGACCATAATCTCTCATGAGTAATATTTGTGTATTTTTACCTGTAGTTTCCCGAGGCTAGTTATGATTTTAACGACCACGATACCGATCCGTTTCCTCGAGATGAAGATCCAGATAACTGGTATTTATCTGTATTTAATAAATTTTTTACTAGTACCTCGTAAACATAACTCAACCTTATCTGTCTCCCCTTTTCATATGGTTTTAGTCACGGTACAAGGTGTGCTGGAGAAATAGTTGCCGTTGCCAATAACAGCAATTGTGGCGTTGGAGTCGCTTACAATGCGAAAGTTGGAGGTGACCAAACGATTTGAATGCTGAGATAACATGCTTAAATATATCATTTTGTAATCTTGTTTGCTTCAGGCGTGAGGATGCTTGATGGGAAGGCAACGGATGCACTTGAGGCAAGTGGACTGAGCTTTAATCGTAACCTGATTGACGTTTATGTCAACTGTTGGGGGCCAAAGGATGATGGGAAGACTTTCGGGAAACCTGGACCTTTGGCTGCGAAAGCTTTGAAAGAAGGAGCCATCTTTGTAAGTGCGATTTCTATCTGATTGGAACGTTGTAGACTGATTATAATCCTACAAACGTTTACGTCACATCTCTTCTAATGAATAAATTAGGCATTACGTGTATTGGCATCAACATCAGATCATTCATGAAGACAGTAGACTAAAGCATGCAAAAACTCGCGTTTCAACATGAAACAAAACACGGTATTGGAGTGTTTATAGACTCTACTTTCAACAATCAGATCACTCCCGATGAAGACAATAGTCTGGAGTACATAAGACCACAAGCTTCAACATCAGATCACTTCTGTCGAAGACACTTGACTGTAAGACCTTGAGTTTTAACATCAAAACACTACTGATGAATACAATACTGTGGAGTGTACATGAACTCCAGTTTTAAGACTTTAAACTGAATACATTTCTTGTTAGCAAGTATATGTTGTTCTAGGGTCGCAAAGGAAAAGGAAACATTTACGTGTGGGCAACTGGAAATGGTGGTTTAACTGACGATGATTGCAACTGTGATGGATACACCACAAGTGTGTACACAATATCCATTGGTTGCATTAGTGATCATGGTCTATCAACATACTACACAGAGCTTTGTGCTTCCACTTTGGCTGTAACTTTTAATGGAGGCGCGCATAGAGAACGGGAAGAAAACAAAATGGTATGACATTAATATTGTTTAACATTTGTACTACATGACGTTCTCAGGTTATTCATGATGGTACTTACATCATTCGTTAGATTACTACAGATTTATTCCACAAATGCACGGAGGAGTTCAAAGGCACTTCTTCCGCTGCTCCCATTGCCGCGGGAATATTCTCTCTCGTCTTGGAGGCAAAGTAAGATAATTAACGGTAAAAGCGTTGTTTAGATATGGGAGGGTTGAAAACGAGTTTTGAGTGGATCTCCTTGAAATTCGAGTTGATTGTATAGCTTTGAAAAGGTGTCCGTTCAATCTTGGCATTTTTCAGTCGAGAACTTGTTCAACATAATTTTGTTCTTGAGAAATATTTTCTTTGCAAATATAGACATTCGTTCAACATGTACTTCATTAGCATTTTATTGCATTTTCTGACCAATAGGAGCGCTGAGATGGCTAACTGCAGCCGGCAATCTAATTATATATTCAGCACCAGGTTGCACAGCTAAATGGGACTACTGTTTGTTTCCTATATTGTGCTTTTATTGTGAAGATGCGAAGAGCTTTCTTCATGCCGTGAAATCTCAGTGCATGTATAAGGGGGAACTCTGACATTTAATTTTCTTTTCAGTCCCGAGTTAACCTGGAGAGATATGCAGCACGTGATTGTCGACACTGCGCAGATGACAAGTCCCGTGGACGAAGGCTGGATGAAGAATGGAGATGGAAGACATTTCAACCATAAATTCGGTTTTGGAAGAATGGACGCTTCCAAAATGGTGGAACGTGTTAAAACGTGGGTTAATGTTAGCCCACAGAAAGTGTGTACTGGTCAGTTATTTGATAATCAAAGGTAACTATATTTATCGCTTTTGACTGTCTCTAAAATTATGATGACAGTGGTGCGGCCATATAGGTAGTTTTTTACTAGAGTTGATCCATGACCTTGGACGCTCCCACCTGCTCTATATAGTTTGCAAAGTTCATGACAGGGGGGAGTGTTTAAGCTCATCCGATCGAATCTAGGATATCGAATCTATGGATACTACAGTTCACACCTTTTCTCCTTGTAACTCTTTCTGAAGTAACGCTGTGCCTTTAATAATTAATATCAATTGTAGAATTTGAAGAACTTGATCATTCTTGTTTTTTTATACTTTGTGCTAACTGTTAAGGGAACATTTTGTTTTGCTTAGACGATGATTGTAGTAGATTGAAAAATCCCTTTCCGGTTAATGGCGATGGCTAGGTGTTAAACGAACTCTCGTGAGTCTATCATTAAGTCATATATTCTGTATTTCTTAAATTCTTAGAGATATTCCATCGACGGGCAGCATGGATTTCCAATTTTCCACGGATGCGTGCGCAGGCGGTGAAAACCAGGTGGATAAGTTAGAACATGTCGTTTTGACTGTTAGTTTTATACATCGACGTCGCGGGGATGTCAGCCTGTTACTCGTCTCTCCGTCGGGGACTAGAAGCGAATTACTGTCTACCAGACGATATGACGATTCGAAAGAAGGACTTGATGACTGGAGGTTTATGACAGTGCACTTTTGGGGTGGGTATATTGATGCGTATTGTACGTCATAATCACCTTGTGGATGCACCTGTTCACAAGAATTTTAATGAAGTTCTTTATTGTGAGACACCAACATGGCCGCTCTTCCTTGAAATCAGTGCGTATAGTACGTCATAACCGCCATGTTGATGCACCTGTTCAAAAAAGTTTTAATGAAGTTCTTTATTGTGGGACATCAACATGGCCGCTCTTTCTTGAAATCAGTGCGTATAGTATTTCATAACCGCCATGTTGATACACCTGTTCAAAAATGTTTTAATGAAGTTCTTTATTGTGGGACACCTACATGGCCGCTCTTCTTTCAAACTCAAAACCAATAACTTAGTTATAGAGGTTTTGAATTTGAAGTTGAGTTGCTAGAGTTATATTTTGACCGAAGTTGCGCCCGTTACTGATAACAAAAGGTGTAGAAACTATGAGCCTTTTGTTATTAAATTTGAATGTAGTAATGGATTAAGCAAGTTCATATGACCCCATACTTTATCGAGTTTTCGTAATAAGAGATTAGTCCGATTTGTTGAGGCTTAGGCAGTTGCCTTGAGCATTCTGTAATGCATATACAACGATGTTTTGCATGAATTCGTTTTTCCAGGTGAAAATCCCCGAGGAGTGTGGAAAGTCAAAGTAACTGACAGTCCCTTGGATAAAAACGGTCAGCGGATAGTGTCCGACTTTGGGACACTTCATGCAGATACTAGCAGGCAGGAGCATGATGTGGAAGATCTAGAGAAACAAGTTATCGATGATCAAACAAAACAGCAGCAAAATCTAGTCGACCAAATGAAGCAAAGGGTTAGTGGTGATTCTATCCTTCGTCATCCTTTCAATTCACTCAATATCCCTCGTGATTCATTTTTCTAATCTTTACCTTCCATTCATAGGACCCACATATAGACTTTCCCTATCCTCCTGGAGTGCGACGTGATCATATAAACACGTCTTCAGTGAATTCTGACGATAACTACAACGGCTTTGCTGGCTCTCAGTCTATAAAACGCGGCGTTGTACCCAGTTTTCTGAAAAGCTATCGAAAAGGAAATATTCGTAAAGTGCAAGTGGAAACAGCAGAAAAGGCAACACAACGTGTGCAGGTGAACGCTGGGTACGAGAACCCTGAAATTATTTGTTTAGGCAACCCTACGTGTTCTGGAGTGTTTTTACGGTATGGTTTGACTTTGTACGGTACTCAAACACGTGAAGGGGTTGAATTCTAGTTCAGTAATAGTATAATATGTATAAATAGTTCTGAAAGTGCTAATGAAGCGAAAAATTGCTAATTATGCAGGGTGTCCCTGACTAAAGTGACACTGTAGAAATCATCTCATTGTTCATAGACCTTTGTTAAACGTGCTTGACTACATATATTGTATCACCTTTTTCTGGGACACCGTGTAGTTTTATCGAACAAATTTTAACATGACTTTAAGGACTTACGTAAATAGTTTACGAGAATATGAATGAATAGTTGTATTTACTGACGTGTTATTTCAGCCTGACAGAGGCCCATTCGTTTTGAAGTGTTAATGGTGTTAAATTCCGTCGAAATATTTCATACGAAAGCTGCCAGGAAAGTTAGGGATATTTGAGATTTTGCGGCGCCGTTGTACAAAGCGACGTCACTGTTGTAAATCGGACGATGTCGTGAGCATAAAAAGAACCACCGTAAACTGTTTTATAGAAAGTCTACTGTCATTTTATGAGCTCTGTTCGATAACTTTATAATTTAAATAGCGAAATTTTCGATGAATCGTATCAGTAAACGAAGAATTCAATTCATTAGTACGATTATTCTATAAGTGAAACGACGAACTGATTAAAAAATCAATTTTATTTTTCATTGTACCTTTTAAGGACTCCAATATATTGAGCTTGGGAAATTGTCTTTGTATATGATAAACAATAGCTTGTTAAATTTTTTCTTCTGAAATATGATTAAAAGTTTTGTATATGCTTTCTTTCTGGATCTTATAGCTATTTTATAGGAATGACTATTTTCTAATTAACGTTTCTGAATGCGGAGTTTGTCCAGCGATTAGCTGTTAAATGCTTAATTTTCAGCTTGATCTTTTTTGTATGTGTTGATCCAAGATTTGAGATGTGAACCAGTTGAATAAAGGTAGGATTGATCAGTCCAATCTAGCATTCACATTATTTAATTGAATATTCTTAAGTAACTCTGCAAATTTGTATATTTTTTTCCATCATAAAATTGATGTTCGCCTTAACTTGCTTAAACACTTGTGTTATTTCACATTCTTGATATTTTATTGTTCTTACAGGATATTCAAGTGTCGGATTGCATGGAAAATTATTTTGGTCGTTTACATCTTATTTGCAATCAATCTTTCGATTTGGGCAACAACAAAAAAAAACAAAAGTATCTCAAGCACACATGTTGGAAAGGGAGTGTATAAATGAATAAATAATCTAGAGTATTTACACAAGATGTTTTTTATCGAATTGTGGATGAGGATTGCAATATTGTGGACACGAATTCAACCTGCTTAAAGTAAGGACTGACGATTGAATCTGTTAACAGGTGTTAAATTTATTTAGAATATTTATTCATATATGTAGAGGAGTTGTTTTGTCTTCAATTATAACGAATGTAAACTCGCGTGTCTTTTATCAATAGACATTTTAATCCGCCTTTCTAATGTGTTGAAATTTGACGCGTTGGTGTAATGTGAACCCAGTGTGAACCTCAACTAAGTATCACGTATTTCTTGTTTTATTGCCTAACATTATTTCGTCCTAGTGAACTCCGGTTGTTTTCACTCGCTATTGTTCCCCCTTTCCTTCAACGAAACTACAAGATGTCGGTTGCTGACAAGTTTGATCTGGCCAAACAATCGTTCCTCGGCTCAAGCGTCGCCAAAACAGTTTGCAAAGCGACCAATCGCGAAATTTTGGGACCAAAAAAGAAACACATTGACTGTGAGTATTTAGAAATGATTAGTGTACAATCTTTGTTGCCCAAATTTTACTGTACAAAAACAAAATTTCGGATATCGCGTGTTTTCGGAATTTTGTTTTGCATGGATGAATAGACTATCATATAAATTCGATCCGGTTCAAGGTCTCGGTTCATGTAACTCGTTCAAAGCAAATTTATCACCCACGAGGTATTGCACACTTCAGTTAACTTATTACAGCCTCTCAATATATTTTATCTCAGCCGTTTATTTCTCAGTGTCGTGAGCATTATTATCACATCGTGCAATACTTTATTTAATAAATTAACTATACAATTGAAGAATACAGTTTTAAAATGTCTATGAGTGTTTATATCAGTCACGGTCGACTCGAGCTTAAGTCTTCTCATCAATTTTATTTCATGTTTGTTTGTCAACCGAAATGAAAATATACACAATAGGCGTTTTCCCCTCAAGATTCGCCATTTCCACCAGCTAAGTCATCCATACACGTCTAAGTGTGTACTAGTACTACTACTGCTATGCGCATTTTCGAGAAAATCTATATTTTCGTCTTTGGAAATTGATTTAATTATTTCTTTTCCTAAAACGGCATTTGGCATGTGGTTAGAGGTATTTAGTAGAGCTAGTGACCTTGAAGACTAAAACGTTAGAAACGTAAAATCTATTTTCTATGGGCAGTTGTGAAGCGGTTAGTCGGTTACTGGATAAGGCGCAAGTTTGTATACATTAAGCGGCCATTTTTAATTCAAATTACTATAGAAACAACGTTGGTTGGAAATTTCTAAGGACAGTCGAAACTTTTCCCATATGGGGTGTGCAAGTTCATTCACTTCCTTTTAGTTGAAAGAACAATTAAATTTCTGCCATGTTTGATGGCATTGTAATAGACAACTTGCATTATTACGTCACTTAGTAATCACGCAAATAAAAAATCTGTGCAATTGCATTGAAAGTTTACTTGACTGCTTGGTTTCAAGCGTTTCGTAATTCCAGCAAAAGGCGTCCTAATTCTTGCTTTTTCAGTGGACGAGGTTTAGTTTGAGAAGGTTTTGTGGCTTTCGGAACGATAGTTGGCAATCTATTTAAATATCGAATCGTTTAGCGTAGATTCGCCGCAACTTTCTGAGCTAGAAGTTTTCCGAAGATTCGGGCAAGAGTTCTCAAAAGAACCCATGGCCTTCAGTCGTACTTCTTGACTCAGAAACGTGACTAAGAACAGCAATAAACTCTCTTTCACATGGTGGCCATATTGCAATGCTTTCATGTGCGTGACTACAAAATGACCTAATAATGAAAGTTGTCTATTGCACGTGTTGAAAATCTTTTATCAAAATCACCCCCGCAAGCGTCTTTCCGGAGTGTTTTTTAATTCGACTACTTTATTGTCACGTATACTGACTTTAATCCCAGATCCCTGCTGCTCTTGGGGGAGTGTAGAGAAATAAAGAAAGTTAGAATCTAACTATCAAAACACTCCACGTACTTTAAATGTTTTAAAATACCTTAAAAATGGCTTTTGAAAATTAAAAATGGTTTCTAATTTGAGTGGTATATAAGTGGTATTGTCTTTTCGCATTATGTGGGCATGCAATACAATCAAAAAAGCAATGTAAAAAAACGTTGTAAAACGTCATTTATGGCGTTTTCCCTTTTTACTTAGATTTTTGTTTGGGCCAAAAATACAATATCAATTAGAGAGGGGGTGTGTAAATAATCTGCTCTACCCTGTTATTTTAAAAACAATTGTACTTTCAAATTAGCGTTCAGCCCTGCTTTTAATACATGCACGCTGGTAGCAAACATTACAAGAGAATCTGACCAGCAAAGAATACGATACCGTCTCTGTGATATATGAAAATATAAATGGATTACTAGGTCTACGAAGAGAAATTGCGTAAGGTTCCTGCACGATACTTTAGAAGCCCACTTGGCTGTCATGTATAAATATTACGTTGTATAGTCAAAATAGAACAATGACATACATTCTTTTTCATAGTAATTTTGTTGTTTAATGCAAAGTGAGGTGGAAATGCCCCTCTTTCAAGATAAAATGGGGACCTTGGCTCCCTCTGTCCCTCACTTCCAACGCCCCTGGAATTTAACGAGTACAAATCGTAACGATAACAAGCTTCTTAAATGCAAGAGGCCAAACATTTTTTGTGCTGTAACCATACAATTGCATTATTAAAAAGTGTAGACAGTATTTTAAATGCATATTTTTGTTTTAGATCTAATTTCGTGTACGATGAACGAACGTATGGACTTATCGTACATGTTCGAGAGATTTTTGGAGAGAATTCGACTATCAAGTTGGGTCATTGTCTCAAAAACGTTGATATCGATTCATTCACTCTTATCAAAGGGAGAAGAGGTATATGTATCATTTAGTGCTGTGCATCGAAGTTTTGATTTTAGTAAAAATGTCCAAACGGCAGCGAAAATATACGAAATGACATAAAACTGAAGTTACGCACACGAAAAGCATTATGTTTTTTTGTCGTTTCCTCCGCCGTCGACTTTTTTTCTGCCGGGGAACATCGTTGCTAAAAAATCGAATAAACTTCGTGGATTTTTTGAATATGGATACCTTCCACTGGACCTGACGCCTCTTTTCATCGAATTTGAAGTTTTTTCTGCCGAAGCCGGAATTAAAACTCCTGGAGTTTGCACAGTAATATAGTCTCCTTCTTTTTGTAAGGCGTTGCTATACGTTATAACTTCGGTCAAGAATTTGATGCGACTTATTTTGTTTTCATCTCGTTTTCAGAGATTCATTCGAGTGCTATCCACGCGGAGTTTGCTTTGGGACTTGGACGACTTTTCAGATAAAACAGCGTTTGCAGGTTTGTAGGATATAAACTGCAGATTATTCAACTCGATGCATGCACGTTAACGTAATTATTACTGAGTAAAGTGAGTGGTTTGAATCCGGGAATCGGGAGTATCGCGTACATGTTTGTATACATGTTGAACGTCCGACTATCAATGTGTTAGAGTTGTTTGGACATCCTTACTGGTAGTCATCAGATCAGTCCATCTTAAGACTGCACCAGCGTATAGACGATTGACATTTGCAAACACGTTTAGTATATAATGAATGTTGCTCTGCAGGTTATGACATGAATTTGTTTATCAAACGCTACTCCAACTATTTGATGTACAAGGTGGAATTGTATCGAATGCTTGACTATGATTTCTGTCGCATAAAACGTGGGTAAGTAACGCTTGCCTGACTAATCTGTCGAAATTGCCCCTTGCAATCTTTAGTTAAATAACCACCGTGAGAGATGCCCTACATGCTATTGCCAATATCGTAAATGGTAAATTTTTTCCATGTTTTCTCCAGAGCTGATGGCTTACTGCGCAGATTTGATGAATATACGGTAACCTTTCGATTTCTCTCTTCAATGAGAAATGAAATGAATTTGTGAAAATTTGCCTTTGATCTTTCTGTATTTCAGCTTCTGAAAGCAATGGCGGATGTTCAGACTCTTCTTGACAGCTTGCTGGAAATAGACGTGAGACTATTTTATAGCGATTTTTGTACATGTTATTAATTTTTAACAAATCGAACTCTGAGAACAGTTTCAACCATCGAGTTCTATACCTCTGACCATCATGATAGCGGTCGTTCCCAATAATCATAACTGTGAAAATGTATTTTTTTAATGTAACCAAAACTGTTATCGCGGCGTTCCAACAAATCTTTCAACCATCATCTTTAGCTACAGTCAAGTGATTTCAGTAATGGAGTCATCAGCAGCGCTTTCGTTTTATTATTTAAGGTAATAGATGATTGCTTCATCACGTCGTTGAATTAAACTTTTTTACTCAACGAAGTACTTTATACGAACATTTTTTAATTATAGGATTCAATCAAGCTATTTGCCTGTTACAATGACGGATTGATTAATCTCTTAGGTAAGTTATTTCAATCGGCCGCTGCTCTTACATAATCTCAAGCCGGATAGCTCAATCGTTGCATGCATTCCAAATGAGAAAGTTCATTAGGATATTTACGCGTGTTCGCATGGCGATGAAATTTATCTTCATACAAGCACTTAGGTATGTGTTCACCTTAAGATAACATTCCAGTTGTCATATTCAGGTCAATGGTATTGACGACTCTTATGGTTATGTATGTCCGTCATGAGTTCATCGTTTTCTCGTTTACAGAAAGATATTATGACATGAGAAAAGAAAATTGTAAAGCTACTTTGGATGTTTATAAGAAGTTTTTGAGCCGGACAAATATCGTTAAGAATTTCTTAAAAGTTGCCAAGGTATTTTGTATATTAATTATGGTGTACCATCGAGATGATTTAAGGAGGATTGCGATAGTTGGTAGGAATTTGTTCCACTTCTATTTTAAATCGATTTGATGGCTTTTGCGATAAAATTTGATTAAGTAATATAGTTAGTGAATTTATTGATTGTACATACAAATAGTTTGTTCATACAATATTTTCTCTTAATTTTAATGTTACTTGCCAAATTTATTAATTACTATTTAAATTAATAAATTGATATTTGCAGGATATGGGAATAAACGAGAATGTGATTCCGGATCTTGTTGAGGTATTAAATCATCGTACAGATTGTTACGACTAAACTTTCCAAGACAACACTAAGTACCCGTGCGCTTCTTTGCAATCAATTAAAGTGCCCGTGTTTTCATAGGCACCCAACAGTCTTTTGGATGAATTACAGAATCATTACAAATCTTTGGAGAAAGGAGAAGCTACTAACATCAAACAAATTAAGTACGTTTTACAATGTTCCAAAATGGCGCAAAGAGAGCATGACCACAAAAACAGGTTGTTATTTTGACGATGTCTTCTCCCTTTTAAGCCATGTGAACTTAGCGCCCATCACTATTTCCGAATGGAGCGAGCAGTTCGATTTTAAAGAAGACGATGCTACGAGTCCAGTAAGTCCTGATGATTTTCCTGCTGACCAAATCAAGAGTGAGACCATCCTGCTTGACCATGCTCCAGAATATGCTTCAAAAGGTAATCCGAATTGGGAAACGCTCTTCGAGTCAGACAAACCAAGTGAACTTTCCAAGGCATCGAAGAATAATGAAGACGACCTGCTGCAGTTGCAGCAAGTATTTCAAAGTCAAGTAAGTTTGCCAAAGGAAAGCAGGATCCTTATTGTTTGCTTATTTGATGATGAAAAACTGATTTATGACTAATATTCTAACTATAGAAGTTGCTCGGAGATTAACTATTGAAATTTTACTAGATACCTTTGCCAACTGCTGGTGCTTTCAGTGTTAACTCTCATTTTGGAACTACACCATATAACCACGTAAAACCAAACCAATCCATCGTGTCGCTAAATCCGAGCACCAATCCTTTCGATTGTGTCCCAGGTCCTCTCAACTCTGCCAACATTCAACAGCCATTAAACTTAAACCAGAATTCACCATACACAACCGTCCACCAACCATACACAGCCGTCCACCAACCTTACCAAAACTCCACAGGAGACTTGCATTCATCGTTAGCGAATGTTGTGAAGTCCTTAGGTAAAACAGAATTTTTCATTTACATCCCGCCAGTCGACATTCTTTAAACCTCTTCTGGCAAACTATTCTACTCGGCTCGGTGTTTCAATCTTCACATTGCGCATGTTCATGTAATTCTCATCAATTATATGACTGTTTTCTTGTGCAACAGATAACTTTGATGTTAGTGGATCATCCTCGGGGCAAACTGCACACCAGTGGTCCGTGCCTCGAGCAAAAGTCAAAACGGGTGGTGACAACTTTCAAATGAAAGCAGTGGCGAATACCACCTTACCCCTGGGGAACTCTGTTCGTCCTAATTTACCCTATTCTCAATCTGAAGTAGCCCGTTCTTGCGTAAGTCAAACTACGTTGTTATACAATCGGCCATTGTATACTTCAGGATTTTCACCTATGCCATATGGTCCTACATCTACAATCGTGAAACCACCGAATACATTTACGGCGCAGCGAAGGAGTTTGAACCCTTTTGATGCGCCGCCAACCCATAACCAGGCGTTGTTTTAACAATTGAATAGTTAATTATTAATGCCGAATAGTTGTCATGATAAATTATTAAATGAAAAAGTGTACATAAATTATGCAATTCGCTTGTAATTTCAGTTGCTAGAAATACAATTGCTTAAATTGATTTAGTTATCTTTCGTTTTTCGGTATGATTTTGAAATTCAAATTTCAAATACCAACAATTAGTGGTGACATTGTGTGGTGTCGTGGTGATCAGGAGGAGGGTCTGGGGAGACTGCTCACACAATCGCCCTGCCCCCCTGTTCATTTCCTTCTCCAACACCTCCGATGTCTTCGCGATAAAGAGTTTTGTTGTATTGATAGATTTTATCGCTTCAGACCGTCTAGAAACATGGCTGAATATGTTGCCGATAAACTTGACGCTGCAAGACATTCAATAACAGGCTCAAATGTTTCAAAAATCGTTTGCAAGGCTTCGAGTCGTGAAACGTTTGGACCGAAGAAAAAGCACTTGGATTGTATGTTTATGATAATTTAATATAATAAAGTATAGTCAATTAGCAACTCTTCATCCTTGGTTCTTGAATTTAGTACTATCTATACGAATCGTGTTGTTGATTTTACGATGTTTTGCATCCTTCGGATTGACTAAGTTTCTCGTAAAAAGATACATCGGTTTGTTTTCCTAGATCTTATAACTTGCACTCAATCCGACTACGTATCAGTGCCTAGTTTAGCCGAATTGCTTTTCGAAAGAAGCCGAATGTCGAGCTGGGTTATCGTTTCAAAATCTCTTGTCACTTTTCATACCTTGATGTCATCAGGAAATGAGGTATACTTGCTATGCTACAGCAACAAAAAATGCGCTTTCTTTTTAAAGTAAATTAGTGGGAACGTTGAACCTGTGACATACGGATTAATACGACGGTGCACGGCTTTTATGTGTATGTACGTGTGCTAAGTTACTCTTATTGTATATCAATCAAATTTTTTGTCAACTGATTTCTTGATTGACATCGATATTTTCCCCTTATCATGCGCTTTGTAATCGTGGGTATTTGTGCTGGTAACTGACGTATCTATTAAACATGGTATTCGCGTTTGTGTTTTCGTCGAGAAGGTGTCATGTGCCAAGTTCAAAAGTTGTTTTAATAAAAAGTTGTTGTCAACCATCAATAATTGAAAGTTGTATTATGTAAATATTCTATGGTTCGTAATGTAACAAGATGTATCAATTTTTATTATGTCATTGTAAAAAGTCTACTTTACCCATCCATCGTTATGATATTTTCTCATTGCATCTTATGATGTTTAGAGATTTCTCCAATATCTTGCATCACGAACTGTTCTATGGAATCTTGAAAACTTCCTGGACAAATCTGGAGTTAGAGGTACAGCTTTTTGATTTGTTGTAGCTTGATTACTATGCTAATTAACAAGTACAATCACCTTCAAAATTATCATGTAGAAGAAGATAGTGCAGAAAGCGCTTTAATCATTATGTGGAAAATGCTTTGACCATTTTTGCAAAACCTTTTCATATGGTGCCCATAGTGGAATAAAGATGTTTGGATTCATTTTTGATATAATTCTTAGGATATGATATGTCCACATTTATACGTCGTTATTCCATGTACCTCACCAAGAAAGCTCACGTATATGCTGATGCTGGTTATGATTTTTGTCGAATCCCTCGAGGGTATGTAATATATATTTATTTTACTATAGTATTTTCATGTTGTAGGAGCTTTTTGCTTGAACCATTTAGCACAATATATGACAGAACGAGATATATTTCAATAAACTATGTCACACTTGCAACCATATGTTTTATTTGTACTTTCCACCATAAGTCAGGGAAAGCAGATCATTGTATTAACTCTAAGCATTTTAATGAGAAAAGCTAAACGTAAATTTCTAAATTGGCCCATCTTTTTAACTCTTCATTAACATTCTGCGAGAGATAGAGCTTATTCTGTTAGACTCATACAATAATATAAAAGTATGGTTTCTTTTACATATATTTACCCAGCGAATCATTCTGTGAGGATGTTAGATAATTTTAAGAAATATTTTGCTTTGTAGTAAAAATGGGACAATTAGAAAAATGGACTCTCCCAAGGTATATGCTACGATTCGTGTATCTTAGTACTGGTCAAATCTTCATTGCGCATTTGTTTGATTTTTTCATAGCTTTTGAAAGCGTTACCACAGATTCAGCAACAAATTGATTCGTTATTGGAGGTTGATGTTAAGTCAGTAGAGTTAGCAAATGGCATCATCAATAGTGCTTTTGTAGTACTTTTCAAGGTACTTATTTAAGTGAGCATTGTTTTCATTCACATGAAAATTTTATCTTTTTATTATCGTAAAACTTTTTCTTGACACGGCGCATTTATTTAACTTGTCATGATAGGATTTGGTGAAGCTATTTGCTTGCTACAATGATGGAATGATAAATTTATTGGGTATGTGTGTTTCTCCTAATAAGCAGTTGAAGTTTGCTGGAAAGTGTGTATCGAGAAGTATCCATAGATTGTTTTGCTTCAAAGTAATGATACATTGTTTTGAACGTTGTTTCATATTTCAGAAAAATATTTTGAAATGAACAAGAAGAATTGCAAGGAGGCTCTCGAAATCTACAGGAAATTTCTTTCTCGTATGGACAGCGTGAATGATTTTATGAAAATTGCTGAGGTTTGGAATGGCCTATATGGGTATACTGTCAATTATGATGTTGACAATTATGGTGTTTTCTATAGAGATGATGTCTATAGAGATATTATCTATAGAGATGTTGTCAATAGAGATTTTGTCAATAAAGATGTTATCTATAGAGATGTTGTCAATAGAGATTTTGTCAATAGAGATGTTATCTATAGAGATGTTGTCAATAGAGATGATGTCTATAGAGATGTTGTCAATAGAGATGTTGTCAATAGAGTTGTTGTCTATAGAGATGTTGTCAATAGAGTTGTTATCTATAGAGATGTTGTCTGTAGAGATGTTGTCTATAGAGATGTTGTCAATAGAGATGATGTCTATAGAGATGTTGTCAATAGAGATGTTGTCAATAGAGATGTTGTCAATAGAGTTGTTATCTATAGAGATGTTGTCTGTAGAGATGTTGTCTATAGAGATGATGTCTATAGAGATGTTGTCTATAGAGATGTTGTCAATAGAGATGTTATCTATAGAGATGATGTCTATAGAGATGTTGTCTATAGAGATGTTGTCAATAGAGATGTTGTCTATAGAGATGTTGTCAATAGAGATGTTGTCTATAGAGATGTTGTCTACAGTGATGTTGTCTACAGAGATGATGTCTATAGAGATGTTATCTATAGAGATGTTGTCTATAGAGATGATGTCTATAGAGATGTTGTCTATAGAGATGTTGTCTATAAAGATGCTATCACGTATCAGTAGAGATGAACATGTTTAGTGAAATTTCATCGAATACTTTGAGAACATATTTTGTTTTTAGGAAGTTGGAATTAGTCCGTCAGATGTTCCCGACCTTAATAAGGTACTATGTTCTTGAAAAAATCGCAGAGAAATATTTCCATCAATTAAAATATCATGAAAATTTATTAAAGGCACCTGCTAGTCTTTTGGAAGCATTGGAAAGTCATTATCACAGTCTGGAGAAAGGAAAAGCTCCTGTCACATCTTCAAAGTAGGGACATGTTGATTCAGAATAAAATACGCCTCGTAGAAATGATTATTTTTTGTGTGTGCAGTACATACTTGAATTACTATTGAAGTATCTAAATTTATATTGTACTTGGGAGATATTTTTCTGGCTAAATGACTGTTACGGCCTTGACGATCGTATAGTGGATCGCTTTGTCATTAGTGCCTATAATTCGTCCGCATAAATATTTTAGACGTCAAACACTTCAGCCAATCACAGTACCGCAAATAACAACAGAAAGCTTGAATAATCCAATCAAATTTGAGGAGTACGGAAAGGAAGATTTAATAAAGGAAGAGGAAGAAAGGTTGAAATCATTTAAGGTAAAGTTGAAAGTTAACCATTCTACTAAACGTTTTCCAATGAAATACATAGATTGTCTACGCAAATAATGATATGCGTTAGATTGTCTTCTCAACCAATTATAACGTAACGTAGATTGTCTACCCAAATGATGGTGTGCGTGAGATTGTCTACTCAACCAATCATAACGTTAGAATGTCTACCAACCAGTTATAACGTAACGTAGATTGTTTACCCAAATGATGGTGTGCGTGAGATTGTCTATTCAACCAATCATAACGTTAGATTTTCTACCAAACCAATCATCACGTTATATCCAATCACTGAAATCAGTGATGTACGTTAGAATGTCTACAGTCTACCCAAGAAATATTGTGCGTTATTCATGTCAACCACTTAACTACGAATTTGGCTACGGCTGAGAATGTGGAAATGTCAGTCAAGTGTAACACTAACAGTCCTTAGGACTGCACTCAATTGGACGATCTACATAATGGATATCTACATATATACGTGGATGGATATCTACATATATGGATGTCTACATACATGGATATCTGCATACACGAATATCTACATACAAACATGGATATCTACATACAAACATGGATATCTACATACATCGATATCTGCATGCATGAATACATGTTACCGCACTCCCTAATTTAAACAGTTCACTGATGTATGTCACTGATTTTCTGCCCAAAAAATCATACATGTAGGTCAGATTGTCAACTTAATTTTTTTACCCAACCAATCTGTATGCGTTAGTTAGTCCAAGTAATCTACGCGTAAGTTTTGTCGCCCATCCAGTAATATAAGTGTGTGCCTCACTTCGATGAGAAAGATATTTTGTAAAAGCACATGACCTTCTCCTTCTATATTTAAACTTCATTTAACAGGAGACTAGAGTGACCGAGCAGATGCTCCAGGCAGCACCAACACGACAACCTCCATCCAGTAGGCAAGACGCATGGAGCTCAGCATTCGACGGAAACTTAAGTTCCAATCAAGTTAATAATCAAAACATCACTAACAATAATAATGATTTGCTTGAGTTGCACCAAGTCTTCGCCCCAAAGGTAAAAAATGTGTGATTGAGACAACCCCTGCTGTTACCATTGTATCAAGGCTGTTTTTATTATGTTCACAACCCTGACTTCTTATGATACATTGTATGTTGTGCAACACTTTTATTAGTTCATCACTACCTACACCGACGCGCGTTATCTTAGTTTATAGTTTAGGTAGTGTAAAGACTGTTTTCGTTCTCTGTTGTTCATTCATCCCTACCTACACTGACACGCGTTATCTTAGTTTATATTATAGGTAGTGTAAAGACTGTTCTTGTTCACTCTTGTTCATTCATCACTACCTACACTGACACACGTTATCTTAGTTTTTTATTTTAGTTAGTGTAAAGATTGTTCTCATTCTCTGTTATTCCGTAGCTACACTGCTTCTGCATTTTTATTCTGTATTTAGCCTGCCGATCCATTTACTGCAAACTTCGATCAGAGTTCAGCTTTTCCAACATCTTCTGGACAAACTGCAGGATTTGGAAGCACTCAACCAAGCCCCTGGAGTCCTGGGCCTGCCCAGACAAGTAAATAATACAACTTTGTTATGATCAGTTTGCATATCTACTCGTATCTACACCAAACATCTTTGCTTTTTACAGCACAGCCTGGAGGAGACTTCTTTGCTGGTAACTTAGCAACAGGTAACCAAAGTGAGGTGCTTCAACCAATGAACAAACAACCAGTAAATACTGTTCATGCACCAATCCAACCAAGTAAAGGAGATCTAGATACAAGTCTTGGCAAGGTGGCAATGTCGATTGGTGAGTGGATACGCTATTTTCTCTTTGAATATAGTGTTTTATGATTGACTAAGTGCACATCCACTCACTTGGTAGTACCTTTTCTTGGGTCCAGCTCCTGAAATTTTACAGCACTTTTGACTGGTTACAATTACACAAAGTGTATGTTTCATTAGGCGGGCTAGAGCTCCGCAAATGTGTTAGTATATTTGCTTCAGTTTATTTCGACATACCTCTATCATAGAAGGTTGTCATTGCACTAATACTTTTATTGAGGTAAAATTTCATTTACAGCCGTTCTGTATCTTTGATATCTAGATAATCTGAATGTCTCTGGAATTAGACCCGCACCAGGAATGTCTGGTAGGGTCCATCAGTGGACCGCACCTAGGCCTACAGTTAAGACGGGGGGTGCCAACTTTCAAATGAGCTCGACTTTAGGCCCCACCTTGCCACCGACTGGAGTACCAACGCAATCTGCAGTCCGTCCACCTTACGGTCAGCAAGGAATGTATGCCCCTCAACCACTGATGTACGGCCAGCCGCCCATGATGCAACAGCCTGTCATGCAGGCGAATCTATTCCCTCAACAACAATCAAACTCTTTTGTTAATGATCCTTTTGGAGCACCTGTGCCCAATAATCAACCGTTGTTCTGAAAAGTGTGAACTATACTTTTACGTAGATTAATTTAGTAGTCTTAGCAATCATTCCAATGTCATTTCCAACACGCACGATTTTCAATATGGCCTTTTCTAGGCTTATGCACTATTGTCCAGGCTTCCTGTTTACTCGCTCGCATGTATGCCGAGTGAGATCTTTTCGGATTGTTGAAAGGTTTGAAACAGCGGGGGAATTCGTGTCAAATGAAAACACTGTCTGCAATGTTGGACTACATTGTTGTGTTATGTTGTTCATTGCACTTTAAATTGTCACTGTATAATTGTGCGTGGGATGTAATCTCTGAAATTATCGTAGTGAAGTGGACTAGTCCCCACTTGTCCGTTAAAATGTAATTAACGTGCGTAATTTTCTGTCTATGGACAGCTTTGGACTTTACTCTGCAGGTTTCAGAATTGGTTGTTTACTGACAGAAGCTTGTTGTTCATATTGACAATTTTAGCGCGGCATACCTGCGCGTGGTGTCTCACTATTCTTTTCAGAATTATATTTGCATTTCGTGCGCAAAATCTTTGCTTGTCTGATTGCTGTAATGTTTGTCTTGCAACTGTTATATTTGTCATTTCCTGCAACATCAAGCAATAACACGCACAGAACGCTAACTGTAGTTGAAAATTGTAGAACGTGCAATCGTACTGTCGGGTAATCTTTTGAATAAATTGAATTATTTGCACTTAATTTCGAAAATTGAATGAACTGCTTTCCATTCAAAAATTGTGAATTGTAGACTACACCTCGATGGTTCGATGTCAAAGAATTAAAGCTTTGTTTATATGACCGAAGCCTAAGCTATTGTTGAAAAGGGCTTTTAAGACAGAGTGGGAACGTCATTAGAAAAAATGACCTTATTTTTCCCCTATTACACGATGCAATAAACGACAACGTCTGTTATCAATGCTTAAAAGAAATCACGGAGAATAACTCATTTATTGTAGATAAATAACTAAAGATGATGAAAGACCTTCGACTTCAAATGCGAACCGAAGCACCGATTTGATAAAAAAAATTGATTTTGATTCCATGAAATGGATGTTCGGTAAACAGGATTGCTTAATGCTTTTCATTTTCATGTTTCCCTGCCATTTTCCTTAAAGAAAAGACCGTTTTATAAGGAGAGGGCGTTTACCTTAGTCATTTCTTTAAAATTTGATGCAACATGTATTAGAATAGAAAAAATGCAGGATCTAATGCTAAAGTTTTCAGACTATTTTTAGAGAGATATGTGGTCTTATGAGAGAGAACAACTTGTGCCGTGAATGTGTGAGTTCCAAACGAAACAAAATAATTGAAGACGAGAGGACAGTCATGTTTACCGTTTCGGGAACAGCCACATGAAGTATGCGCGAACCGCTGACAACACGTATTTTATTTTTTAATGGCGGATATATTTGAATAAAAAATATTTTATCAATTGGTGCACTATTAATGACCTTGAAATCCTTAGAAATGCGTTGAAGTTATAAAAATGTACAGGTGGGCCCTTACGATGGATAAACAGCTTCAAGAGCTAGAATATGCTGCTCAAATTTTATTTGTAAGCATTTATTTTTACTTGTAGGCTTGTCAGTTTAAGCTTATAGTATGTTATACTAAAAGTAATGTTGTATTAAAAGTCAAACGTTCTTCCCTTAGGCATCTCATCCAGTATCTGTTGAACAAAGAAAAGCAGCTGAGCAGGTGTTCTTGAACTTCAAGCTGCTAAATTTTAAATCTGCGTACAAGTTTTATCAAAAGATATTCAGTAAGTGTTTCATACATATGTTTGAGACTTATGCCCAAACGTTGAATATCTCTATGTTATGTAGCCGGACTGAGGACTGAGAGAAACTCGCTGATTTTACGAGCATTTTTACGGCTATTTTACATGTTCATATTGGTTTCAGTGTTGCTTTGACAAAAATATGTAGAAATAAACGTTTTGTACTGGATTTTCTTAAAAATCAATTGCTTCACATTTAGTATTTTGGCTGCCTGTAATTTAGATACTTTGTTAATTAAACCTTTTGAAAATGCAGTATTAACAGTTTTTTGTGTCAGCCATGTTGGAGTTCTGGGGCCAGTTGCATGAATACCGAATAACACTATACACTGGATCGGAACTTTTTTTTAAACGTTTGGAAAAACGTCTTAAAAGAGAAAAATATAAGATTTGAAATAAGCATTCACTAAAAGTAAACATTTCTTCCGAGATTACAAAAATTTCTATGTATTGAAAATATAAACAACTTTTTTACAAGTTAGAAAATTTTATTATCCAATGGATAACGCCATCCACCCGGCCTCTGAAAAAGAATATTATATCATTGCTATTATAGAGTTCAGCAGGAGTGGGCAATTGCTTCATAGCTTGTTAAATCCCAAAAGATTGGTTGCAAACGATTAATTGTTTTCATTTACTTTTCAGACGAAAGCAGCAATGATTATATCTTGCATCAAACTATAACCACATTAAAAGAAGCACTTTTAATGGAATGGCTGTTGATGGACAAAAAAGATATTGAATTTTGGCGGAATTTTTTATTCTCATTTGTTGTTGAACGAAAAAGGTTTGAATTCCTTTCGTCCAGTCAGAGATGTACTTGCAATATTTCAACTAGAAAACTTTGAAATGTGTTATCGCTTTTGAGCAGCCAAACTTGACATGGGATTATAAAAAAGGTCCCACTTTCCTCCCTTGCAATGCATCCATGCTTCCAATCAGCCTCTTGAGCTGTAAATTAGCACAATGTCATTGGTCCAGATGAAAGCGATAGCATTGATGAAATTTTAATCTCGCACATCTCTGGAAGCTACTGCTGTCATCTTGACTTTGATGTAAAAAATCATATATAGCTAGTTGAAACCATCTTCGAATATGTTTACTTGACATAGGACAAAGCAAGAGTGTTTTTCCACTATATAAATTACATACAGATGAAAGGTGTGAAATATACTATCAAGCATGGCAAAGCTACAGCAAAATATGCATGCCACTCAAACATGAACGGGTGTCAGTGCATGTGAGGAAATGTTTCACGTATTGTTCCTTAGCCTGATGAAAATAGCGTTTTTTATTAAGACCTAGTGCGATGCACCGGAGCTGAAGTTTTGATGTATTTTTCCAGAGCTGAATTTGAGGTCAAAACAAAAACCCCAGCATTGAGATTTTGGTAAATGTCTAGCTCATTTAATTATCCAAACTCCGACAAAAAATACAGCAAACACGAGAAGCTATTGTTGATGAAAATTAAAACTATCGTATTTTATTAATGATTCATAACATGACGCTTTATTGTGTTGAAACTAGCTAGTCCAAGAGTAACCTTCACGATAGAGCTATTCTGATACAAACCGCTATATCTCATAGAGTCATAGAGGTGTTTTACAAACCTTTTTTTCAGTCGAAGCAAAAGTTGCAAATTTGGTTGTTTACAATGTTGAGAAAACACGTGAACGGTAGTACCGCCGCAAGAACAAATGTCATACACTTACACCTCATGTACCCCATTAACAACGACTTGCAAACGAGTTGCCAGTTTCTGGGGACTATGGACTATAGTTTCGTACAAATGATACCGGGAACATTGTCAAGGTGGCCTTTAAGTTTAATGAGAGATTTCAACACCTGTAATATAGCATATCTGTTTCGTCTTTAAACTAAGACTGCGTTCTGTTTTCGTTCGATCAGGTTTGGAAAGTTTGATCATGTCTCTGTTAACAAAAGTGACGTTCTCAACGTTGACAAAAAGAATTATTTTATATTTTGAAATTTTATGAATTTTCGGATATTCGAACTTTCTATGGAGCTTTTTTTAGCAGAGTCAGGAGCCCTTTTAGCAGAAGTTGGAGTTTATTCTTTCAACCGGAGCGTGGATCTGAGGTGAAACCCCGCGGTTTTCACAGCACTATTTAGACCACTAACATGGCTAAATTGCAAGCGAAGAATCTTTTCTGAAATAGGATGTGAAAAATAATGATAATTTATAACACTCCATGTGCGAAATAAATCCTCCATTGAGTTATGCAAAACTAGTAGCCAAGGGCAGCAACATACGTATTATTCAGAGTGTATGGAAATTCTTTGCCCGCGCGCTTTAGGGGCTGATTACATGGAGCAATTATAGCGCGGACTGAGTTTCAGCCCGGGCCTGTTACAATATACTATCAAAATAGCGTACGCGATTTCATGAGAACAATTCTAACCCTGGCTGAAAAAACTGTCATGTAATCGTTTCAGCCCGGGCTGAAATCACAGCTGAAAATATTGACGCATGCGCGATTGCGTACCTATTGCTTTTAATGACGACAACAAAATGACAACAAATTAACGACAACTGGTGATCATCCCTCGGACGAGCTTCGTAAATTACAGCCCAGTCTAAACACCGGGCTGAAATTACTCCATGTAATCGGCCCCTTAATGTGTTCAATAAGGGTTTAATTGGAGCGCACTTTCACGGATATCCCTGTCATATCTTCCTGAAATTACTTAACATAAAACTTTTAACAAAGCTGTGAATTGCTTGATGCTCACGTGAGATTTTATTGTATGGCGTTTCGTCTCCAGCTGAATATCATGAGACGCAAGACGAAGTCTTTAAAGTAAACACGAAACGTTAATTAATCCAACTAATTCATGGCTTTGCTAAACGTTATAAGTTGCAAATGTATTTATTTCAAGACTTATTTTCCTCTTGGCAAAGTTATATGTGCAATATAATGGAAAATTTGTCTCCACTGTCATAAACGTCCATATTATGTTGTGTTTTTAGTTCTCAGAAGTATGTCATTGAGAAGGCGATACAATGTATTTGTATTTTAATCAAGCGGGGAACATTTGATTATGACGAACGCAATTGTCCTTTGGAGCTCATGGTCACAAAAATCCGACAACTGTCCACCAGCAATGACACTAACTTGGTATGATTTAGAAAATTCTTAAGAAGTATGTCATTGAGAAAGCGATACAATGTATTTGTATTTTAATCAAGCGGGGAACATTTGATTATGACGAACGCAATTGTCCTTTGGAGCTCATGGTCACAAGAATCCGACAACTGTTCACCAGCAATGACACTAACTTGGTATGACTTAAAAAATTCTTAAGTGTGGATTCACTCAAAGATCGCTTGTGCATCACATTTTTATTCAGATATTGATTGGATGCTCTATGATGCAAGCCTTGCTGTACGAGTACTCGTGTATTCATCGTTCCAATGATATCAAAATGCCTTTTCACTTTCATTTAAATTGCAAGACTCGTTTTGAGGTTGGTGACTTTTCAGTGTTTCGGCTAAACAAATGGTATTTTTTTACATGCTAAGTTCATATTCCATGTTATTGCATGAAAGGCCGATTGCCTCTCCTAAAATAGTATTTCTTATCCTCTTATTATCCAAACGTTATGTCTTTATCGAGAAAATAGAGGCCGAGGTATTTATGTACAGATGCAGTCTGTATAGGGCGAGGTTCGATATTTTTCGGTAAAGTGGTCTCACATCTTGTTGATAAAAAAATTATTTTATTGCACTAGACATCAGTATCTTTGCTGTCAGCTTTGGAAAATGTGTTTATTTAATTTTTTAGTATAAAAATGCTTGCGATTTACATGCGAAGTGTCTATTTGATACCGTAATACAAGTAAATGAATATATATTTTTCTCGTACAGATTAATGCCTTGCAAAACCTGTTCATGATGGCATTTCAAGTGTTGGATCGGATGAGGTATGAATTCAATGAAAACAATGTGGCTGTATTGTCTAGTCTCTTGTCTATCATGGAGACGATTACAACATGGAATTTCGAAAATAAAGACAATATCCTTTTAACAAGAAATATTTCAAGCTTTATCGTTTCAACCTTCATTCATTTCACGTTTGGAGTAAATTTTACTTAACATTTTTTTCAATTTTTGACTCGTGTCCGAAGAAAAAGATTGAAGTGGGGAAAGTACTTCTCTTTCAACCTGGCCGTCACTGGGCCAATTGTTTTTTAGATGGAAATCTACTTGATATTTTTTTCAAGGTAAGGAGTTATTTCATATTAATTAACCTGTGTCTGTTTATAAAAGCCGAACATGAGAGATCCTTCGTGGTATTGTCAAATGATAACTGAAAAACCTGTGTTTAACGAAAATATTTCATGTTATTTATAGACATAATGTTATTCACAAACATATTGTCACATCAATTATGAAGATATTTGTCATAATGCAAGTACGATGAAGATAAAATGCGTACATCAAAAGATGAAATTGTTCACAAATTATTAATAAACAGAACTTGTCAATGTCAAATGTATCTTGTCGATCAAATTGCAACAGCAGCTTGTTGTCAGCCATTTATTGCTTACTACATATTACTAAATATTACTAAAGATATTTCTCAGTTTTGTCATTATTAACTGAAGTCATTTCTAAATATATGTGCGCCGTTTAGTTGTTGATTTTACCATTTATGTTATTTTTAACCGGGGGAGACCTGGTGACGAGAACCTATGTTAAACCCACACCCCCATTAAGCGGAAACGAGTCCATTCCCCGAGGGTGTCCGCCTAATACAGGTTTGACTGTATCTCTGTTTTCTCTAGAACCACTATTCTTTTGAATTTTCAGCTTCCGGAGTGTTTCAGAGACAACGAACAACTAATACATCGTTATTTCATATGTCTCACACAATTGGCTTCGTTGTCCGGCAGCGTTTTTTCCATGGACATGGAACTTCAGCGTTACTTTGGTTCCTTCATCGAAGGATTGTTGCAACTGGTTAAACATTACAGGTTATTGCTGCACAATGATAAACAGTTAATAGTATGAAGATACCTCCTTAAATAATCGATTGAACGCTCTCGTGCTTTTAGTTGAATACTGGAGAAAAGTTGAGTGGCAGGGTTGGATTTGGGATATCACCGGGGTAGGGGAGGGCTCGTCATTTTGAAATGTCACAATACAATAACGTTTTGATCAACAATTTTTCATTATCAACAAATTATCGGACTCGCGAGAGGGTGCCCACTCCCTGCATCCCCTCCGTGCATCCGCGCCTAAGTGGTTAAGTGAAAACTTGGTATGGTGGTAAGGAGTATGGTGGTAATTGATATAGTGGTAACGGGTATGGTGGTAAGGAGTATGGTGGTAATGGATATAGTGGTAACGGGTATGGTTGTAAGGAGTATGGTGGTAATGGATATAGTGGTAACGGATATAGTGGTAACGGGTATGGGGGTAAGGAATATGGTGGTAATGGATATAGTGGTAACGGATATAGTGGTAGGGTATGGGGTAAGGAATATGGTGGTAATGGATATAGTGGTGGATATAGTAGTGGTATGGGGGTAGGAATATGGTGGTAATGGATATAGTAGTATGGATATAGTAGTAGGTATGGGGGTAGGAATATGGTGGTAATAGATATAGTGGTAGGTATGGTGATAAGGAGTATGGTGGTAATAAATGGTAGGGTATGGTGGTAAGGAGTAGGGTGGTAATGGATGTAGTGGTAACGGGTATGGTGGTAATAAATGTAGTGGTAGGTATGGTGGTAGGAGTATGGTGGTAATGGATATAGTGGTAGGTATGGTGGTAAGGAGTATGGTGGTAATGGATATAGTGGTAGCGGATATAGTAGTAGGATATAGTGGTAGGTATGGGGGTAGGAATATGGTGGTAATGGATATAGTGGTACGGATATAGTGAGTAACAGGTATGGGGTAGGAATATGGTGGTAATGGATATAGTGGTAGGATATAGTGGTGGTATGGGAGTAGGAATATGGTGGTAATAGATATAGTGGTAACGGGTATGGTGATAAGGAGTATGGTGGTAATAAATGTAGTGGTAACGGGTATGGTGGTAAGGAGTAGGGTGGTAATGGATGTAGTGGTGGTATGGTGGTAATAAATGTAGTGGTAGGTATGGTGGTAGGAGTATGGTGGTAATGGATATAGTGGTAGGGTATGGTGGTAGGAGTATGGTGGTAATGGATATAGTGGTACGGATATAGTAGTAACGGATATAGTGGTATGGGGGTAAGGAATATGGTGGTAATGGATATGGTGGTAACGGATATAGTGGTAACGGGTATGGGGGTAAGGAATATGGTGGTAATAGATATAGTGGTAACGGGTATGGTGATAAGGAGTATGGTGGTAATAAATGTAGTGGTAACGGGTATGGTGGTAAGGAGTAGGGTGGTAATGGATGTAGTGATAACGGGTATGGTGGTAATAAATGTAGTGGTAACGGGTATGGTGGTAAGGAGTATGGTGGTAATGGATATAGTGGTAACGGGTATGGTGGTAAGGAGTATGGTGGTAATGGATATAGTGGTAACGGATATAGTGGTAACGGATATAGTGGTAACGGGTATGGGGGTAAAGGGTACGAGAAAGAGTATATTTATCTAGTGCTTTGGGCCAATTTTGTGTATTCACATTTGAAGTATTCATAATCACAGATCACTTTCTTTTTATAGCGATAAACTAACTGGTGTCATTGCCTGTGGATTTTCCTCGATCATTGAGCGCATAACTTTCGTATTACCAGCGTCACACTATGGTTTGCTTCCCACGAATCTCGTTAAAGAGTACTTTGATACCATTTCTCAGCTGACATTCACATTCTTGGAGAGGGCAACGAAAAACGACAATGTGAGTGTACAACACTTTCTTATTCTAAGCGCTTAATTGTGCTTTATGAAATAAAACGAAATGTGTACGCTGATTGGTCTTTAGCTGTGTTTGTATTAGCCCGTGCGAACCGATGTGTGCTCAATCTCGTGAAAACAAACATTCTCAAGCAAGTGCACCCACCGACCTTCGCTCTCGGGTTTGCACTGATCTGCTCTGAAGTTCTCCCAGAGGTCTACTCGACAGTAGACATCCTTTATTTCCTCAATCAAACTGCATGTGACATTTTGTGGGAGTTACTGGGATTGCTTTGGATAATGTTGGTACGTACTAATTCTAATCATTCTATAGCTGCAAAACGAAGACACAACCTACTCGGAAGCGTTCGATCAAATGTTGGTGGCTTGGCTGGAATTAGTCTCCAACTCTCGTTGCTTTCCCGAAGGGTTTTTTTCGGTACCTCTCAAACAGATATTCCTTTTTTACGTCAAGAGTCATATATCGGCACCTGAGGGCTTGCGCAATACGCCACAAACAGAAAATCGTGAGGAAATTGTCGAATTGCGTGACAGTGACTTAGAAGAATATTCGGAGCAACTTACTTCGGTAACTCAACTTGGTCGTCATGTTCTTAAAGATGTTCTACCGTTTCTCAACGGATTACTGCAACAGAAGATGCATACTTTCGCGAATTATTTGCGTGCTGTGAACGAAAAAGGTATCAGGATTGATCTGATTTTAGAAGATGTGTTCTTAATCTGAGTGCGTTTATCAGGAGTGATCGGTGATTGAAACTCGAATTCTTATTTACACTCCAGCCTGGTGTCTTTATCTGGAGTGATCTGATGTTGAAGCCTGATTTCTTATGTTTCTTATGTTTATAGTGTCTTCATCAGTAGTGATTTGATGTTGAAACTTCAGTCATTATGTGCTCTATTCTTATGTTTTTCTAGTTTCTTCGTCAGGAGTTACCTGATGTTTTAATTTTTTATTAAGGTTTTTTAGCGATTGATTCCGTCACAACTGAAAATCTTTTCGAAGATTTGCATTGGCTCATTCTTATTGCTGGCTGTATGTTGGTTGATAAAATTAAAGGAGAAACACCATTGATTCCCGAAGCAATTATGAAGTTTTCCATTGCAAAGTCTTCTGATGTTAATTTGGAAGCCACTATGAAGCATCTCACGTCCTTGGCTAGTAATGATAGTGGTAGGTTTTGCAAAGTTATGAAACATTAATTATCGCATTTGCTATGGGAACGAGTTAACGGAAATGTGTTTTCCTGCGCATGTGCAAACACTGGGAAGCATCAAGAGAAGCGTTATTGATTTGTGGGAAAATTCGATGCAGAGCATTACTTTTACAGATAATTGTTTGCGACGACGGTGTTTCCACATTTTTGGAAAATAAGTTTCCGCTTCTTCCACTTGGAAAACAATGCATATGTCTGTTCGTTTACGTATTTTTTCATTAAACATAGAACGAAAATTTCGAATATTGAAATTATATTTATCACTATAGTCCCAGAATGATAAACCAAGAAAATAAATGCTATTTGGAGTCATCATCGTCGTAAATTTTGTTTGTTTGTTTTAAAGCTTTTTTACCCAAGTCTGGAAGATTTGGTCATTTTTGTCTTGATAAAGAAGTAATGCGCAGGTGCAAACAAGTGTTTCCGGTTTTGCACAAATGTGTTATCTATAGATGAAGTGGTGAAGCTCTACTGCAATCAAATACATTGTAAATACACCTCACGATGTTAGCAATAACATGTCACTTATTTGTTAGGCTCTCAGAATGTCGATGGCATCGTTGTGCTGATTACATCCGTTTTGCAAATAGCCGAACTTGAGAAACAGGCGCTTGATGCCGGACTGGGACCGACTCTAAGCCCCGAACTTAGTGGGAACATTGCGTGGGTATTAACAAAGATATCTGAGATCTATATTATGTTTCACGAGCCATATTATGAACAGGTCAGCGTACCTCTTGTTGTGTCTCTGGGAAAAGAAGGCGAGGGCGCGCGTTGGTTGGTGAGGTTTACTTTGGAAAAAGTTCTCAGTAATTTTCACGGTTGGTCGAGTGAGTCTAGTGTTTTGGAAATGACAGCTCAGCTACTTGTTGCTTTAATGAAGAATGAGAACAGGTAAGCAATGACTTATTGTCCATCGACTTCTGTCTTATCGGTGAACTGTTGTCTGGTTTTGAGAGAAAATATTTTGTTGCTACTTGAGATACAGGTCTACCATTTCTAATGGCATTAATCAATTGTTTTTGGAAACAAGTCTACCATATGTAGGGAATTAGTCTATCGGTTTGGAGCACTTGTTTACAATTTCTGGGACGCTAGCCTGTGGTCTACCATATCTAGGGCATTAGTCTATCGGTTTAGAGCACTTGTTTACAATTTTTCGGGACGCTAGCCTGTGAATTGGGAACATTTGAACACCGCTTCAGACCTCTTAGTCTGCTCTTATTAGTCCTTTCTTAAATAATAAAATAGATACTTTGTCGTGGTGACAAATTTGAAAATAGTTGTAAAGATAGACATAGTGAATGGTAAAAGTAATATAATAAGTTGATAGTTCTTAAAAGAACTGTTTTAAGTAAAGAGCACTACTTAAGTAAAGAGCACTACTTAAGTAAAGAGCACTACTTAAGTAAAGAGCACTACTTAAATAAAGAGCACTCATTTAGCAGACGTTGACACCTGAGGAGTAGTCTGCCGAAATGCATCGCGTCGTTTAATTTAGAACTATTGGTTTAGTGCTCTTGACTTAGTTACTCTTTTCTTTTAAGAACTATCAACTTGTTATATTACTTTTACCATTCACTATGGTATTTGCTATCTTTAGAGCTATTTTCGTATTAGTCCACTGATATGTAGTTTTGGAACACTAGTTCATTGTTTTATTGCCATTTTTCTGTTAGCAGTTTATCGTTGCTGGGAACACTCGTGTTGAAGGACACTAGTTCCATGTAGTTCTATGCTCTTGGAGTTTATAAGAATTGAGTGCGATGTTAATTTAGTAATAGAGGGTGGATAGAAGCTGTTCTTGTGCCGCTTGTCTTCTTGTAAAAACACAGAAGTGAAAATGTGATGTTTATTATTCTGACATTGACATTCTCTCTAGTGCCCTGTATGCAATTTCGTGCTCGACTGTGGCGCAGCTTGCCAAGGATTATGCTGAAAACGCCACGTACATTAAGAATTTTCCCGCGCTTGTACAGCGAGAATTGTCGCATGCGCTACTTATTGCTGGCTCCGCTATACAAGATGACGCAAACAAGAAAAAATATCTTGGTCACGTGAGTTTACGAAGTTTCGTTATGACGTATTAGATGTATTGAGTTTTGGAGATTTTTCTTGGTAAAATCTCGTCGGTACTGATATCGTCATGTTGATTGTCTGTTGTTAAATTTCTATTCGCTCGTCTTTGACATCTTTTACCTCAACTTCATTACGAAAAGAGGTTCTGACAATTACCTTAACAATTCCACCTCGTTTTCCTCACAAAAAGTGCTGCTTTCCAAGCTTTATTCTTCCAGTTTCATTTTTAGCTATTCTTCTACAAAAACTTGATCGTTCTTTCCTGTTTGAATTTAGTTAATTTCCCTATATAGCTAACTTGAGCTATTTTCCCAATTTAACCCGAGCTTCTGTCCCATTTAAACTCAAAGCATTCGTCCTGTTTGTCTTGGGTTTTTTTCCATTTTGTTTTTTTGAACTATTTTCCCTGATAGACACGAGCAATTCATTCGGGTTAAAACAAGCTATTTTTCCAGTTTTACTTGTGTTATAAGAATGGCACTCGTGATTTGATTTAAACGATCTGCTCAGATTTTAGAGCCAATGAAAATTCGCTTCCAAAATCTTGTGGAAACAATTCGACATAATGGTCAACACGAAAGATATAAGGACGAACTAGAGAGACTTCTGGAGTGCTTCCGTGGTGTTTCTATGGCGATAAATAAGAAAACCTTTTCATATATCTTCGAGTTTCTCATACCAATCCTCGATGTTTGCATACCTTTCTATGAATTGTACAGCAACTGTCCGGAGATTGTGGAGATCCTGCTGTCTTTTGTCTTGGATGCTGCAAAGGGGCTATTGGGACACGTTGGCATGGTCAGTTGAAATGATGTTTTCGATGACTCTTAAGCTAAATGAGCGGGCCAAGTATGAGGAATGGAAATAAATATCAATAGATTTTGACACAACCTTTCTTTCAGTATTGAATCAAATGTGTTGGGTTAAACTCGTATTCAGCAAAAAAAAAGTTAAAGACGTCTTTTGGTGACATTCACAATACACCATCGATGTTTAAAAAGCAAAAAAAAAGTTAAAGACGTCTTTTGGTGACATTCACAATACACCATCGATGTTTTAAAAAGCAAAAAAAACGTCAAAGACGTCTTTTGGTGACATTCACAATACACCATCGATGTTTTAAAAAGCAAAAAAAACGTCAAAGACGTCTTTTGGTGACATTCACAATACACCATCGATGTTTTAAAAAGCAAAAAAGTTAAAGACGTCTTTTGGTGACATTCACAATACACCATCGATGTTTTAAAAAGCAAAAAAAAAATTAAAGACGTCTTTTGGTGACATTCACAATACGCCATCGATGTTTTAAAAAGCAAAAAAAAAGTTAAAGACGTCTTTTGGTGACATTCACAATACACCATCGATGTTTTAAAGACCTTGTTTGTTTCTTCAAGGATGCTAAACACCGCATCATTTTGATTGCTTAGTAAAGAGGTTTTATATGATTCAATTGACTTTTAAGGGCCGAAATCTCGGCCAAAGATTCTGCACACATTTTACTGCTTCTAAGGAACATTCAAAGATTATCTTTATGTAATTGGATGTAGTATGCTTTGATGTATAGTTGGGTAATGGATAGGAGGAGCTCGAACATGTCTGTTTTATGCTGTTCCAGGTTGAAGCTCAAAGATTTTACCTGGTTTGCGCCCGTCTTATGGAATTGTATGCAAAACACAATCAAGGTAATGCCCCCCCGGCTGTGCTTCCATTTTGCATTTTTCCTATTCACGCTAACATTTTATGATTGATTACTTAGTATTTGCTGTGTTCTGGCGTCTCTTTTTAGGAAGACTGTTCCGAAGCGATTCAGCTGAGGAGGAAGCCTTTGGCAGTCTCTTGCTTTTCTTGAAGATTATGACGACGATTTTAAGACAAGATTATAAAGAGTATTGTACTGGTAAATATTGTCTTACAATTTATCCGGAGGTTGAAGGAACGTTTCTAAAAATTGGCATGTTAAATCTCACTTGGCGCAAACATGGATGGTTCTAAATTGCCGGAAACGATCGTTTCACAGTATTTATAATTGAAAACATTGATCCGCCGTAATACAACAGCTCAAACGGCTATTTTTAATTTCACCATTTTATTATAAGTACACAAGCCCTCAAAAAGAACTGCCCACCAATTTTACAACAAAAAAAATAGCCGTGATAAAGTGAATGGTTTTATCCCCGGAACTATCGTTGCATGTTTGTAGATGAAGATCGTCCAGGTTGCAGAGTCATTGACTCCGAAGATGACTGCCGCTAAGGTCGTCGAAACCTCAGTCAACTGTCAACAATAACATCAACGGTCATTCTGAGGAGTATACTTATATGGACAATCTACATCTACAAAGATGTAAACAATAATAGTATGTTTGACAACTGTACTCTATCGCCCTCTGGTTTTCTTTACAGCTTTTCATTGGTTAGACGTACTTGATATTCATGCTTACCATTAAAATGTCTTTTTTTAAATTTTCTTAAAACAGTTTCATCCATCGATGATCGTCTCGTCAGCACGAACCATTCTGCGCGCACTGTGTTATACGGATTGGAACATTTGCTACCGTTTTTAAACAAAGAAATACTCAAGGTAATGCTTTACAGTCATTGCTCCCTCTACTGTAATGCTACACAGTCATTGCTCCATCTATTGTTATGCTACACAGTCATTGCTCCCTTTACTGTTATGCTACACAGTCATTGCTCCATCTTTTGTTATGCTACACAGTCATTGCTCCCTCTACTGTAATGCTTTACAGTCATTGCTCCCTCTACTGTTATGCTACACAGTCATTACTCCCTCTACTGTTATGCTACACAGTCATTGCTCCGTCTATTGTTATGCTTTACAGTCATTGCCCCATCTATTGTTATGCTACACAGTCATTGCTCCCTCTACTGTTATGCTACACAGTCATTTCTCCATCTATTGTTATGCTACACAGTCATTACTCCCTCTACTGTTATGCTACACAGTCATTGCTCCATCTATTGTTATGCCACACAGTCATTGCTCCATCTATTGTTATGCACAGTCATTGCTCCATCTATTGTTATGCTACACAGTCATTGCTCCATCTATTGTTATGCTACACAGTCATTGCTCCGTCTATTGTTATGCTACACAGTCATTGCTCCATCTATTTTTATGCTACACAGTCATTGCTCCGTCTATTGTTATGCTACACAGTCATTGCTCCATCTATTGTTATGCAACACAGTCACTGTTTCATTCAATGTTATATAAATAAATAAAAAAGCAGTCGTTGATTTTATTCGACACGATAGGACACCGTTAAAACGAAGCTGTCAGAGTTTATTTACGTTGTGCATGGTGGTCCTTTAGTAGATGGGCTATCAATGTCGGCTTTAGTTTAATTATATAAATCCAGATTTTTGCTGACCATGTTTATCACTGTCGCAAATATGTTTTCATCCCAACATTATAAGCAGAAATAGATGTTTCGCTTCACCTTAACGAAACTCTTACTGTTTTGTGTTCACAAGGTACAGTCACAGTTATGTGACGTTTTCAAACCCTTACGGCTGGCGTTACGATTTCGTTCCGTTGAGCTTGGCTTTGCTAAGGTTGCATTGATGCAAAGAAAGCTAGCCGCCATGTGTCATAGCTCCTTTAGAGCTTTATGATTTTGCTTTAGCCAAGGAAATTTTGAAATCCGCTTTGTGTTTCTTAGTTGTAAAAACATCGAGGCATTTCACTGTTTTCAAGACTTAAAAAATATCGTTGGAAAGTATATTTTTTTACACTTGGAAAATAAAGGGAAAAATTTTACGCAAAAATCGTGTATGGCAGAGGTCTTGAAAATAGTATTTTATATAGCTTTGGCAAGATTTGTCAAACGGCCTGTAATGCATGCTATGTATGTAACCATTGCGAACATTAGAGTGTATGAAAACCAGTTCGATAACTGCACTTTTTTGGTGCTTTCAATAAAGTCGGTGAAATTGTACCATGCAAAAACATAATCAATAATTAGGATTTGTGTCTAGTAAAATGTTCACAAGCTGTTCAATGAATTTTCTGTTTTTCATTGCAGTTTCCAGAAGCAGAGGAGGAGTATTTCGAATTACTAAATAATCTATGCGTAACGTATCAAAATAACTTCTGTGTGGCGTCTGATAAATTTCTAAAAAACTTGGAAAAGTCTTTTGAAATGGGAATTGTGGAGTATCCTTATGCAGTTTTATGTCAATATAATTTCGTATCAACACTGTGCTCGTGACATATTTGCGAGTGGCATGGGTTTTTAATTCCCTTAACTACAAACCTAAAGATGTGGTACAAACATAGCCAGATTGGTTGTCGATGCAATAACAGCCATGGCAAGGGAACTCTGTAAATGTCAACAACCCAATGATAAATTGTCTCTCACAGTAAAGTTTTTGTTCAGGGTAATGTTAAACTATTTCATTATGTTCTCTGTTGTACATTCATCACGATCTACACTGAAATACGTTATCTTAGTTTATATTTTATGTCGTGTAAAGACTGTTCTCTTCCTCTGTTGTTCATTCATCACTACATATACCGACATACGTAGGTTATCTTAGTTTATATTTTAGATGGTGTAAAGACTGTTCTCGTTCTCTGTTGTTCATTCATCACTAACTACACTGAGACACGTTATCTTAGTTTATATTTTAGGTTGTGTAAAGGCAGTTCTCGTTCTCTGTTGTTCATTCATCACTACCTACACTGACACACTTTATCTTAGTTTATATTTTAGGTAGAGTAAAGACTGTTCTCGTTCTCTGTTGTTCATTCATTGCTACATACACTGACACACGTTATCTTAGTTTATATTTTAGGTAGTGTAAAGACTGTTCTCGTTCTCTGTTGTTCATTCATTGCTACATACACTGACACACGTTATCTTAGTTTATATTTTAGGTAGAGTAAAGACTTTTCTCATTCTCTGTTGTTCATACATCACTAACTACACTGAGACACGTTATCTTAGTTTATATTTTAGGTTGTGTAAAGGCAGTTCTCGTTCTCTGTTGTTCATTCATCACTACCTACACTGACACACGTTATCTTAGTGTATATTTTAGGTAGTGTTAAGACTTTTCTCATTCTCTGTTGTTCATTCATTACTACCTACCCTGACACACGTTATTTTAGTTTATATTTTAGGTAGTATAAAGAGTGTTCTCCTTTTCTGTTGTTCATTCATCAATACCTACACCGGCACACGTTATGTAATTTTACTTAGTGGTAAAGACTGTTCGCAATATTTTTTTCATTCCTCATTACAGAAGTTATTCAACTTCGCAATGTTTCAATCATTTGAGATCATTGATCTACTTCATCATATCTCCGAGGCTGTATGGTATTTAAGCTGTTGTGATCAGGTAAAATTTCATTAGAATATATTAGTCCAGTTCATGTTTCTACAATTAATCACTTATTTTGAATGGTAACGTGAAAGTGTTTTGAAATGACGCAAGTGATACAATGGTGTCAATTTTTTCGTAGAAACGGAAGTCCTTACTGTCGTGACTGACTCTTTACTGACTTTGAAGATGACACTTAACACCAACAGTCCCTCTCAGTCCTTGCTGTTGTGACTGACTCTTTACTGACTTTGAAGATGACACTTAACACCAACAGTCCCTCTCAGTCCTTGCTGTTGTGACTGACTCTTTACTGACTTTGAAGATGACACTTAACACCAACAGTCCCTCTCAGTCCTTGCTGTTGTGACTGACTCTTTACTGACTTTGAAGATGACACTTAACACCAACTGTCCCTCTCAGTCCTTGCTGTTGTGACTGACTCTTTACTGACTTTGAAGATGACACATAACACCAACACCAAAAGTCCTTATCTGGACTGCGCTAACCTCTACGTCTACAAATATTTTCAAAACAGTCTCTTTGCCAATTTTAGCTTATCTTCTTTTGGCCATATTTGCTATAGACAATTCCATCAAAAGCCTCTACCAGTGGCGGACATTACAAATGTACTTTGGTTTTTTGTTCCATTTTCATCTTCATCTTGTGTTAAGTCTTATGATCGAAATTCATAGTGCAAGTACAATATATTGCTTAGAATTGCTTGGATCCCTTACTCCCAAAGTGTCCGCTACTTCATTGCTACAATGTTTATCGAATAAAGTGGCTGTTATATTTGTATCTCACGTTTTTATCAGACTATCGTATTTTGGTTATCTTTATGATTTCAAATTTGAGAAAGATATTATTTCATGCTTTATACGTCGTTGCATTTTGTTTCGTATCTTAATTTCTGCGATTTCAAATTTTTGCAGGTCCAGTACGAAACTTGTGTTGATAGGTTATTGGCTGCATATGGCGAATGTACAGGCGTTGACCGATTGTCCGATTCATTCGATAAGATTACGCCGCCAGATAAAAAAGATGTATTAAATGAAGCAAGCAAAGAGAGCTTTCGCAAAAACTTCGAGTCTGCGGTCTGTGATGCTCAAGGTTTGCTCAACATTCACTATTGATATTGCTGGGTTTTTGTCAAAGAAATCAAAATAACTTTTCACTTGGGGCAACGATCTGTTCGGATATTTACGCTCGTATTCTAAAAGCTCAGTTACACTCACTAAAAGCTCATTTTTCTCACTAAAAGCTCACTCACATTCACTAAAAGCTCACTCACACTCACTAAAAGCACACTCACTAAAAGCTCGCATACACTCACACTCACTAAAAGCTCACTCACACTCACTAAAAGCTCACTCACACTCACTAAAAGCTCACTCACTCTCAGTCCACACTTCACACTCACTCACACTCACTAAAAGCTCAGTCACATTCACTAAAAGCTCACTCACACTCACTAAAAGTTCAGTCACATTCACTAAAAGTTCACTCACACTCACTAAAAGCTCACCCACACTAACTAAAAACACACTCACACTCATTGAGTTCGACATAAAAGTCACACTCTATGTAATCATTGGCAAAGTCATTTCTCCATCAATGTCAAGATTTTCTCCTAGATGTTTCAAATCAAGCAATCAATTGAGTGAAATTGCGGTCTTCAAACAAATATAAAGTGATTTTGAAGTCCCACTCATTAAGTGTGAGCGGGCTTTTAGAATACAGTGGCCGGTTGCACGAAAACTGAATAGCGCTATCCACTGGATAGCACATTCTCTTGTAAGAGAAAAATATACGATTTGAACTGTGCAATCGCTGAAATAAAATATTTTTTCGAGGTTAACAAAATTTCTGTCTTAAAAAAAATATAAACATCTTTTTTACAAGTTTGAAAATTTTTACTATCTAATGGATAACGCCATCCAGGCTTCGTGCAACCGATCCCAGGCTTTAGAGTTTTCTGAAAACTGGCCGGCTTGCTTTTTATGAAAAAGGAAAGTTTTAGTAAGGAGCGCGCATCCCAAAAAGAATATTGGAGGGTGTTGTACGAACTGGGCTCGACTTTGAACCTATTTCACAAAAGCTGGCAGGCACCAATCCCCACACCAACAAAGGGCGCGCATGATTTTAGTTTTTGGAAACGATGTCGATCTATATTGTAAATGTTGTATTATCTTCAAGCACGGAGTGACGTTTCATCTTTCACTTTGGGCTATGTATAAAACAAGATATTCTGTCGCTTTTAGCTTTAATAAAAGATACATTTATTTATTTGCACAATAAATCATTTCATGGTGTATTTATTATCCCCATTCCAATATCTCCCGTTTAAAATTCCTTTTCATGAAAGGAATATTATTATTGTGGACGTACCGTTTCACAAACAACATTCTAATATTTGAGTTCTGCGTTTTTCAACAAATGCCAGAAACGCATTTTGTCTTTCTTCTTTGGTCTTGATTGCTTTTTCAACTCTGAATTTCTGCTCTTTTGATAAGCAGTCCGTATCGAAATTATTTTCCTTTATTACGCTTGACTTTAGTAACTCCAACTCTTTTGCTTTCTTGTGTTTTTCCGTCTTTTCTTTCCTGGCCTGATGAAAAGATTTCATTTCAATTGATTTTCTACAGACTACGTTCAGAAATGGTAAAATCCTTTCAATTATATCAAGTGTTTTCAGTGTATTTTTTGTTGCATTATAAGCAAATAAAAAAAATTATTTAAACAGTTAAACAGGTTAAACAGTTTTTAAAATAAACACAATTAAACGCTTGCGCTGATTGGTCTAGAGCTGTGTTTGCATTAGCCCGTGCAAAAGACATCTGAGCTTAACCAATCAAATCAATCAAAACAATCAACCAGTCAAAGAGAATTTGCAAATCGATCATGAACAAGGTGCAACCCTCGACCTTGGGCTTGCACTGATCAGGTCTCCCAAAGGTCTCCCCATTTGCATAAGCTTGTGCAAACACAGCAAACATCTTATATTTCTTTAATGAAGTTGCGCACCTTCAAATCTGTGTAGTTCCATTGATAACACAATATTGCATGGTAAAAATCCCATATAGAGAATGCAGGCCATAGCACTTTCTCGAATATTAGACAAGTATAAGAAGTCTGAAATGTCAAGAAATTATAAAAAGGTGGATGATGAAGTCTCCTCCCAAAAACACCACCATCATGACCACAAGGTTTTATGGTTGTCTTTGAATGAAGGCCTTACAGGTAATCGTGGAAAAGGCATGGTCATAGTAGGTAAAAATTTCCTTCAGAAATAAAACATGATAATTTTACCTGCCAAAGTAGAAAATCACTGAGTCTCGTCTCTCCTGAAGTCCGAATAAGTAAATCAGGATCTGGTGACTTGTTGGTATAGAGTGTTTGGTCCATCAGTGTTTCTGTAACATCACTAGAGAAATAAGAAGTAAGAATAAAATTCTCAAGATAGTTTTTTGCAACACCAACAAGACCATCATCACCTTGGTTCCAATATTCCAAGATCAACACCTTCACCCATTAGTTTTATCGCCTCAGTGATTTCATGTCTTGAAGTGTAGGCAAGGCACACATTTAGAAAACACCTAGAATTTAAAAATGTTAGAAAATTGCCACTTGATTTTTTGTCAGCAAGACTGTTGGTAATAGTGGATGGCTATCACCATGATCCCATGAATTACATGTTTACAAACAAATAGGATCATTATTATTGATGGAGAAATTCAAAATTCAGCCTTGAGATGAGTATTAACAGCATTAACAAGTGTACATACTTCTTGTTGTCCTTAGAATATTGTACAACTTCAGCAACTGCCTTGCGGGTGTCAGGGGGTAATAGGGTGAGATCCCCGATTACCCTTACACATACACCATGTTCCATAATCTTATCCCTATACAAGTGAGTAATGTCATAACATTTTGCATATTGTTGAAATTTTGCGCAATAACTAAAGTACTTTTGTTCCATGAGTTTTGCAATCTTCTGTTTAGTCAGCTCCATCAATCCATCAACTTCTTCTTTAGGTCGTTTGAAATTCTCAATGCTAAATGCATACACAGTCACCTCATATATTCCAAGTTCAAAGCACCACTGTAAGGTCTGCAAGAAGCCAGGCCATTGGGTCAGTTTTCACTATTCAACCGGGGGGGGTTAAATTTATTTTATACTTATATCGCGATGCAATTTTTTTAGATAGTAATTGTTAAAAACGTATTAATAGCTTTGCTCTTTACCTCTGAAAGTTTTTGAAAGCCAGATTCGTGTCCTTGAGCGTTAACCTGTTGTCTTTCTCGCGCAAACCGGCGATTGCCGTCCATAATAAAGGCAACATGGCGAGGGATCTTACCGCATCTTATAATGTTATTACAAAAATCGCGAATCCAGCTTCGCTGCTGGTTTTCCTCGCCCGTCCAAAACATCTCCCGCGAAAATATTCTGTAAAAAGGTGAAATTCTTTCAAGAATTTAGAATTTAGACCGGACCATTACTTTGATTCTATTGTGCTACCATTCCGGGATAGAATTTCCGTAAGATATATTTTCGGATTTCCTTGTAAGAGCATGCGCATGTGGGGGACTTTACGAGTGACGTCACGCGCGGCTTAATATTACAATGCTTTGAATAAATTTTCTCAGCTGCCAACTGAGATATATATATCATGAACGAGCGTTTGAATGTACGCTAAAACTCTTTGGTTTCCGACTATAAAAGTCACTATACGAAAGTGTATTGATTTAGTTAGACTTCTGTTGTGTTCTATGTCTCGAAGCGAGGGTAAATGGACGACAATATTAAGCGAGGTAATGTCGTTTAATAGCCGACTACACGACTATTGAGCCCCATATTTAGAGAAGTTGTTTCTCTGTTTTCTGTAGAACTATACTTTCTCATCATAAAATTTCTGTCGGATGGACCATGTACTAATGCTGCAGAGGTAAATGAGTCTTCTGGAATGAAATTGTGAGTTTTTGAGATGAAATGTGTATTGTGTCGTTATAGGTTTTAAAACACGAAGTAGAGGCACTTCAGGTAAGAACCTCATTTTCTCTAATTCAAGTCGAAAACGGGGTAAGACTTCTCCTTAAGAAAAATTACCAAAAATTATCTTGAATGAAATCGTGCCAACGTCCGTTGGTCTTTTCCTAGTGTAAATTGAATTATTACGACTATTTCCAGGCACTTTAGAGTGCAGTAAACCACCTCTTTTTATCATTTCAAGCTATTACCGAAAGCCATCAATTGGTTAGGAGAAACAACGCCCCGAAACTATGCAGAGACGGTAAAGTATGTTGTAACATTTGACGGCGTGCGTTCAATTTCAAATGAGGAAATTCAACGCATCCGACGCACAAATGAAAACATTTCATTGAAAATGTTTTACATATAATCACTGAGGGTTTATCCGACGAAACTTTTTCCTATTAAGATTCGTTATTCTTTTAAATTCGGGCTAAATTTGACAACGAAATCGGCACGTATTAGAACCGTCTCAATTATTCAATTGCCCGACGTGCCCTCGGTACGCATGATCGCACCTTGTCGATTTCTATAAAGGTCAACATACCATTGTTTTTCAACCAATCACAGCGCAAAAGCCTGTCGTATTGTTGATATACGATTGCATAATTTGCATTTTCCTTGTTATGTATCGTGTTCACATTACTAACAGATCGTGAATTTTAAAAGAATTCTCGAGTTTAAAGCACGATTTTTTCTTATGTTGTTTTTGGATCGACTACGCGGACTTAGGTCTTTTGTCTTTTTCCTTATGCTTTCGATTTACCGGCGACTCGTGAATCTAAGTATCACAGATGGTCTTTTTGAAAATTTGATGTGTGCCAAGTTTTCGTACGTCTGCTGTACTACATTTTCAATTAAGACATGCACGTGTATATTTTACTTCTGTAATGATGTCTATGGTTATCATAAGGGAAGACTATAAAGAGCTTACGAATTGTTGTGATAACTTTACAGGCTACTCGGAATTCACAGATTAATGGAGACTTCTTGCAGAGAATATGTGAACGACTAATACCCTTGCTGGAGAAAACCATCCCTCCAAGTGTAAAGGGTGTAGTCTCATTGCTTGGTAATGGCAGGCAGTCCTTACTTAGACCAGCAGAAGGTATTATTTAGCGTATTGATTTAGTGACATGACTTTGCCACCCAGCAGATGGTACTGAGCAGGGGAGGTAGAACATTTGCCCACAGGCTTTGTATGTGAGCAACCATTCTAAATTAGTTTTTAATGTTCAGGGTTTGGTTAAGAAGCCCATTACAATTGGAGTAAACATCTTTATTTTGAACAGATAAAGGTCGTCTTTTGTCTACAAATTATCTGGCAGTTTGTCGCCATGGAGCTCCCATTGTTCCTGGTTTTAAGACAAAGAATACATTCAACTTAAGTGAGTTAATTTACCACTATTTCTGCTTTAGTGTTTTTCAGAACATTAGCAGGAGTGAAAATCACTTGAAGATGCAGAATTGAAGAGGGAAAATTGATGAAAACATGAGATGGTTAAAATAATCATTTTTGCATCAATTCCTTGATCTCCCACATTTTAAAATAATTATTGTCTGATTTTATATTTTCAAATCATGGGTGCATCATTTTTCACATCAAATGTTACAATATAATAACATTTTCATGAACAATGATGGGGTGCCCATACTTGCACCCCCCTTTGCATGTGCGTTTCCAAAAGAAATGTATATTTTACAGCTGAATACACTCTTCCCCTTAGGCTTCATCTTATGGTAATGTTGATGAAGCTACTTTACTTCTTGTTTTCTCCACTAGCAAATGTTGTGAGTGCAAGACAGTTAAGTGGTACAGTGTACAAAAGAAATTTTTTCCAACATGGTTTCTACTCTAAACTATCTATGGTAAGATGGAAATTGCGATAACATCCACATCAAAAGATTATGATTATCATGAATTATAGTAGTAAAATGTAAGTTTTAGGAACACGTTAAAACAACGAACAATATTTTTGCAAGTGTTGTTGGAAACTCAAGTTTTGTTTACATCATGTAATATGGAATTACCTTCTGCTCTCACGTAGTTGTTTTTTCTATTGAATTCTGAGTGGGAATGTATATATTTTTTCAGCATCGAAGAATCCTTGGTCATTTATCAGCTGTTTATTGTGTACTGTTTGATCAAACGGGTCATTCCATTATTACAGTGAGTTGTTAGAGTTTAAATGAGGATGCTTTTTTGTTTAGAATTAGAATACTCATTTATATATTTTACATTATATATCATAGTATTGTTAAAAGTGCCTTTTAATAACTTAATTGTTCAATCATTGACACTTTTTTCTTTCAATGCCAGTTGAGTTGAAGTAAAAACTTACTGCGTCACTTAGTCTGCAAATAATATTAACATTGAAAAATCATTTTTCAAAAGAAAATTGCTGCTTGCATTTTATGATTTAGTTTAACATGTAACTAATGGAATAAACTAAACTCGGTAAATATTTAAACCTATCTTTCTTTTCTATAGATATTTTATTTCTTAGTAAACTTTGTAATTGTTTTTGAACAAAAGCACACCCTCGTGAAAATCAACCCCAGTTATCAAGGCCGGCTTGTCAAAATAAAGATTTTCATTCATTCGTTCATTCATTCATTCCCCGTTTTCAGGCTGCAGATGATAACTTGGTAAAAATTTGGTCAAGCTTGGATGGCAGGCTTTTGGCCACTTTACGAGGACATAGTGCCGAGATCTCAGATATTGCTGTCAATTTTGAGAACACGCTTCTCGCTGCTGGGAGCTGTGACAAAGTACATATATCTGCAATTATGAATAGCTTGCATTGTTGACCATTGATAGCACACACATTTATTGTTGACCTAGACAATTCGTGTATGGAACATCCAGACATCGGCACCTGTTGGGGTTCTACAGGGACATACTGGGTCTATCACATCACTTCAGGTAAGGCAAGATTTTTGAGTTTGTACCATTTTGTACTCATGTGTTTATTGTGGGTTTTGTTTGTTTTTTTTACAGTTTTGCCCTGGCTGTTTTGGTGATTTTAGGTAACCGTTTTAATTTTGTAATATTTTTAATCACCTATGCATCCCTCTTCAAATTTTTGAACATCGTTGCAATTTACAGATATCTTATGTCAACTGGTGGTGATGCTGTTGTAATATTTTGGAAATATGACCTGTCGACCAAAAAGTTTGAGTAAGAAATTGATTTTTAATAATAATTAATTAGTAGTATAAATTAATTGTATTACTAAATTGTAATGAACTTATGAAATAATTTACATTTTAGTGAGGCACCAGTAAAGTTTCAAGAGAAATCCAGACCTGGAGCTCAGATAGTTTGTTCATCTTTTAGTCCAGGTATGAAGTAATGACAAAAACTTTGTGCAACATGAAGTGTAATAAGAGAGAATGCAGCAATTTGATTGGTTGATATTCAACTTTTTTTTGCCTAACTCATTTAGTATTTGTCAAGTTTTCTCCTAATTGTTTAATGCAGTTATTTTGTTGTGCTATCTATATATTTCAGTGTTCATTCCCTGGAAAAACAATAGACTTTTGTAAATAGCTCAACTAAACATGCAAGCTAGCTTGTAGAGGAAAGTTTCTAGGATAGCAACGCCCGTTTTCTAGTGAATTTTTGATGCAGAAATTTGTGTTCCCACTCTAATCTATCATGGAGAGCATTGGACACAAGTTACTTGTTGTTAATATTCACGATGTAAACAATGTCGGTTTTGATTGGTCAACTCCCTGCACCCTGCAAATATTTCTCGATTATTTGTAATTCTGACGTCATATTTACAAATAATTCTGGATGTCTGAATTATGACGTCTTGTCTACAAATAATGGTTTCTACAATTATTGACGCCATTAAAAGCCGGTTTTTAAAGAAAGTCAATAGCGATGTTTGCCAGAGTTTTTAAAAACGATAGGCAAAAGATTTTAAAGAAAAAGGATGTGGAAAACACTAAAAAAGCGGCAAAGCTGGCTTTGAACTTATTTACAACTTATTTAAAACAGAAGAACTTGAATTGACCGTCTGATAATGACAATTTAGCGAAGGTTTTAAAAATGTTTTACTCTGATATGTTTTAGTACTATTTCAGTTAGTTGAAGTGAATAATAAAACAATTTTTGGATGATGTTGAGCATGATACCAAGAATTATTCAGAGTTTCAGACCTTGGCCAATGTTACCTTCCGAAGCGAATTAATCCAATAATTTGCTTAATACTCTTTATTTAGGCGGTGTTTTTCTTGTTACTGGCAACACGGATCACGGAATTCGGATTTACCAACTTTTTCCAGGTCCTCCCGAGCGAATTAGCGAGCTGTCAGCACATCTAGTAAGCTTCGTTTTTCGATTGTTTTAAAAGTACGAACATATTTTGTATTGTAATGTTGTCTCTCCCCAGGATCACGTCGACAGCATACAGTTTAGTCATACAAGTGAAAGGTTCGTACGCAGGACGTTTTGTTTTGTTGAAGTTTTCACCTTGTATTTCCGTATATTGAGGACCGTTTCAAACGTCGAACTTTTCGTGCGCCAAATTTATTTTGTACAAAAAAAATGAGATGAAAGTCGTTGTTGTTTGTTTTAATGTTGTTCATTTATTTTTATGTTTTGGTTAATGAAAAACGAAAGATTCAGTGGGCTTTAAGAACGATAAAACATCTCTATATTTCGACAAAATTAAACATGCTGGAGTGGGCTTCTCACTCGTGGCAAGCATGTTGGCTCCATTATCCCTACATTAACCACTAGGCTATACAACCATCCAGACATTTCTAGCAAATGTGATTTTATAAATGATGATCGTCCAGGTTAATAAAGTCCGGAGAAGGACTGTTTTTGTTGTTGTTGACTGGTTAACCAGATAACAAATACGGTTAACCTGACGTTTACTCCTCATTTGACTCTGAAGATGACTACCGCTAAGGTTGTCGAAACGTCAGTCAACAACAACAAAAACAGTCCTTCTCAGGACTTTATTAACCTGGACGATCATCATTTACGAACATATAACGATACTCCCGGGTTCAAACCATTTACTTTAAATGTGATTTTATAAAATAGTCAAAATAGCAATTATATGTTGACGTACGACTCCCGTACGAATAACCACTTTGTTGTTTTAAATGCATTCAGATATTAAAAGTTAGACGGTAAAAGCGAGCTAAAGGCGGAGTTTTTATGATCACCGCATCATGTTTCGATAAAGGGAAGATGACGAAATTCCCTTTTTTGTGGTTTCTACTTCAGTAGGAATTTACCCATCGTGATGTTTGTATTTAGATTTCTAAGCGGTTCAAAGGACGGGACGGCTAGAATATGGTACTATCAGCGATCGGAATGGAAAAGCATTGTTTTAAATAATCAGCAAGTTCTAGAAAAGTAAGTCATTGCTATACAGTAAACTGTTTTTTTTTGAAAAACCGTAAGCTATGAATTGGTTCTAGATCTCGTGGTTTTTGCATGTAATTCTTTGTAAAATTCTTCCATTGCTGTTCTACGTATGTCAACGACATGCTATGGTCCTGCGTAAATAGAATGGTGCACAGGGTGCTCTAATAACTGCTGTGTCAGCTGATTATGTCCAGCGAAAGTTTTTTTTGTGGCCTATCATTTTGTCACGTGGACGAAACATATCCAAGCGAAAATAGTTTTGTCGTTCATCTGAACTGCAACTTTACTACAGCTATTTTGGACATGGATTTTGTCATATTTTAACATTCTATAGATTCTTGTTATCCTCCTTGTACTACCCTAATATTCTTTGTTTTCGATGTAATATATCACAAAATATTTGCCAGATGAACCATATTCGGCCTATTTATCCTTGCCAACAGACCAATGTTACCCTAGCTTCTTGTATTTCACAGTTCATCATCTACTCGTGAGGAAGACTTGAATAAATTTGGAAAAATTCGCGTTACAATGGTGATGCTCTTTTTCAGTAGTACTGCCTTTGAAGAATTTTATCGTAAATCTTTGACGATACATTACGTAATGTTTTTGTTTGTTTGCTAGGTTGGTTGGGATTTATCAGACCAGTTTGTTGTAACAGCTGTCAACGACCATACCTTAAAAGTTTGGGAGTCAAAGGCTGGGAAGCTCATATATTCTTTAAAGGTTCCGTCATACGTACAACTAATACTGCGATAATTTTGATTTTAAACGTCGAAATGATGGGTGCTTGTTGTAAATATTAAGTTTGTGTAGAAGTACACAGTTTATATGGCTTTATTTAAAGAACATACGTGGAGCTTAAGCAAGCACATTTTTTGTAATTCTTTGTCATTGTTCTCTTTTCCAGTTGTTTTTTGCCCTTGAATGTTTGCTTTTAATTAATGTCTTCACTTGTTCTATCCTTCTAGGGTCATCAGGACGAAATCTTTATCATCGAAGCTCATCCGACAAATCCTGAACTTCTCCTCACCGCTGGACACGATGGGTACATTATATTGTGGAATCTAACCCGAGGAAAAATCGTTAAAAGTTTTATAACTCGGTCAGAGATAATCAATGAAAGTTTTCAACATTCGTGGAAATTATTAACGAATTGAAATCGTTTTAGTTGGAAGGCCAAGGTCATGGAGCGGTGTTTGACTGCAAGTTCTCGCCTGATGGTCAGCGGTTTGCCACCACCGACAGTCATGGTCATTTAGCAATCTATGGCTTTGGCTCCAACGAGCCTTATCAAAAAGTAAGTGATTATTTCAGCAAGTTGTTAGTTAAAAGGAAACATGCATAAAGAAAAAGAAAATTTCTTATAAAACTGCCGCAGTTGTATTACTGTCTTTGTGGAACTTGCATACAATGAATCATACACCAGTGTCCTGTATGTTTGTAGATATAGATTGTCCAGGATAGTAAAGTCCGGAGAAGGACTGTTTGTGTTAATTTAGACTGACGTTTCGACAATGTTAGCGGTAGTTAGCTGTATTCATCTTCAGAGTTAAGACGGAAACGTCACGTTGACCATATTGGTCTGGTTCATACATCATCTCGTATTGTATGTAGATGTAATGCGTGTGTCTGTCGTGTCGTGTGTAGTTATCGTTGGTTGGTTTAAAGTAGTAAGTTTATTTGTTCGTTTTGTGAGGTTGTATATAAGGCTTAACCGATATTTGCTTCTCATCGGAAGATGACTACTACCAAGTGCCGAAGGTTGTTGAAACGTCAGTCCTTTGCAGCGCACCTGCAATCGTTCTCAGCATTGCACTCTCAGCATTACATCAAACATGTAACAATACTCCAGGGCTCAAACCAGTGTTCAAACAACTCACTTTGATGACGTGTATATATTTCATTGTGATAGCAAGTCATCTTCTGTTCACTATATTTCAGTTCATTTCTTTAGGTTCCCGACGAACAATTCTTTCATTCAGATTACCGTCCAGTTATGAGAGATATAAATAATCATGTGTTGGATGAACAGGTTTAGAAATATCACGAATTTTTGATAGACATAAACTTGTAAATATCATAAGCCCAATTCACACGACATGAACTAAGCTGGGTTGAACCCAGATTAATTTTTTGGGATGGGTTGAGTTAAATCCGGGCTAAACCAGGGTTAGTTATGTTTACACGGAAAAATGAACCTGGTTTAATGTGAGCCTGGGTTGAATGCAGGCTATTTTATCCCATTTGAATTTGGCTATAGCTAGCTACTATACCTGTTGATTTTTATGTAAGTGCTTTATGCCTTTTGTTTCCCCCTTCCAGGTAATGCAGAAATGAGTAGTAATCACACCCCCCCCCTTGGGGAAATATTAAAAATGTTAGTCAGAAAAGGCTAACAAAAAGTTACCCGGGACGGTTTGCTTTAGTTTTCTGCATTGGCTCTGGTTACGAACAATTCACGCAAAGCACAAAATCGCTGAAGATAACATTCCGTGTATTAGTCATAGGCAGTGTATGGCCATAAATGCGAAAATTTTTCGAGAGTTAGTCTGATGAGCTCAGATTGTCCCACCTGCGTTATATTGTTGCAACATTCCGAGCAGGGGGAGTGTTTCGGCTCATTCAATCAGATCTGGTAAAAAAATGCATGTATGGTCCACTGATCTGAAAATAAACTGGATAACGCGTTCCGCTATTTCTGTCAGAGCTGCCATATTGGAAGGTCCTATTTGATATGAAAAAGTAATGAAAATATTAATCATAATCATATTTCCACTAAATCTCCTATGTTTATACATTGATTTAAGTTCTAAAAATAAGAGAAATACGTCGTTATTAAAGCTCTGCCGTATATTAAAGTTGGGTTTCACTTCTCGAATGGGACTTTGTAATCCGGTGATAACAGTGTAATCACCCGAATACTTTGACTTCAACTTTTGATTGTGTGTTGTATTTCAATGCGCTATCCAGTTTATTATACATATCTATGGTATGGTCCCACTGGTGACAGGTTTTACAATCATGATATATCAAGTCTCTGTGTATTTTAACTGAATGCAGGCTTACGTAAACTTGGTGGGATATTTTTAGACACAGACAGCCCCTCATCTAATGCCGCCGCCCTTTCTTGTTGACGTGGACGGTAACCCTCATCCTGTTTACTATCAACGTTTAATACCCGGTCATGGCGGTAATATCAGACCACGTCGTCACGCTGCGCTCAGTCCCCCGCCCGATCCCTCGTCACCGATGCCACCGTTGCTTGCACAGATCGAACAGTATGAACGTGGGCTCATTTTCCCCGAGCCTGAAGGTGTGTTGAGTATTGACATGTGTATGTGTCCAGGAGGCAGGAACATGCATGTGTATATCTCAAAGGATAGACTTGTGTAATATCTCAGGATTGATTGTGTTGGTTGGGTATCATTGGAAGGTTTGATTTGTAACATTTGTTATTCAACATTGCAGGTCTACAGTCTCCTCCACCCGGTCAGAATGCTCCTTCCCTTGCCAGTCCGGGGGTGGGCAGTCGTAATAGAGGTCTACTGCAAGACGGTGATATTGAAGGAGTTCGTCAATTGAATGTTAATATTCCAATCATACAAGATGTAGCAGAAGCTGACATAAACGCTTGGAGAAATAGAACCATCGTCCCGAAAATAAAAGATTCAGATAAAAAGTACCTTGTGAACTTTAGTGGTTTGAAAAGAGCATGAAGTGTTGTTGTTTGTTTACCTGTAAACGTGTTCCCATTAGATTTGATGAAGAGAGGAGAGTGCTTTTGGGCCGGCAAGAATTGTTGCGGTATTTAAAAGAAAAGAAGAAAAGACCATTACCTTCAACATCCAGGGTTTGTTTGTCTTTATCTTTATGTATAAATAGGGTGATATGTGGAACGTAGTATATACTATGTAGTAAACAGCAATGGCGTATCATTCAACATCCAGGGTTTGTTTGTCTTTATCTTAATGTATAAATAGGGGGTATGTGGAACATCGTAGTATAAAATATGTAGTAAACAGCAGTGGCGTATCATGCGTGCAAGTTTTGGTTCTGCTATTATTGTTCATTTCTTTAGCAATCGTTTGTTTTGTCAGTAGCAGAACAAAGTGAGCGGCTCGCTTTGCCAGTGCTATATACAGTAGGATTTAGTGGATCCTTGTGTATGAAACATGATAGGGTATGATTGAACGTAGAACAGTATTGTTTACATCCCAAATCTCTGTTAAATATAGCCTGTCAGTCAAGTAGATAAGAAAGCTGAAAGATTTTTGCGAAGTCGCGCTCGTCCAAGGAACAGGCGTGATCGACCACGTGTCGTGGACACGCAACCTGTCTACAACACGCGTGCCACTGTAAACACGGCCAGCGACGTTGATGAGTCTGGGGACGATGATGTGCTGATGACACCCAGTGCCAGCGAGGACGATGACGTTCCATGGCACAGCAGTAGCAGGTACGAGACTGTTGTTTATGTTAATGGACATTCAAAGATAATCTTATTGAATCGTAGTCTTGACTCGTCTGAAACTCGTTTTACAAACGTTTGCGTGGTTTCTTCTGTGAATGTAATAAAGAATTTTTTCGTTTTTTGTTTTGGATGAATAGATTTTTATTCATATTTTAGTGAAACGAGTGAATATTCCGATTGGACCGAGGAAGTCGGCATGAATACGAGACAGCAGTCAGAAAGCCAGCGGCCATGTCGAAGGGTACGTCGTGTTATTAGTTCTAGCGATGACGAAGCGGCGGAAACATCAACACCACAGGCAAAACCAGTGAAGAAGGAGACGGAGCAACGGAAGAAAGTTATAAGGAAAAAGAAAAAGGTTCCAATTCTATCTCACAAATTATGTAGTAATATTGTAGTTTTGAATCGAAATGAAATTGAAAATTCTTGAATGAAAAGCCATGCTTACGAATATCATTGAGATGGTTACCTATAGAATTATCACTGGTTGATTCAATCATGAGGAAGAGACTACAAAATCAAATATCTTATTTTCACATGTGTGATGTACGTTGTATGCAAGTTGAAACGAAATGTAATTGAATTGTGCAACACGTTGACAATATTCTCACGTTTCAAAGTGAATTGCTTAAACCTTGAGTACTGTTCCATGTTTGTACAAGTTGATTTTCCAGGTTAGTGCAGTCTTGAGGAGGATTATTGGTGTTGGCATTGAGTGACGTTTTGACATCCTTAGTGGTAGTCATCTTTGCAGTCAACACTAACACCGATAGTCCTTCCCAAGACTGGAGTAACCTGGACGATGTCAAATCGGCAAACAAGTAATATTGAGTTCATTGAAATTTTTTTCAAAGATGTGAGACATCTCTTTTTTGTATTACGCTTTTTTTAACTGATTTATGTCCTCTACAGCCATCGTACAACACAAGGCAATTTCACAAGCCAATTTATATTGCTCTGGACTAGGTCTCTTTCGCAGGGGGATGAAAAATTATTTAAAAATGAAATGTCTATGTACAGTGTTATTTCTATATGCAGCTTTAATGACGCTGGTGTGTATTGTCTTATTTATTCCAAGGTGCCAAGGAAACCGAGAATGGACGAGATTGAGGATTGGTTGGACTACTATAGGCCATCGGAATGGATGTCTGGCACTAAACTACGACGGTTTCCTTATGTACCTCAAATAGGGGACGAGGTAAGACGAATAACATACGTTTTATAAAACTCATATATTGAGTATTCTGTGGAAAAGTGTTGGCATGGAAAATGGAAGTAGACGCACATATATATATATATATATATATATATATAACGTAAATATATTGCATGCTTAGATATAATGCATTGATGTGATTTTAAGTATTTATAATTGATTGCATTAAAATGTAGCAATTGTTTTACTTACATTCGCACATCGATTGCAGTGATATGTTATGTAGAACACAAGGAAAAGTTTTTTTCATTTTTCTTTTTCAAGGTGTACTATTTCAAGCAAGGTCACGAAATGTACGTAAAAGAGGTGATGAACCTGGAGTTGTACGAGATAAATCCTAAAAAACAATGTTTCTCGAAACTCGACTTGAAAGCGGAAGAGCTTTGTAAAGTCGTAAGTCTTCACTACGTTATAGGACCGCCAACGCTGGTGTCGTTAAAACTTTGTGAGTATTATGTATTTATATGGTAATCGAACTGCGCATGACGTGTTTTTGTTTTGTGCTGACTAGCAATTCTGAACGCGGAAACCGGAGCTAATACCGGAGGATCGTTTACTGTAAAGTAGGTACATTATGGTACAAGTTTGGACTTATGAATACACAAATATATAGTGTGAGGTTAATACTTTCTCCTTTGTTTTATTCAAAACAAAGATATCATGATATGCAGAATGTAGTGGATTTTTTTGTTCTCAAACAAGTCTACGAACAATCATTGCAGCGTGAATGGCAGCCTGGTGAGCATTTTCATATATTTCCTAGTTGTTTATTCATTAAGATAGAAATAAAGAAGATTCTCGTGTTCATTTTATGGCATAAAGGTGACCGATTCCGTAGCGTGATAGATGATTGCTGGTGGTCGGGTGTTGTGACTGAAATCAGTCCTTATGAGAACGAAACACCTGAAAGTCATTTCCAGTGTTATGTCGTCAGGTGTGCTTGTTAAATATTCTTTATCATGTTTAGAAAGTAATGGAAGTAATGTTTATTGTGTCATCATAATGATGTTAATTATGTCATCGTTATATTTATGTCATCGTTATATTTATGTCATCGTTATATTTATGTCATCGTTATACTTATGTCATCGTTATAATTATTTCATCGTTATATTTATGTCATCGTTATATTTATGTCATCGTTATATTTATTTCATCGTTATATTTATGTCATCGTTATATTTATGTCATCGTTATATTTGTCATCGTTATATTTATGTCGTTATATTTATTTCATCGTTATATTTATTTCATCGTTATATTTATGTCATCGTTATATTTATGTCATCGTTATATTTATGTCATCGTTATATTTATGTCATCGTTATATTTATGTCATCGTTATATTTATTTCATCGTTATATTTATGTCATCGTTATATTTATTTCATCGTTATATTTATGTCATCGTTATATTTATGTCATCGTTATATTTATGTCATCGTTATATTTATGTCATCGTTATATTTATGTCATCGTTATATTTATTTCATCGTTATATTTATGTCATCGTTATATTTATGTCATCGTTATATTTATTCATCGTTATATTTATCATCGTTATATTTATGTCATCGTTATATTTATGTCATCGTTATATTTATGTCATCGTTATATTTATGTCATCGTTATATTTATGTCATCGTTATATTTATGTCATCGTTATATTTATGTCATCGTTATATTTATGTCATCGTTATATTTATGTCATCGTTATATTTATGTCATCGTTATATTTATGTCATCGTTATATTTATGTCATCGTTATATTTATGTCATCGTTATATTTATGTCATCGTTATATTGTTTAGTATGTCATCGTTATATTTATGTCATCGTTATATTTATGTCATCGTTATATTTATGTCATCGTTATATTTATGTCATCGTTATATTTATGTCATCGTTATATTGTTTAGTATGTCATCGTTATATTTATGTCATCGTTATATTTATTTTATATATCGTTATATTTATGTCATCGTTATATTTATGTCATCGTTATATTTATGTCATCGTTATATTTATGTCATCGTTATATTTATGTCATCGTTATATTTATGTCATCGTTATATTTATGTCATCGTTATATTCATGTCATCGTTATATTCATGTCATCGTTATATTTATGTCATCGTTATATTTGTCATCGTTATATTTATGTCATCGTTTTATTTATGTCATCGTTATATTGTTTAGTATGTCATCGTTATATTTATGTCATCGTTATATTTATGTCATCGTTATATTTATGTCATCGTTATATTTATGTCATCGTTATATTCATGTCATCGTTATATTTATGTCATCGTTATATTTATGTCATCGTTATATTTATGTCATCGTTATATTCATGTCATCGTTATAATGTTTAGTATGTCATTGTTGTATACATTCGATGACAACTAATTAATTTGTTACAGTTGGGATACTGGTGAAGTGGAGCGAATGAGTCCTTGGGATCTAGAACCTATCTCCGATACAGGTTTGAATTTATTGTGGTAATTTGAAGACTTGTTTGCCGGCTAAATATCACTTTTTTGCTCTGTAATATCTGCGTATGAAAACAAAAAAAAACGCAGACAACTGTCTTATTATCATAAATGACATTGCTATGGTAATGTTTTTTTTTCATTATGTGTTTAATAATTTGGAATAAAACTCTTTTAATTTCGTTTTTAGGTTCTTCGGGTGATGCTGGCATTAACACGTCCGATGTCGATTCGAACAACATCCCTGTCACGGATGAGGAATATAATGCCTTAGTGAAATACATCCCTCAGGAGAACGAATGGCCAGACGAGGAATATGATGTAGCTGTGACTAGACTAACACGCGGGTTGAGTCAGGTCGCTGAACTCTCGTTTGCAGGCCCGTTTGCATTCCCTGTAGACGTACGAGCCTATCCAGACTACTGGAGTGTTGTAGCATATCCCATTGATCTGAAGGCGATTATTGATAGACTTGGCAATGACTATTATAGGTAATATAAAGTAACATTTTTTTTGTATATGTTCATAGCCTTGCCGAAAAAGGTTTAATGATAAGGCACAATACGCTTGTTGCATTATTTTACTGTTTGCCATCGAGTTGATTTTTTTGGAAGGTTTTGTCCAATAGAATTTTGCAAAGATTGTTATCTCATTGTATGTTGTATGTTCACTACATCTTTTTTGAAGGATCTTCATGGATGAAAATATGTTCTTGTTTCATACAGTTTCCTTTGTGTGTTTAGACGTAAGGCAGCGTTACTCTGGGATGTGTGTCAAACAAGTCGTAATGCTAAGATATACAATGAAGAAGACAGCGAAATCGTGCAAGATGCTGAAAAACTTGTTACTATTCTTACAACATTCATCAGGTAAGAGTCTACTTAGTGACAACGGTTCACTTAAGATTACACTGAGATAGTATAATGTCTTCACTCCTGGTGTTTTGATTTAAAGTATCTCCCGCCTCCCTCCTCTGAGGAATGGAATGAGAAAATAAACTTATGTTGTGGTCGTCCATGTTAAACTCTCCTAAGGTTGAAAATGTCCTACATTTTTGAAAGTGTCTTACATGAAAGGCTGAGCACAATTTCGCTCAATTGTTATATTCTTTACTTTAAATCCATCTCTGCAAGGTCAGAGATATTGGAGTGCTCCGTGATCGCAGCGCATCGAGTAGCCGTATAATGAATGCAGACACAACTTCCCTCATTTAAAGATAAATAATGAACTTTACTCAGAAGAGAAAAATGAAAAAGAAGTCTTATCATGTTTAAGTTATTCTTATCTATTACCTCATTTAGGGATGTGTCGTGTGTAGATCCATTGACGCTTTGTGAAGATGTAAGCATGGAAAGTGGCGATGTCGATGTTGAGGTAAAATGTAGAAATAAAAATAATCGAAAAGTGACATTAATTGACCAGAATAATATCCTTTATAGTTTATCTTTCAATATCATCTATTGTTTGTCATTCAATATCCCCTATAGTATATCGTAGTATATCCTTCAATATCCAGTATTGTTTGTCACTCAATATCCACTATAGTATATCGTTCGATATTCTGTATTGTTTGTCATTCAATAACACCTATAATAATTTGTCATACAATATATCCTAAAGTTTATCTTTCCATATCCTCTGTAGTTTTACTATTCGTCATCCCTATAGTCAGATTTTCTTTGACATTCTAAGTAAAGTTGAAGCAAGATGAAATGAGTTGTTGTTGTAAGAGTTACTGTCTCTTACAACCTTTGTGATTCTTGCAAGATTAAACCGTGTAGATATATAAAACGTGGGTTGAGCTTTCTGAGGAGCAAGCTGGCGGACGCGTACCAGTGAGCACCGATCACTTGCAAGGGTTTGTGTTTTCGGCCCATGTCCCCATCCTGCCCCTCTTTGAGGTCACCCCGCATTTTTGTCCGCGCCCAATTGCATCAGCAGGAGGCTGTCACGGCAATTTGTACGTGGCTAGCTATAGTTGATGATGACATTGCGTTGAGAAGAAACGTCTCATTATGTTTTATGTAACTTATAAAAGAATGAGCAACAAATATGGAATTGCGTCTTGTAGTTATTAATCACAGGCCATCATCTCTGACATTAAGTTTAAGTGTTGGTAAATATTTTTTCACATTTTCTAGCGCGCTGACGAATCTGAAAGGGAAGGACAAGTTACTCCAGAGGTATAAACACATCATTAGGAACATGAACTTTAATGTTGCAGCAAGTGACATGTTGCCAGAAATATTGGTTTGTACTAAAACACGAGCATCTTGGTGTTTATTTTTCAATGTCCCATGTAGCTTGTTGGTCAATATCCTCTATCGTTTATTTAAGAAATAAAAGATGTTTACTCTGTTTGCATAAGCGTGTGGAAATATAAGAGACATAAGAAAGAACTCAAGAGAAGATCAGTGCTAACATCGAGAGTTGTCACAAACGTCTCCGGGCTTTGTTTAAGCCAGTGCAAACAGGAAAAACATATATTATTTCATTTATAAAATAACAAAAATACGAAACAGACTAATCTCAAAAAGACGTTTCAATTTTTCCTGTAAAATGTATTATGGTTGCTTTGCAAATTTCCTTTGATTGATTGACTAGTATAGCTCGGATAGTTTTGACAAAACTTTTTACGAGGGAGTTGACAATTATGTTCAAATGGTGCTTGTTATTGAAGAAACATAATGTGATTATCATTTCTCTTAGGGGGGTGCGGGTGGTGGTATAAAGAGAAAGAATCCCACTCAATCTCCGGCTGGTCCAGTCAGAAAAAGGACGCGAAGATCAGAAGCTGAACAAGCGGTAAAGAAGCCCGAATGAAGGAGGAATTGCTCATGGAATGTTACAGTTTAATTTTGTCGCTTTGTAGGATGAGTATTCATTGAAAGAGGATATTCTTTCCTTGTTTAACATGCTGACAACCCGTAGCGACGCAGAACCATTCAGAGAAGCTGTGGATCTTGTTGAGTTTCCGGTAAGAATTATAGGAAATTTATTTTGAACAATAGCGTAAGTTTGCAAAAGAGCATTGCTTGTGCTACCAACCGTTGTGGAATTAATTTATTTGAAGAATATGATATGATTTGTTTCGAATCGGGACGCGAACTCGTGCTTGTTAATCATTCGAAATGGAATTCGTTAGTCGATGGCAACGTGTGAAGTGTGTCTTTCTAATTGTGGTGCAAACCTTCTCCATTGATTTATGGTTTCCTTGCCTTTGTTACTTGGCTGTTATCAGTAATAAATGATTTATTTTTACTGTGTTTGAAAATAATAGTAGATATGTTCTTAATGTTTTTTATGGTCTTGAATTGTTTAGGACAATTGTTGGAAATGTGAAACATACGTTGGCTTCATATAAGCTAACAAGAAGTCTAACTTTGTGTCAATATGTTGGTGATGATGTTTTGTTTTCTGTCTTCTAGGATTATACAGACTACGTAGACGAGCCCATGGCGTTCTCTACCATAAATTCACGTATCGAGAATGATTATTATCATGATGCAGAGCAGTTTATTCACGATGTTAGGCTGGTTTTTTCAAACTCAAGAAAGTACAACACGAACAAGAAATCTAGGGTAAGCAATGCCAAAGTGATGAAACATTAAACCCTTAATTTTCAACTATTTACGTCGGCGCAGCCTGAGCATAGCCTGCACGCATGAAGCACTTTGATAACAGATAAAGTCTTGGTTATTCGTGAATCGTGGTACTTAGGTGGTTCTTTTGCAATGTGAAATAGAGTGTAACTTTATATTCCGTACTTCGTTTCCCTTGTATCACTTGACGCCTTTTGCAATTAATTTTATGGTACATATTTTGTCAGATTTACTCAATGACGTTGCGACTTTCGGCGTTATTTGAAAACAAAGTCGATGATCTTTTAATGAACTTTTATCGTGATCGAAGTAGCAGCGGTCGTCGGACGCGCCAGCGATCAAGGCGAGCAGTGGAAGACACCCCTGGTACTAGTGGTATATCTCAGGAAACTCGTGTTACTCGGTATAGCGCCAACCCACGTGCCTCCACACGCGCCTCCACGTCAAGGCAACGTGAATGTGTAGATGGACGGGGAACTAGTAAGGAACGATTAAAGATAAAGATTTCGTTGACAACCGGGTCTGTGAGTACTTCATCGGGACACGGTGCTGAAGTGGACAATAGGGATCTAGAAGGGACGTCCAGTCAGGTTCTTTGTGATGGTGCCAATGATTCAGTTGGTCAGAGGACACGGACTCGAAGCTCGACTAGAGGGTTATTTCGAGATTCTGTAAGCAGTACCAGCTCAGTTGCTACAGAAGCGCCAGTGTTTAAAAATGAAAATGGACCGTCAAGATATTCCACTCGACTGCGGGTACCACCCACGCGGCTCAACCTGAATGGAGCGTCCGTCGACGACCATAGTGAAGATGATAACGAGGAAAGTAGTGAGGAAGAAGAAGAGAGCGAGTCTAGCGAGGAGGAGGAATCAGATGTTTCTTCAGACCATCATCATAGAAGTAACCGTTCAGGAAAAATGCCAACGAACGCGAAGAAAACGGCTAAAAACTCAAATAGGAAAGGAAAGCAAGTTGCGAAGTCTAGACGAACGTTAAGAACCCGCACCGTCCCGTTGCGTTACGATGACAGTTGTTCGGAAAGTGAGGGTGAATCGCAAAACCAGCAATTGGACGTTTCTAGTCGCGGTCGTGTGCGAAAGAAGGCGTTTAAAATGGTGGACTATGTTAACTAAAGGTGGTACTATCGCTGAGGAACGTTTAACTTCAACTTAGACCACCCATGAAAAACAAATCTTTGAAAAGGAGATATTTCAGAAAGTATCAAATCAAGTCATACGTTTTGTGGCAAGTTGAAGTTGAAAGTTGTTCAGTTTAACGAGATGTATCCAACACGTTTCTTTTGCGCCTTCCACGACACGTTCTCTCTGTTCAGGTTGTGTGAAACTCAGATTTTAGGAAATTGGTGAAAATTTATCGGCAGGAAAAAAGTTGCATGCTGAATGTATGTAAGATATAATGTAAACATGAGACTCAAATTTATACTTAATTTATTTCCCATACATAATTATTTATATTATAGCTTCATTTTTCCATCATTTTTGAATAAAATATTTTTTATCAATTCCTCTTCATTTCTAGAAATTGCTTAAGAGTGAAAACTTTTTTTTTTAAGTTGGCAGCCGATGAATCCCCCTCCCCCACCTCATTTAAACCTAATCTAAGCCCGAATCTCAACTACGTTTGCAAAATGTGTTATATGTAAAATTACATGACGTTTGGCTAAATACGAAACATTCAAAATGGCGGCCATTTCGAAGGAAGAGTATTTAAAACGTTATTTATCAAGCGATAATAGCAGTGTGAAAAAGAAAAGAAGAAAAATAAAGACAGGTGTAAAAAAAGGGAAGTCCATAATTATTGACGACGATGTGAATTTAGGTGATATTGCCTTGACGCGCGATACAAACAATGAAGAGTTAGACTTGCTAGAAGTTGGAGATGAAAACCCTCTTATATTCAATGAAGCTGGGACAACAGTGCTTTCGAAGGACTTGGATTCCATTAAAAAAAAGGAAGAGGAAAGGAAAGCTATGTGGGCTCCTATTAACAATGTTCCCCTTGGGAGTAAGCGAAGAACATTGCCTTCCAATGCAGAAAGAGAAGTTATTCTGCTGAATGAAAGGTGTAGTAGAGAATCTAGCCAAGGAAGAAATGACTCATTTGATGAATCACCGCCTCAGCATAAAAGACATGACTCACCAGACCAATCACCCCCTCGAAGAAAAAGACATGACTCACCAGATCAATCACCTCCTCTAAGAAAAAGACATGACTCACCAGATCAATCACCACCTCGAAGAAAAGACATGACTCACCAGATCAATCACCACCTCGAAGGAAAAGACAGGACTCACCAGATCAATCACCACCTCGAAGGAAAAGACAGGACTCGCCAGATCAATCACCACCTCGAAGGAAAAGACATGACTCACCAGATCAATCACCACTTCGAAGGAAAAGACATGACTCACCAGATCAATCACCACCTCGAAGGAAAAGACATGACTCACCAGATCAATCACCACCTCGAAGAAATAGACATGACTCACCAGACCAATCACCACTTCGAAGGAAAAGACTTGACTCACCAGATCAATCACCACCTCGAAGGAAAAGACAGGACTCACCAGACCAATCATCACCTCGAAGGAAAAGACATGACTCACCAGATCAATCACCACCTCGAAGGAAAAGACATGACTCACCAGACCAATCACCACCTCAAAGGAAAAGACATGACTCACCAAATCAATCAGCACCTCAAAGGAAAAGACATGACTCACCAGACCAATCACCACCCGAAGGAAAAGACATGACTCACCAGACCAATCACCACCTCGAAGGAAAAGACATGACTCACCAGACCAATCACCACCTCGAAGGAAGAGACATGACTCACCAGACCAATCACCACCTCAAAGGAAAAGACATGAGTCAACAGACCAATCACCACTTCGCTGGAAATTGGGAGATTACGAAAGAGATCAGTCACCCATATGTAAGACAAGAGTCAGTGAAAGAGGAGCAAAAAGTGAAGAAAGACGCCATGTAACTTCTTCACCGGAGAGAAAGCCGAACAATGCCAGTAATATTTGTCTTTTGATTTTTTATGTGATGCATTTTGTTTGTTGAGATGTTCTTAACAGTCTCTCTTTGTAAACATGTTAAGACTTAATTTAATTTTGTTTAGAGCGGAAGGCTGGTTTACATTCTGCTTCTGAATTACGCCAAGAAAATGACAGAATGAAGAAACGAGAGGAAGAAATGTTTGCCAAAATGAATGTAAGCACCACTGGCAAAGGTGCTAAGACCATTCATCGTGATAAATCTGGAAAGAAACGAGATTTGAAAGCTGAAGAGGCGAAGAAAAGGGAGGAAGAGAGACAGAAAAAAGCAGAGAACGAGAAGTTTGTGCAATGGGGAAAAGGGTATGGTTCAATTTATTGTTATGGAGAATGATTTTTAGCAACATGGTGGACGTGTGTTGCACATGGTTGTTTGCCAGTTAGTGAAAACTTTACCCACATTCGAGCCACGTTTCATGTTATATCTGGATTGCAGTTGTCGCCAACTGTCGGGGCTCATTTGCAAATTACATCAGTGATCTCCAACAATTACCTATTATCCGTACTAGCCACAAATGGCGAGCGGTTGAACTATAATGGTTAAACATTAAAATTTTCACCCTAAAATATTGCATGATGTGATTCAAAGGGCATATGCTTCACTGTTTATAACATTTGTTTTAACATTTGTTTTTAGCGTACAGCAGACGAAACAGGCGAAAAATAAAGTTGAAGATGACTTTTATGAAATGAGCAAGCCTTTGGCTCGATATAGGAATGACGAGGATCTTGATAGGATGCTAAAGGATAGAGAAAGAGCAGAGGATCCGATGCTCGCTTTCGTCACTAAGAAGAGAGCGAGACAGGATATTTTGGCTGGAAAGAAATGTAAGAATATGGCTGTAAATTTGATCGTTTTTCCTATCACTAATGCTTGTCTCAATATTTATGTAGCAAAACCGAAATATAATGGGCCCGCTCCGCCGCCTAATAGATTCAACATCCCTCCTGGTTATCGCTGGGATGGTGTAGACAGATCCAATGGTTTCGAGAAGAAGCGATTTTCGATGCTGGCAAATAAGGGTGCGACAAGAGACGAGGCATTTAAGTGGAGCACAGAGGATATGTAACTGTGGATATACTGGGATATACGTGTACATGTATGTAGGTAATGGATGGAAAAACCCGTGTAGTGTACACGGTGACAGACCTACCTGTCGAAAATCGTGCATTCTCAATCATTGTACGAGGAAGTGTATACGATGATTGTGTTTTATTTTAAAATAGGAGACATTGTTTTGAAGACATTTGTAAATGAAATTCTTTTTATACTTGGCGCCCGTGTTGAAAAAATGTAGCATAAAGAAAATTTTTTTACGTGGATAGAAAGAATTTAAAAGCAATGATTTATATTGAATTTTACCATTTGCATGGTGCAGGCAAACAATAACGTGGCGTAGTTGGGGGAAATTATCAAAGGTATATGGCAGCATGCCGCCGTATAACCGAGAACGCAATATAATTATTGCACTTGAGCTATCTAGAGGTATAGATAGAAAAAATATGAAAAGGTTATTCGTGATTTATAAAATGTGCAAATCGAGGTTGAATACATGCTGTAATGATAACATTAATTTGACGTTATACAAACCTGAAGTCTTTTATCAACTGGAGATGGAAAAACTTAAACTTTGGGAGTTACATGCATGAACTATAATAGTCTTTGGGAGAACTATAGTCTTTGGGAGTTACGTGCATGAGCTGTTGTAGTCTTTGGAAGTTACATGCATGAACTATAGTGTTTGAGAGTTAGGTGTATGAACTAGAGTGTTTTGAAGTTACATGCATGAACTGTAGTGTTTGGAAGATATAAGGATGATCTTAGTCTTGGATATCACATGCAAGAAGTATAGTCTTTGGGAGTTAGGTGCATGAACTGTAGTGTTTGGAAGTTAAATGCATTAAGTATTAAAGTTTTAAGGATATAGATGCATGAACTATTGTCTTTGGAAGATACATGCATGAACTATAGTATTTGGGAGTTAGGTGTGTGAAGTATAGTGTTGGGAAGTTATATGCATGAGCTATAGTCTTTGGAAGAAGTATAGTCTTTGGGAGTTAGGTATATGAACTATAGTGTTTGGAATATAGCGTTTGTCAAATTGAGCAAAGGATTAAATGTGATAAAAATTCAATTTCAAGAAGTACAGAAGGAGTTGTAGATTTTCCGTGAAGGAATGTCAGTTGAACGAAGGTATTACGATAATATATAACTTCATAGTTTCGGAATCGAAACACATTGATGCCTTAAATGAGTGTTATTCCATTACATATTTCACAGGTTTGTACGTATTGTTTACATTAAATGCTGCGACGGTGATGGAAGTTTTGATGCTCCCGTAGACATAGATAACACTCTGAATCACGCCGTCGAAAACTTCAATTCAATGCCATGGTAATGCAGACATTTATCGCGGAGGAAATAAAGAAACACTGCTTTGGGCCACAAACATTTCAGGTAGAGGAAACAGACAATGGTGATGTGAAGGTAAATGTGTTTACAAGCAAACTTACAACCAAGAGGCGCATGCAATGAATGGTGACCAACTGTACAAAGCGTTTTTGAAACGTATTGCTTTCTCGTTAACGTGCGTGACTAAAATAAATGTAATTCTGTTGTTATTCTTGCCTTCAAGCCTATTTATATAAGCGACAATAACAAATATCTTGCAAAAGATGGGATATTTATTGTGTCTAAAGGGAAGTTCATCAGAAGACATGTGCTGTTATGGTTTTTCAACATTTTTCTCAGTGGTACAAATGCAAATGTGTCACTGGAAGTGCAAAGTTAAAGGTGCTAAGTAATTTTGACAAGTATAAACATGTTAACTGAAAGAGACATATTTACATGACTTAATTCGTACAAGTAGTTTAAAAATGTTTCCATGAAGTTTTTGTCAGTGAAAAATATTGTATTTCTTTTTTCAAATACATCTCTGAAAGAGAATATTTTATGTAAAGTTATAATGAGCAATCTATGTTGCTTTTCAGCTCCTCCTTAAATGATAAAAATTGTAAGTTCCTTGCCTTCATGTCATGCACTCATTATGATCCACCTCAAACTCTTCTACGACCACAAGATGTCCACCTTTATGTAAAGGGTCACACTGCACTTGGGGGAGGCCAGTTGGGACTGTTTGGTACTGGTGGACTTCACACTTGGGCTAGTAGTGTGGAAATGCTTATAAGTTGTTTACAAACACAAAAATCATTGATAAAACAAAGCTGTTTGATGACAGTAACCGAAGGTAAATCTGTTTAACTTTGAAATTAATCACTGAGACTTAGTTTCTCATTATGTTTTTAAAGTTTAAATCCACCAATGCTCTTGGAATTCATTTCTAAGAATCAATTTTTTTAAGATTCTCAGATCTTCCCCCAAATTTGCAAAGTTTTTAGTATTCTTCCATTTCAAAAAAGCTTGATGTTTTCTGGATTCCCTACATTTGATTTCAATATATTTGCAAAGAGATTTAACAAGAAGTTTTAACAAAAACTTTTGGTAGTAGAAGATCATTAGGAGATGCAATGTCATTAGGAGATAAGAGCTCATGTGAAAATAAAAGGTCATTTGGAGACCAAAGGTCGTTTGGAGACATGAGATTGCTTACACTTGGGAAGTCATGTTGAGATACAGAGTAATTTGAAGACATGAGGTCATTTGTAAATAAGAGATCATTTAGAGATGAAGTAAGAGAGGTCATTTGGAGATGAGAGGTCATTTGGAGATAAGGGGTCATTTAAAGATAAGATGTCAGTTGGATATGGGAAGTCGTTTGGAGATTGGAGGTTATATGGAAATGGGAGGTCATCTGGAGATAAGAGGTCACTTGGAGATAGGAGGTCATATCGAAATGGGAGGTCATCTGGAGATAAAATGACATTTAGAGGTACATAGGAGGTCACTTGGAGATAGGAGGTCATATAGAAATAGGAGGTCATCTCGAGATAAGATGACATTTAGAGGTACATAGGAGGTCACTTGGAAATAGGAGGTCATTTGGAAATAATGGAAGGTAGTGAGGGCAGAACTTGTATTTGCTCTCATTAGCCCCTTTAACCTAAATTAAATGATTTTTTTTCCATTTTCTTAATTTTTTCTTTGCCATTTTGTTCATATCATGTTATTTATTTTCTACAGAGGAACATACTGGGCAAATTATTCCACTACTCTTGGCGCAGCTTTGCATGAACTTGGACATTGCTTTGATCTGATGCATTCTCCCCAAGGGATCATGTCCAGAGGATTTGATGACATGAACAAATTCGATTCATGACAAGTCACTGTAGATTTCATGTGATGACCAGTCATATAAAGTATAATCAGATGACCAGTTATCGTAACTTTCGTCAGATGACCAATCATGGTAGTTGTCATCTTATGACCAGTCATGATAAGTATGATCTGAGGATACGTTATGGTAAGTGACATCACATGACTAGTCTTGCTTGCTGTAGTGTAAGAAACACTCATAATGCTACCATCTGATGACGAGATCATTTGTTAAATAATATTTTGAACGCTTAGTTTTAAAAATTAATTCATGTTTAAGTGTAGTAAATCGAATGGTTTAGGTAAACTACAGTTTACCAATGGTTTAGGTCTCTGTTAGGTAAACTACTCTGACATTATTTCGCATGATTTTTTGTCTGTAGTACAAAATATGAACCTTACGTCATATCAGAAGTGGGACTTGGTTTGGTTGAATTACGTAGAGAGGAGGAACTGCTGAATTTTTGGGAGTTTGTACATTATCATGTTCCACCTCAAGAGTTTTATTTGCCTGAGTTGTGGCGGAGAAGTGTGGAAAGTTATGATGACGTAAATATTATGGCTGTTGATATTGCTGGAAATATTTTGCGAAGTAGTTTTTTGGGATATGAAGAGTTCAGAGGGAATCTAGACATCCTGATGGGACAAGAAAGCGAGAACATTGAATGAAGGAATACATTGATAAAAACAAGGTAAATTTTTTCTTTTTATGCACGGTTGCAAGGATTACTCTCATAAGGGTGTAGTATTTTAATTGACGTTATTGTTCGGCGTGATATAACTACTCATCAACGAGATCAACGAGAAATTCCCATAACGAAGTATTTGCTTTATGGGATCATTGTGATTATACGATGATTTGTCAATATTATTCTTGACGTCCATTTTGTCTATTATCCTATGCAATCATCAGCTACTCTTTTGTCAAACTTCCTGCATTCAGATGAGCTCATAATTGCCCCGCAAAAAAATGGACATTATCTACTTGTCTAACTATATTCATTAACGATAAAATCTTTGAGAAATATAGCAACAGTACATTGATTTAACCAGACAATTTTAAATAGAACAAAATAAAACAGATTCCGGATACAGACGTTTTCTTGATATTCAAGGTGATACAAGAGTGTAGACAACAATGTGTAATATTTCGTCTTTACTCCAAAGACATCATCAGACTAATAGTTTACAAAGCAAGCTGTGAAACTTTTATATAATTATTTACAAGCGGAAGTGACAATCGTTTTGATCATCTGGTTATTCGTTAATATTATACATGACGTAAACTTACATCGTCTCCATTATCCCAAGGAATTATATGCTATACTCGTTAGATCTGATTCAACTGTACTAAGTATGCTATAATTTGGCGTTTGGATGAGGGCATAGTTATCATAAGGAAAAATTGTCTAATTATCTATGTCTACATGTGCAACTATGTTCATGGAAGATAAGGTCTATTAGAAAAACACTATTGTGAAAATTGAATTGGAATATTTATCATTCTACAATATCTTGCTCGCACGATTATAAAGCTTAAGTAAATTAATATGATCTCTTATATCGATAAGAAGCTACGTTTAATTTACATTCACATTATGTTACAAAGGCTTAGTGAGGAATCATTCAATAGGAAATTGTTATTTGTTCTTAATAATTCATGCAGGCTGTTTTTTTCTTTACTGCGTTGTGGAAAAGGGTTTTTAATGGATGGGATATCGCCAAATAACGATCGAGATTCATGACGAGAAGAGCCGATAAGGACATTGCTTGAAATACAGCTGTAACATCAAAGATAATGCGTAACCGTGGAGAAAAGATTTTGGAGTTTTTGACGAGAAAAAACATTGCCATCGGTGTTATAATGGTGTGATTGACCAATATTGACAACAAGTCACAACAAGATAGCACCATGATCATAAAATAACAATGAAATGTTCTTTCGTAGACACATCGTACGCCAAAACACCACAATCACAAGAGAGTTTAAAATGATGCCGAGAAAAAAAAATATTGTTCACGACAACTATAATCAGTAAATTAAAAAAATCCCAATTCATGATGGGTCGTTTATGTTTCAAAGTAGCTTCGCGATGTTGAATCTATTTAAGAATGAAAGGAGGATAGATTGTTGAACAATACGTATGCATTTATTTAAGTATGCTCAAGATAATTATCTCAGCACTATTTGAGATAATTTGTACTCAGAAACAGCTGTAAGTTTATTGAGGATAAAGTAGCTGCTTCTTTTGCTATGTTTTTATATTGCAATTGCAACATTCGATTGTGAAGCAATGAACTATCCTAAAATATGGACGAGTACCATTTAAATTTGGATAATGTTCGTAAGCAATTATTTGACATAGGAAATAGTTATTTTTTCTCGAAAATTCATGCGAGATAATTTTTTTTTCTTCATTGCGGAAAAGAGTTTTTAGGTTTTAGCTACCTTTGGCTGCGTGTCTATGAACTGTTTATTAGATTGGATAACGGTGATCACTGTTTATTAGAATGGTGAAAACGAGTTCGTAATTGCCATAATACATGATCACGAGGGTTTTAAGGTTTTACCATGGGCCGAATCAATGAAGTTTTAGATTTTATACGTATGAGCTATGTGGCTGGGTTTTTGAATGGACAAAAAGAGTTTGTTATTGCCTTGGCAATGTTGATTGCTTCTGTTCGTAAAATTTGGTTTTTCCAAAAGAAAATCAAACAATTGAAGGTTGAATTCAGCGTCAGGATTGTTTTAAGCCAAAGTACGACAACATCCGTCTCCCGTGTGTTCGGGAACAGTATATTATAAACGAGAAAGATTAAACTAGCAATAGAGAAAAGCATTAGTTTTGCAAATGCCATCAAACAAATTGATACTTGTTTCAAGGAAACTGTTCGTTTTTTGTCAGGAATAATAGAATTGAAACTGTGATGTTTTCTTGAGATTTTGAACAGTTTATAATTGACGAACAACATTGGAGGCATGTATAAACACAAAAATATTATTCCCTGTACTGTCACTGAATAAACCATTTCATCAATGTAGAATGTATGTAAGATGGTATAAAGGAATAGTGTTATCCCAAAAATTGACAAAAGTTTCCGTTTTGTGATGTTTGCCTTGTGATATAATGGATGACATATTGCCAAATAACGATCGAGATTCATCACCAATAGAGCCAATAAGGACATTGCTTGAAATATTGTTGTAACATCAAGTGCAATACGTAGCCATCGAGGGAGAATTTTAAATTTCTTCACGACGAAAAACATTGTAGCCACTGTTGCAGTGGGATGATTAACCAATATTGACAACAAGTCACAACAACATAGCACCATGATCATAAAATGACACAGTTTCTTTCGTAGACACGTTGTGCGCCAAAACACCACAATCACAATAGAATTTAAAATGATGCCGAGAATGAAAAATATAATATTCAAGGCAACTAGGATCATTGAATTAAAAAAATCCCAATTCATGATGGGTCGAGGATGAATAGTCGAACAATATGTACATGCGTTTATTTAAGTATGATCCTGTGATAATATATCCACTCAATTTTTTTGATTTTACTCAAAAAACACCTGTAAATTTTAGCTTCGTAACTATACGTAGAAAAAAGTAACTTAGCTATTATATTCTTATATTGCTATTCCAAAATTTCATTGTGAGGCATTGGACAATCCTAAAATATAAATATAGATGATTGCAATTTACATATAGCTACATATAGCTACATATAGCTAATGTTTTAAAAGGCAGGCGATTTCAGTTGTTGTTTACTTCGGTAAAGAAAAAAGGTTTTTAGGTTTTATCATTGGCTGGGTCAATCAAGTTTTACATTTTATGCATATGCGTCGGTTTTTTCTTAGATTCGACAAAAAGATTTCGTCGTTGCTTTGACAATCATCATTGCCTCTGATTATGAAATCTGGTTTTTCCAAAAGAAAATGAAACAAATGAACGTTGAGTTCATCGCTACGAATGTTTTAAGGCATATTCAGAAGATGTCTGATGCTCTAGTTACCGGTAAATGCATGTTGTAAACGATGAAGATCATACAAGGAATAGAGAAGAGCATTACACTTGGAAATGCCATCAAGAAAATTGATACTTCTTTTAGGA